AAGGACAGGCAACAAGCAGAAGAGACTAGATTGGGCTTAAGAACACAAGAAATGGACATTAGACCAGTGGAAATCTGTGCTTTGGTCTGATGAGTCCAAATTTTAGATCTTTGGTTCAAACCATCGTGTCTTTGTGCGACGCAGAAAGGGTGAACGGATGGACTCTACATGCCTGGTTCTCACCGTGAAGCATGGAGGAGGAGGAGTGATGGTGTGGGGGTGCTTTGCTGGTGACACTGTTGGGGATTTATTCAAAATTAAACGCACACTGAACCAGCATGGCCTAAAATATAAGACATATTTTCAGTTTCACTCTTTTTTGTTTAGTATATAATTCCACATGTGTGAATTCATAGTTTTGACGCCTTCAGTGGGAATCTTCAATTTTCAAAATCATGAAAAAAAAAAAAAAAAACTATTTGAATGAGAAGGTGTTTCCAAACTTTTTGTTTGTACTGTATATTGAAAGGTTGTCTTTTCGTCTAAGCTTTTTCCTTGCCACAATGAAACAGAGTAGCTCCCCCATTGGCACAGACTCCATTCTGATATTATTAATCTCTAGGTTCAAGTCATTCCTCATTTAAAAGCACAAAAAGATACTTAAACTCTTTAATTTGAAGCAAAAAAGGGTTGCCTGACTTAGAGGGAGCAGTCCACACTGCAAAATCAATCTAGAAATAAGTAAACATTTGTTAAATTAAGTGTATTTACCTTTAATTTGAGCAGGTATATAAGATGATTTGCCAATGGAATGAGTATTTTTTTCTCTTAGAATAAGATAATTACTTAACATGCCCTTGAAATAAGACATTGCAAATTTTTTTTTTTTCTTATTTTAAATTTAAATTATCTTGTTACATTGGCAAGTTTCTCACTAATCTTCTCAATTCAAGAAAAAAATGCACTTGTTTTAAGAAAAAAATACTTGTTTAGAATTGAAATTTTTACAGTGCAACATTTCCAGGTGAGAACCTTTTTATCAGACATTGAGGAACTGAGTCTCATAAGAGCTGCTTCATTCTTTGCCAAGAACTGTATCTCTGCACGCCTAAGGTCATGGGCTGAAGAAGTGAAAAGAACTGCAAAAATCTGGGATTAGACTTTGAAGTTCTTTAACCTGAACAGTCCAGAGTTTTTTTTCTGTAAGTATACATATAGTAGGACCAAAATATGCATATCCATTGCAGATTAAGATTTAAAGTAATCCTTTAACTTCACCACATAATCTTCCTGTGGAGATTCATGATGTAGTAGTAGAGCAGGATCCCCACGTGAAAAGAGGATTTCTCTAAAGTGTAGCCGCCTGGGGTTTGATTCACAACCTTCAGACTTTGTTTTACTCTGTCCTCTTATGTCTTGTCAGACTATAGTCATGACCACTAGAACCACAAATCGTTTTATCTCATTACCAAATATATTAATTATCATAACACTTTAAATAGGGACAAAGATGGGCAGCAAAATGGTTTGGCTGCTGTAATTCCTATAAGGACTTTGTCAAAATGGCGTAGAACATTTTTAACAAAGAAAATACATAAAAATATGTATTTTTCTTATTTAAATTCGCAAAGTTTTTGCAACTTTGATAGAAAACTTTAAGTTTATTGTCAAATGTTATTGTGGTAAGTTAGGGCCTTATAAATTCTATAACTTATACAGACTCCTGTTTATAAAATTATCTACGTAAACTAGACTTGCACCGGTCAATTGGAAAGCTCAGAAACTGGACGATTCTCACGTGATCTGCCTCGATCAGCAGCGGAGCAATCATTATGGAGATGATCGATTTCAAGCGCCAGTTGTGTTTTTTATTAGTTTTTCTTTGGGTGGACATGCATCTTTCCCCTGCCCTTGGTCCATGTCTGTTTTGGTCACAGTGCCCAAAACAGGTTGACAAGTCACCCAGACAAATTGAGGTAAGGCGAGATGGCGTTCTGGAAATTAGACAGGAGCAGCGGGACATTCAATGCAGTAACACCGCCTCCAGAACCTGAAGGAAGCAGCCAATCATGCTCTGCTCTGGAGCTAAGGAATCACAGCGTTAGAGGCGGTAGTTTGGTGCTATAAAGGACAGTTTCAGAGGTCTAAATAATGGACTGTTTTCCCAATTGTTCCGCATACCGGGATTTCTACACATCCTGCTCGACCGACCTCCCCACAGTCTACAGCAGGGGTAACCAATTAAAAATCAGCAGGGTCCGAATAAAGAAAATTATCAACTAGTACCGGTTTGGAGACATTTTTAATTATAATCTGTTACTTTAAACAGAATATAACACTGAAATAAAATGAGGTTTTTAGGCATCCATGTTCTACATAGAATTTTATAAATGCATTCAAAAAAAGAAAATTTTTCTGTTTCAGTTGTTTTGATGTAGAGAACCACAATCATTCAGTTTGGTATTTAGACAATTTTATAAAACACCTGAACTGACCATTTTGAGCCTGGATGGATTTATTTTTGATTATTTTCATCGTGGAGAATCCTGCTTCACAACAGTAGGTTGAATCAAACATACTTGAATTGTTTAGGGTCATCTTTGAGCAGGCCATTTCACTTTTCTTTCACCAGTGCACCGTAGTTCTTCCAGCAGTCTACACTTTCTCTGCTTCCTTTTTCTCATCGTCTTTTCCTTTCCCATCACCCTGCATGCTCTGTAATAATGTGATAATTTTACATTTAAGTTGTAAGGATGTGTCAGTTAAACAAAAAGTATTTTTTTATTTATTAATATAAATTGAGCACCACTGTGCATTTTCACTTGTAACCACCCTGAATAATAAATAATTGTGATACTTCCTGCAAACTGTCCTAAATTGCTCAAATAATGTAAATGAATTAAAAGGTAAGCTGACAGGTAATAATTACAATGTATTATAAATCAAAAAGATAACTAATTTGGTTTGTAGTTGGTTACACCTTGCAGTATTAAAATCAGTTAAAAAGAAAACCTAGTCAAATTTACACCAGTTGGAAAATTATATACAATATGTTACAGTATTTACGACGACATTTAAAAGTACTATAACATTTTCTTAGTAATTACCAATATTTATCTGACATTCTACATGTAGGAACACTGAGTAAATATAGAAAACATAAATTAGTTTGGAATGCGTATCAGCTATTTTATTTAGTAATCATACATATAAATTAAATTTAAGACAAATTACTTTGTCTAAATCTATAGACCCAAAAAAAGACTACTACTACCAACTCTGGGCTGCAAGCGCTCCTGTAATATTTGTAAAATGTGAACTCATCTACATCATTCATATTATCCCAGAGATATCTTTTTGTCGTAGCTGCGTAACGACTGTTACTGTAATCCTGGGGAGCCTATCAGGTACAACGCCTCTATTAATCTGTAAGTCTATAACAGTAAAACCAGAGGTTAGATTGCTTGTATAAAGAGACACATCAGCCTTTATTTTTGTCTGCCATTAATCAGACTAAATTGTTTGGGCTTTTTGGTGTGAAGAGACCTACTTGTTTGGTGTTTATACTTACATGTAATTGCTTGAACAGATTAGGTGGGAAGTTTCAGGATTCTTGAAATTGTAGCAAAACATGAACCAGATTGAGGAGTTCCATAATTCTTTTCCTGGCATTTATTGATTGATTGATTCAGTCATTCATTCATTCATTCATTTATGCACTGATTCATTTGTTTATTTTTGTGTCACACAAGGAGGTAGAGGTTTTATGGCGTTGCCTTAAAATCCAACAACAGATATTGATTAGGTTAATGCTTTGGAATTTTTCCATTTAGTTTATTTTAATTATATATGACCATTTCATAATACATAATCTTAAGGTTCTATAAAAAGTCAACTCATTCTAATCAATTGGACAGAAATTTAAAAAGGTTTCTTTGAAAGAAACTCCTTGTTGGGAATTACATTGATTGCTTTGCTGACTTGCAGTCTGGTTGGAATCAGTGAGAAAATTGTTCTTTTACAATAAAACATTTAATTCTCACCTGATATTTTGAGGCATCTTTGAGTGAAGACCCTTTATGTTTTTATGTGTCTGTCATATTTAAAAATAAATTATATTGTTTGAATCTTCCAGTTCAGTACAGACATGTAGATTGATCTCTACATTGTTCTCTCATTTCCAACCTTAATTAAACAAGACTATTTGTTATCCTGTTTGAAGTTCGAACCTCAAATCCACTGAGTTGTATAACAGAGCATTTCTGTTTATGTTTCCCTGTAATTTTCAAATAGTTTACAGACTAGGAGCTTCTATTGCTGAGTGTGACCCTACAGAATCCAAATCATATTTCCCTCTTTACGACTCTTTGTGGCGCAGTGCTCTATGACCACCCGTCTGTTTAAAAAACAACTTCTCTGGCATACAGCAGAAGCCCTGGAGCACAGCATTGTGCTTCTGTGTGTGCATGTATGAATTATAAACTCAAAATGTTTACGGCTGTGCATGGATGCTCTGATTTTTTTAATGAATTGAGACTGAGATGGGAGATTTCACCACCAAACACTGTGGAGAAAAAAAAAAGCCTAATGTGCCCAAATAATGAAAGTTGCCTAGGCTTTTTAACATGCTGGAGACGCTGCCTCCATTTCACGGCTCTTTGTGTAAACACTCATGGCTTTAATAACTTGTTGAGCAGCTCGGTTATTGACCCACTCGGTCATTCTCGTCCATTCCTAATCAGCGGCAGTGCCTGGGGCTCCGCATTCTCAATGAGCTTCCACATTTACATCCTGCAGCATATCTTCAAACACGAGGGGTCAGTAGCCACGAGCTACGTCTCGTCTGCAGGGCGCACCATCATCAACTTGAGTTCATGGCATTGCATGCACCTAATAAAGTACACGAGGAGATGAAACTCCATCTACAAAAAGGGTTCACATTAGGATAAACTTTGAAATCTATGCATGTACAGAATATGACACAAGCACATCCTAATCAAAAGTGTGAAAGGAGTGTTTCTATTGAGAGACTTTATTTTCGATATTTCTTCTCATTTTAGGTTACTACTTTGAAATACCATCAATTGGAGCAATCAGAATCAACACACAGGTAAGATAGAGTGAATCAAGTGTGAATGCCAATATGCAACATTTATTGATTGCTTTTATCTAAAAAAAAAAAACTGACATGAATGTTTAAAGATGTAGTCCGACTTCTACATAAGAGAAACCGAAACTACAAAAAACGCATAGAAAACAGACTCCTGCAACCAAGGAAAACAACAATATTGATTTGCGTCTGTCTTGAAATGTGCCTACGAGGATCCTTTAGATAAAATTTTACCAAATAAACAAAATGTTTAAATATAAACTATTTCTTTGATCATTCTTGTCAGTTTTGTCCAGTTACAAAATGTTACGTCTAGATTTCTTATGAACAAAAGCAGAAACAAAAATATTAAAATTAGGAACCAAGTCTCTGTCTTGTCAATATTCTATACCTAAATAACTATGTTGCTAATGTTTGTGTCTGAGGAACAACTATATAAACTAAAAAAAAAAAGATTGAAATATACATATATGTCTTAAAGGCCAAAATATCGATCCAATCAACTATCATCAGAATAAAACCTCGCACAGCATGTACCCACCTAAGGGAAACACTCTGTGCTTCTATCTAGCTGCAATTATTTACTGAACAATTTCTCTTCGATTTAATATGTATTTATTTTTATTTGTTTTTGTGGATATGTCACACAGAAACACTGTTGAGTCTGTTGGTGTTGCAGCACAGTGTTATCTCTGCCAGGCCTTAAACCTGGGCTACTACCAATTCAAATACAGTTAAAATATATTTTATCTGATGCTTGGTTTCTTCTTGCAAATAAATATCTTTTACCACCTCTTCTAACCCGTGAAGAGCCAGCATCATCATCCACTGCTTTTGGCCTCTGCTCTCCCTGTATCTGCTTCTTCTATTTAAAAGAATATTTTTTTAGATTTGATTTATTTTAAATATGATGAAAGCCATAGTGAGAAAAGGTTTTACACAGAAGTTACAAGAGGATTGTATTTATTCCCACCTTAAACGAATTAGCAAGGTATTTAACATAGGGAACAGCATTATTTTTTATATTTTGATATAGTGGCATTTATTAGCAAGTCATCATTTAGCTATCATTGACTGCATACAATAGCATTATTCAACTTACACAGTTTGTTTTTGAGGAAAAAAAAAAGTCATTTTCTGGTCTGGCTTCTTTCCTTAACACTGTGGCACACACACACACACACCCACACACACTGTGAAGCACTGTGCAACGTCAATAGCTACTAGCAAGTCTTCCATCTTTTATCAAAGGCATTAGCAGTATACACTTGAAAAAACCCAAGATCGCCAATGAATGATTAGGAATGAGACTTCAATGCATTATTTCGATTTATTAGAAATCTTTTAATGTGTTATTACCATTAACGCAATTAATTGCATTTGAGTCCCAAGAGAGAACAGACAGAACCTCACCTGAATGGTATTGAATCAAAGGGCTGTCCCTGTTGCATTTCTTGTGCTAAGCCACCACCAAAAGCTTGGCACACACTGTAAAAAGAGAATACATCTCCAACTTCAATCAATTGTTAAACCACCACAAAAGGATTAAGATGGGTAAACTTAATTTAGGTATTTATTATCAAATAAAAGAATTCATTTAATTTGAAGCTGCATTTAACTTAGAGAGTGAAAAGAAAAAGGCACAACATTCTTTTTAAAGACAATTATTTAATTTTTTTTATGGTGTAAAGATTTGGATTGCAATGTTGCAGCTGTTGATGGTCGATTGTGTTTCTTTCAGTCCAAAGCCCACATGCCCAGGAAATCTCCTTTGTGTTTCGCTTTGTTAACAAATGCTATGAAGAAACTATATCATATTCCAGCAGAACTGGCCACCTGCTCACGGTGCCTCAAAACCAACACCTGGTTTAATGACTGTGGGCTTGATTGGCCAGCAAATTTGCCTGACCTATACCCCATAGAGAATATGCGGACTAATGTTAAGAAGGAAATGGGATAGAGTAATCAAAAATAGAGATGAGATTAAGCCTAGTAGTGATGTAATTCATACAAAGGGAGCATATCAGTAATAGAATTCCTTTTTTTTTTTTTTGTCCTATGTAATATATAACAAAACCAATCATAGGTTTTTATTAATCCCAAACCATACTCGCAGTTAACAGAGACAAATGTTTGAATTGCTCTATCATAATTGTTTTAGGATTCTGTATATAGGAATAATGTATTTAATGGAATATCATTTATTTTAATTTGTGAAGAAGCAGGTATATTTTTAACATATCATATTAGTTAATAGACTTGTTATATTTCATGCCAAAATACCATGATTCTGTATTTGGAAGGGTCGACTGTGTGGTTCCCTCAGAAATGCTTACAAGGGATTGAAAAGGAAAGTGCTTCTGTATTCCCTGCATGTGTTAACACATGAGACCTGTGTAAGTAATTTCTTGGCAGGTTATGCCCACAAAATTACTGTAAAGTCATCTAAAAGGGCAAACATAATTGAGGCCCTTAAAGGATACCCATGTGAAGCCGGACATATGCCTAATTGTATAAAATTGCTGTGGTTACAGTTTGGTTGTCCCCACACAAGGCCTCTGTGGGTTATCCTGTCTTCTGCTTTTCTGCAGCCTTACTGCCCAAACAAAGAAGCACATTCAAATGCTTGCTTGACACCTACTCTGGCTAGACAAGATAGCAATGTCTTGCTTTGCTGTAGATGTTTCACGTAAAAGCTCATTGTTACAAATTGATTTACAGATTTGTAAATAACTGTACTTAGTCCAACTTCAAATGATGGTGACCTGAAACTGTAATCTTATGAAAAGTGAACTTTTGAAAAGATTTATCCCCTACAAGTAAAATGCTGACTATTCATAACCTCCTAAGAGAAGTATGATAATATGATCTGTTCCTTAAGGCAAAATGTTTAAAAAGTGCTGTGCTGACATTTTTCATATTCTTGGATAGAGATTTAACAAGGTAAAACAGCAAGATCATCAGTGCTAACCTTACCAACAATTCACATTAATAAATCTAAATAGGACTGCGTTTTCTTTGTTTACGCACAGACCAATTATATGTTTATATTTGAACAATAATCTAAGCTGTTTATCTTGTTTAGTGTGTTTATTTGGGGGAACCTCTGGATCTTAGAGAAACTAGATCTTTGAAACACTGCACTTCTCTTGAAAATAAAATGACAAAAAGTGTGTTTAAAAAGGAATTGCATTTAAAAGAATGAAATGAACAAATGAAGAACCAATCCACTGAGAACATTTTGCTTTCCATTTCAAAACAAAATATGAAAAACATATCTTTTTTTCTAAACCTGCTGTACAGATAGTGAAGAAAATTGTATTGTAAGCATCTTCCATCATGATCATCTCCTGTGTTTTGAGCCTAATCCAGTTCAGAAGAAGTGGCCTTCATTCAACATTTAACTATATGTTGAGATTTCAGAAGTGGCATATCTGATCCCATCTTTAAAGTTTTCTGTTTGATTAAGGTTCACAGACTGGGCTGACAACTCAGTACATTAACCATGTTTCACTGATACCAAGATGAAGTTATCTTTCTGGATTGTGTATTGGTTGATGTCTTTTTGAAACATCCAAAGCAATGTCACTCCTGTTTGATATAAGATTAAGCAGCTTTGAATGTTTGTATGTAAATAAAATTATATGTTGCTGTATGAAATATATAACCTCTTGGCTTGGTACAGGAGTTATGACTTTAATTCAGGTTTTAGTGCCTTAAAGAACAGTCTCGCTTTCATCAGTGCATAAAACCCCATTTTTATTTAAACTAGTTAATGTTTTCTTTGATGGAGAGTAACCTGTTCTGGCAGTAACCATTTTCCATACTGAAAGCCCATCCAACCAAAGCCAAGTTTATGGTTTATTCAACAAGTGTGCTGCTCAGATAGAAGGTCCCCTCCTGACAAAGTAGTCAAGAAATTATCACCATTTAAAACCTGCTTCAACGGTGTTCAAATCACCCCCCATTGTGGCTCTGGCTAGATACCCCGATCTGCATAACTGAATACAAAATGCATGTTTGCCCATCATAGATCTCTCCACCCTCCACAGGTATGCACTCATTTCAAAAAATTATCTAAAAATGAGTAAAACTGTCTTAAAATAAGTGTATTTGTTTAGATTGATTAGGTAAATAAGATGATCTGCCAAGGGAATTTGTATTTCTGGCCTTAAAATAAGATAATTAGATATTATGCAATTGAAAAAAGAGATTGCAGTTGTTTTTTTCTTATTTTAGAATAAAATTGCCTTATTCCATTGGCAAAGTGTCATCAAGAAAACAATACTCTTATGTTAAGAAAAAAATTACTTACTTTTGATTTACAGTTTTAAACAATGGATTGTTGTTTTACAGTCTATTCTTCATAAGTTATTTAATCTAATGTGGTTTTTAAGACATTTAATTCCTCTGTTGTTGGTCATTACAAACACAAAAAATAAGACTCTTGGCATATTTTGTATAACGCCTATTCCTTTGGCTTTTTGCAGTTTTATCTTAATGTTAAGTTTTCTGTGTAGATACCTTATGAGGCTCTGTGTAGATGTAGCCTAATGGTGCTTTCACATCAAATGCGACTCCAGTAACTTTGTTGCAACCTTCTAGTGCCGTCACTGTCTTGACATATCCACAGTAATCCGCATGGCAGGCGACAAACTCTACTCGGAATCTGAGAAGCTTTTGCTGCTTGACGGTTTCAACTTAACATGGTGGATCTGGATTTTACAGTGCGAGTCGCAGTGGAGATCAAATTAAAGAGCCATGCATAGAGAACACCTGAGCTGGGCAGGGGTGCCCAGGTGTGCTCTGCTCTGTAACAGGCTGAGTGCCGTGCAAGACAGCAGGCAGAGAGAGAATCTGAGTCGGGCAGAGGCGGTGGGTGGCCGGGACTAGCTCTGGAATTAAGGAATAATTTAACAGTCCTTCTATTATTGCTAAATTACAACTGTTTTTCAAAAAGCTATCCACAGAGCGCTTAAGAGCATTCCTTACTTCATCCTTTGTCATCATTATTGTTTCATCTTCCATTTTGATTGAGCTTTGTGTGTGCTGCAGTCCTTAACTCTATGTCCCAGCCACTCACAGTTCCTGGTTGGTTGTTGCAATGCGGCTTGACAGAAAATTTCAGGTCTTCCATCGCAGTAGCCACATCGCTGTCACTTTGCTGTAATTGCAATAATCATGCCTGTTACATTGTTTGAAGCACGTCTGTCGCGTCACTTTGAATATAAGACTTCACAGGCTTCTTGCTGATTGCTTGAGTTGACATAGATATGTCTTAATTGACACATAAAACCACAAATAACCTTAGACTTTCATTACCTATGTTCTAAAGAAGTTATTAATCTTCTTATTTATGTTGTACTTACTTTTATTCTGAGCTGTTGCTGACATTCATTCTGCTACTTTGACTAGTGACTTTCACATCAAAGACTGTTATTGTGGTGTGTTCACCAATATGGAAAAAATAAATTACAAAATTCTGATTATCTAGAGCTCCTGAACCTTCGGTCAACACTTAGATGTTATCAAGCTAAAAAAATGTTAGAAAGTTTAGAGCTTGTGTACTTTGATAAAGACTTTCTATTAGAGACTACAGGTGGTGCAACGTTAGATTACAATTTAGATTTCCCACATTTCACTCTTTTATACATGAATTAAAATTTTCTGTCTGTGACATGTTGCACACTTAGTCCCTCTTATGTTCAGGGACCACTTGCTTCTCCCTAATGTCATATTTGCTTAAGGAACAACAAGCTTTAAGAGACCCTTGGGATAACATCATTCCAGGCATGGAAATTAACTCACTCTGTTTGGTGGTGGTGGATCTACAATGCCACCACCCTCTTTTTAATTTCTTTCCTTTTTATTTCACACTTTCTTCCAACCCTCCCAGTAATCCAGCCAGCCCAGTGAGTGATCAAGTCCTAAAATAGACTATCAGTTGTTCCATTAACTCTGGCATGTTTATACTCTGAGAACTGCTACTTATCCTAATAGGTTTCTGATGAAAAAGTACAAACACCTTACCTTATTTAACCGTACACTGCCCTTCAAAGTCCCTTATTACGCTGTTTGTCTTGAATAACAGCAACATACCAGGTGGCCTGCAGATGGAAAAACTTTAGAAGTAGTGTCCTGAATCTCATTTATGTAAAACTACAAGGCTGATCTTGAAAGGAGTGCGCTTTTTGTGTAAGGCATTAGTAAAGCACAGGTGGGATTACTCTTAGCAATCATAGCTAGTGGTTTTAATCAACACACACTAATGCCATACGACTATAAAGCTCTGTCTCCTTTGTGTCTGTAGCTGCTGACTTGTTATGCTTTCCTAGATTGTTCTAGCCAGGCGGAAAATTTCCTCTATATCCCGTGAAAAGGTCTGGCTGTCACTGTCCTGATGGAATATCTCCCCATGGCGCATTAAACTGGACTTTTATTGAGCTAATAATAGAATAGGTTACGCCTGTCAGCACCTCGCTGTTCAGATGATAGAAAACAAAATGGTCTAAAACCTTTTACTGAAATTGTTGCTTTTTAAATGGAGAAGTACTTCTATGTATGAAGCATGTGTTGGACAAACAATGTGCTAACTGTGATGTGGAACAGGAATCTTTGCTAAATTTATGTCAGCGGGTTACATGCTCTCGTCATGGGACTAAATGTCATTACAGAATAAGCTTAAATTATGGATTTTAACTTTTGTTTCTGCTGCATTGTCTCTTCATCCAGTACAAATCCTGAGTTGTTATTTTTTTAAGATGTTTTTGTGTTTTTTCAAAAATTAAGTGCCTAATATGTGCTTTCATGGCATCTTATGTTTGAAAAAATATTTTTCAATTAGGTTTGACCCTACAAGACACTTCAAGGATATATAAAAATCTTGGTTGAATATTTCACCATCATCTGGGAAAAGTTGGAAGACCTAAACTAGTTGATTTCTAGATACAAGCATTGACTTCATGGCAGAGGCTTGGAAAAAGATCACCCTGGGAGCTTGGTGTTTGTCTGCTTTCTCGTTTCTAAACGCAAATGTGGGTTATCTTATGGAGACATTGTCCTGTTTAAACACAAACTGTGTTAAATTTCTCTCACCGGACTCTAAAGGGAGCCGCCATGGTAGGGACATTTTAGTAAAGTGGATGTGATTCTTTTTAAAGCCTAAGAACTCTGTACAAGTTGTCAGGCAGTACAGATGAAAGTGTCAATAAAAGATCATCATCATGATCATCTGAATACTGGCTTTAGTAAACTCAAGCTATTCTTTCATTTCAAAAGTTTATTTGGTTGATCTGAAATACTAATGGGTTCAAAAACAAACTTTCCTCTAAAAAGATGAAGATTTTAGAAGCTTTTAAAAATGTCAACAAAAGTTTTCATCCTTGTAATTATGCACAATCAGTTTGATTTTTCCCTTTTTAATCAAATGTTTCCTATGTTTGCTATCAGGTCACAGTGTGCATATATTAATTATAAAAGGTAGAGGCAGTATCTAAAGTTAGAAATGTGAATAATTGTTTACCTAAAATTCCTATTAGCTGTTTGGAATGGTGTGTCCAGAAAAAGCCAAAATAAAATGGATGTCTGGTGTTTTACTTGTACAGTTAACCTTTAACCTGCTCTCAGCAATGCTGTGGGATATTCTGATATCGTCAGTGTTGACAGTAGAGCTTCTGGGAAATGCCATGTTTGTGGCACCTGTGACCCACCTAATGTGTTCTTAATAGTTCGTTTATAACAATATAAAAGATACCTGAAATGGTGGGGGATGGGTTCTTTATGGCTCGGTAGGGGCATGAAGGTGGTGCTCCGCTGGTGTTATATGGTGACAAAGACAAGGCCGGTCAGGGTCTTGTGGTTTTACAACAGATGAACATCAGAGGGCTCTACAAAACTCTCTACCCTTTAAATGTGTTGAATGAGAAGTACCATAAATGTCTTTTTATTTTTTATTTATCATGGACACTCAGCACTAAAGTAAATGTTGCTGCTTGCAGGAGTACCTGGATGTCCTGGGACGTCCCATGGTGCTCGCTGGGCCTAAAGCTAAACAAGTACAGTGGACGAATGTCTACCAAGATGCTCTGGTAAGTATTTACTGTACATAATAACAACTTTATGCCCAAAAGTAGTTGTCATACAAGGAAATCAGTTAATAAAGGTGTCAACAACAAAAAAATATGCATGTTTAATGCATCAGTTTTTTGCTCCTTTTTTTTTTAGCTATTTTCTGTTATTTTTATACAGTGTATTAATACGTTTTTGACATTTTTCCTCAAAGAAATTTCTGTGTAGCAGGTAGTTACTTGTTTAAGATATCAATAACTGCATCATGTTTATGTGTGCAAGACAGTATTTCTGGTAGAGAATCTGAAATTTGACTTGATTTTTCTAGGGTTTGGGGCTTGTCATCACTGGAACAATGCCAGTTTTCAACCTGACTGCAGATAGCGCCAGCTCTCAGGTAAAACAACAGAGTTAAAAAAAAAAAAAAAAAAGAAAAAAGTAATCTGATACAATCACCCACACAGAAATCAGTATGACTCACAAACAGATCTATTACTATAAATCATTTGATTAAAGTGGTTTTTATTGCCCTTTGAGTAAATGAAGCTTTGACGTCACACGGACATACATAATTATTTTAGCTTTTATGTTCATTATTTATCTGTATGTCACCATCATCAATCATTTGTAATGGCATTCACAAAGCTTCTGCTTCCTGAGGCAAGACTTCCCCCTTGAGGTGACGACATCAGAACAAGTCATTTGTGGCGTCTGCCCCCTGGCCACAGCAATACAATGATTTTCAAATATATTTACACCTTGTGAGCATTTCCACTATTTTTAGAACTATATCACATCAAGAAAAAAATTACAACTACACACTTCAGAGGATTTTATCTGGTAGAGAAACCCACTTCTGGACAACTTTTTTTTTCTCCAAAAAATGCTCTTAAAAATTCCTGATAGCTTTGGTTAAAGTTCCATTCATTCACCATTGACATGTATTAGCTTAAAAATCTTACCATAAACTCTGGCCAGCTTTTCTGCCCCTGGTGGAGCAACACATGCCACATAATGATGCTGCCAACACCGTGTTTTACTGCCAGGATGATGCAATCAGTGAGATGTGCTGCTTCTGTCTAGTACAATTTTGCTCCAAATTACCAGAGGACCTTCTTCAACATTTTTGCTGTGTCTCTATGATGGTGGTAAACAGTAGACAGAATTGGTTTCTTCTTGCCCTACTTTGTGGAGTTATCAACTAAAGGTTTCTCTTTAAATCCCCCATTTCTCTCAAACAGAAGAGTTTTAATGTTTAGGGGTCCTAACAGTTCCTCTTCATCCCACAGAATCAACTCATTCTTGGAGTTATGGGAGTTGATGTTGCAATCAATGAAATCAAGAAGAAGACTCCAACTTATAGAGTGAGCACGTTTGCTTTAACTATCATGTGCATATAGTTTTCTTTTGAAAGATTACTGAGTCATTTTCTGTCTCACTACTATCTGTGCAGCTTGGGGCCAATGGCTATACGTTTGCTACCGACCCAAATGGTTACGTGCTGCTGCATCCTAACCTACGACCCAAGGTTGGCCCATCTCTCTACAGCTAATTACTTTCCTAATTAGTAATCTAAATATGTGTCACAATAATTTTGAATTATGTTTATTTTTCCCCTCCATCTTCTTCTGCTCAGATCATTAACTTCAGGGAGCCTGTCACTCTAGACTTTCTAGATGCAGAACTGGAAGATAACAACAAGGAGGAGGTAAAACAAGTTATTTACAACATTTCAAGTTTTATCTTACGTGTTTCCACTCTTAAAAAAAAAAATGCATATACTGTATAAAAGGACTGTCTTTTTTTTTTTTTTACTATGAATGAGTTTTTGCTTTTAATTCTAATTTTAGAAAAAAACAATCTTTTTTTTTGTTTGCTTAACTTTTCTCTAATTCAGAATTACATACATTTAATCAGTATTTGACAGACTTTTCTTCATTTTACTAATCGGGTCTTTCAACCCAAACTTTTTTCTTAAGAATTAAATGTAATTTTGGCCTTCTTTTGTCTCCAAATCTCTCTCTTGTATAAATACTTAAAAAATTATAATAATAATTACTTATTTACTTAAATAATGATTAAAAATGATTATATGTAATCCTAAATGACAAAAACAGGAATTATACAGAATTGCTGTTTATAAATATAGAATATTTATACACTGTATAAAAAAATTGTATTAAAGTTTTAATTAATATCCCTTCTTTTTTCTATTTCTGTAACAATTTGCCTTCTAAACAAATCCTTCCTTTTATGTTTCCCAGATCCGTCGAGACATGATTGATGGTAAATCGGGGCAAAGAAAAATCAAGACTCTCATTAAATCAGTTGATGAGGCAAGTCATCAATATATGTGACTCAATCATGATCCAAAGTAGCACCTTCCTGTTGTTATGAATCTGAATTAGTCAATGTGTTTATTATCCATTGTTTCCTTCTAATTATGGAAAACCTAATGTGCTGAGACTTTAGCAGCTTTTACCCACTGCATTTGGTTTTCTGTTTATGATCACCCTCAGAGGTATATCGACGAGGCCATACGAACATACACCTGGACACCTGTTGATGGTACAGACTACAGGTAGGTTTGCATCCAAGCACACATCACCTGATATTCTGACCACAATATTGGAACCTGTAAGTGTTTTATGGTCTTCTATTACTTTAAAGCAGTTCACAGTTGAAAAAGTAGCTGCAGCTTCTACATCGCACATACTGATTAGCTGTCTGTATTTAATGCAACAATACTTAACTAATTTTCAAATTTATTTAACTTAAAGTCTGTTATAACAATGAAAATTGTACCTATTTGTAATATTATTACAGCTAAGCTTTATCAGCTTATCCAGGTTTCTGATTTACTGTTCTGAATATATATATAGGCCTAAAGAATTGATCCATTAGAGAAATATTGAAACTCAACTCAGTATAATCTATTGTAATGTTTTCTTTACAGAAACATTTGGTAGATTTATACTTTCAACAGTAAAAAGTTAAAAAGCAATGCTATTTGCTGAGTTATATGTCTTGCACCTGCTATTTACTACATAATCATTGACCAGTCTGATCCAAATGTATCCATAAGCAATATAATTGTACAGACATACCTTTGATTTTGAAACTAACTTTGTGATACTTTGGTTAAGTTTGGCCTAAGTGCGTCAAAACAGAGCTATACTGTTCTGAGCAGTGCTATTTCAGTAGCAAAATATCTGGTTGCAAACATTTCCTTTGTTGAAAGAAATAGCTTTGCTAATATGTAATATATATATATATATATATTGAACATCACACATTTTTAAATTTTCCTCTTTTAATAAAATGACAGGTAGATCTTCATCACTAACGTTATAGATTACTAAAAAACTAGATGGATGCATTTTTTTTACCTCTATATTGTTATGGCCAACTCAGATGCAGTATACATAATTGGAAATCTCAGGGGAAATGCACTGGACTAGGCTGCTCCAGGGAAAGGGAGAAGTTTTATGGTAAATTGTAAATGGCATGTACTTATATAGCGCCTTTATTCAAGTTAGGAGACTTGACCAAAGCGCTTTACACTACATTCATTCACCCATTCACACACACTGATGGTGGCAAGCTACATTGTAGCCACAGCTGCCCTGGGGCTCACTGACAGAAGTGGGGCTGCTGTACACTGGCGCCACCGGGCCCTCTGACCACCATCAGTAGACAATGCAGGTGAAGTGTCTTGCCCAAGGACACAACGACAATGGAAGTCGGAGTCGGGGCTTGAACCGTCAACCCTTCGATTTCAGGGCAAACTCCTACATCCAACGCCACTGTCGCCCCGTTTTATAGAAAAACGGTAGCCAACTCCCACTTCAGTCCAGCACACCTGAGACAAACCAACAATTAGTAAGAAACAGGGTCATCACAATATGAATTAACAGTATTTTTGTTTCTGGTGAAACATTGCTTTTTCTTTCAGCTGTCCTTCTTGAGTATCTAGATAGGATAATATTCAATTAAATCATAGCAAGGACAGTTTTTCTACAGAAAAAGAAAAAGGTTATAGTTTAGGCCCATGTATTTATCTCTAATCCTCCCTTAAAAATCATTAGTTCAATTGATGGGCTATTTTTGCATATTTGTTTTATACTTTCAGATGCCATTATTTCTTAAAGTTCTCAGGCTTCCTATAAATATTTCAGATTTTAAGTAAAATTGACACAAACACTACAAAACACTACAAAAAACCAGTACACGTTTAAACATTTCTTTTTTTACTTAGAAAATAGGTTTAAAAAGTATTTAATTGTGATAACCAGGGCCAAAGATAAGCTATCACTAATCTTAGGCTATCCGATTATAGAATCTGAAAGCGCATTGGGAGATAGAAGTAAACTGAAAAGACAAGCTTCTCAAATTATGGGAACAATGATGATCCAAGAGGGATTCAGTGTAGGAATAAGCATTAACCACGAGTTTGTTATTCTTCTCCATTAGTTTACAAGTTGACGTTTTTATTAAAATCAAGAAGCGGTGCAGTTTTACTTGATTTTGGTGCCTTTCAGATGACAGTGTCTTTTTTTTCCTTTGTTTTTTTACTGTTATTATCACAGCTGTTTTTTTTTTTTACTTGTTATCTCAGTGCTTTGAAATCAATTAAGTTAAAAATAAATGGTCAATTTTTACTAAAATATAGATTTGCTGACCATTTCCTGAGCTTAATTTTTCTGTAGCTTTGACCTTCATTTAAAAGAATTAACCAAGGTGAAGTGAAACTAGAGATAAACATTTTATGTCCCGTCTAAGAACTCAATAATGGGGTGTTTGAGATCAGAGGTGGTCTGCAAGGTTTTCACTGCATAGATGCATTAAATTAGAGTTGTTTTTCTGGAAAAAATAAATCATAGCACATTTACTGGATTATGAGGTCTGTTTGAAAATGTAGAACATCAAATGCTGCTGCTGCACACCGAGAGAAAGGCTTTTATGCTTTTGGGAAATTACAGCAAATCAAAGAAATCAAAGACAGAACACATCCAAAGCTTTGCACCAGCAACTGGCTGATGTTCTTCAATTAAAGCACCCTCGTTCATCTTGGAAATGTTCTTAAAATATGAAATGTGGATGCATAAAATCTATCACGTGTGTTTATGTTAGCTCACTTTGTTCCTTATTGTCCTTAACACAGTCTAGGGTTGGTACTGCCCACATATAGTGAGAACCATATCAAGGCCAACCTAAGTGACCAGATACTTCAGGTGCAGTGTAAGTACCTTGGGTCAGACCCGGCATCCTTCTCCCCTCTGTCACTTTCCTTCTCTGCTTCTCTCTGCTCTTTCTTTCTGATATGACCTTACACTTGAATTCAGTCATATGTCGCGGGTTTCCAACATCATCATACGGAGTTTCCGAGGGGGTTTAACTGCCCTGGCCCCTCAGCTTCCCTTTCCCCCTTCTCTATGCTCTCTGATAGGCAGGATCATACGGTTCCTGAGTCCCTCGACTCCTCCTCCTCCTCCTCCGCTCCCCCTGCTCCCTCCTGTCTTCATGCTGTGCTGTAAAATGGTGATGTTTTTTCTTCACACTGGCTGAAGAAAAAAATAACTGAACAGACAGAAAGGTGAAAGCTGTGGTTTTACTGTACTCCTCAGGTGAAAATAATGGTGACCTTTGTGCTATTATTTTTTGTTTTACCAAATGCTCTCGCCTCTTCTTCCACCATAGTAATGATTCTGAAGCATATGTGTTTTAAATTATTTAATGTTTCTGACCAGAAAAGTGTGAAAAAATGCATGCTTTTCACTCCTTATGATACATTTTATGATTTGAGGATTTGTTTTTTCCTTCTTTTTTGTGTGTGGTAATTTTTTTTCTTTTTTCGGACTGTGAAGTGTTGATCGGCTTTGGAATCATTCAATTGATAAACTCCCACATGGCCTGGAATAATGGCTTAACAACTGTGGGAGTTTTTTGTTTTTTTTCTCCTCACTGGGTCTGAATCGGGACACATGTTGTCTCTTTCATTTTTTCTTTGTCCAGACCCTGATTCTCCTCTCTTTTCCTGGTGTTTTTTTTTTTTCTAATTTCTGTCTTTTGATTTGCCATGGTTATTTCTCACAATTTGCCTTAAATGCATTTCCTTTTCCTGGCTTTGCCCAGGAGTTCTTTTGTTTCCTCTTTCTTTGTTTGGTCTTGCAAAAAGAATGTTTGTTTTTCATTTCTTTTTCTCTGTTGTCTAGTTTGACTTGAATTGTTTTTCTTTTCTTTTAAGAAAACAATATTTTTATTCAAACAGTAATTGAATAAAATATTGTCTGTGATCCCCCCCTTCCCACCCAATCCTCTGTTTCTTTTCTTGCTCTCTCCTTCTCTGATGGATCCACACAGGGCTAAACTCCAAGGGCAAGTATACTCCATATTGGTCCACGTTCCCTACCTTTACCTCCTAATCCCTACTGCTTCCTCCTCCTTACCTCACCTCTTGTCCTAACCCCCTCCTCCCTTTTCTCACCTGTCCCAGCCTGCTTGCCTTTGTCCCTGCCAGCCATGCCTTCAGGACCCCCCTTCCCTCTTTCTTTCTTCTTATCTCCTGCTCTTCCCTCTTTAATCCCTCTCCTGTTCCTCCACTTCACCCTCTTGCTGCAGCTCAGATACCACACTGCTCACAATGACTCCTACATGCCCAAGCCTCACACTTCCTTCCACATACAGTATCTGCTGCTCCAGGAACCTAAATGTATATATATATATATATATATATATATATATATATATATATATATATATATATATATATATATATATATATATATATATATATATATATATATATATATATATATATATATATATATATATACAAAGGAAAATAAAAAAGCAAAGCACCCATTGGAAGACAGACATTTCTGTTTTCTTTTAAAAGCTGTCTTTTGTCCCTGCTCTCACATCAAACCCGTTTCTGTAGACAATTTCACAAAATCTCTTCCTCCTCTGGCTTTTTCTTTCACCATATTGTGATCTCTCTATTCTACCCTCTACTTCATTGCAGTCTCTCTTTTTCTGTGTTATCTAAAGTGTGAATAGTACTTTTTTACGCAAGCATTCAGGTTCTAGCAGATATTTAATTTAAATATATCTATTTTGTTTTAAGTACTTAGATATATTTTTTCGTGACTAAAGTGCAGAGTTTCTTTCTGCTTTGCAAAATTACTCCTAACTGAACTTTTTGCCCAATACAGACAAAACATTTGCTAATTTTATTGGGATTTTATGGGACAGACTAACACAAAGAAATAATCCAAGTACAAAAATATAACAGTTTTCACAGGGTTCCTTTTAATGAAAGTTGGCTGGTAAAAACAGAGCTGCTGTATAATTAAAAAGTCCAAGGAGCACAGCACATGTCAGAAATCATCATCTGAAGAAATTTAAAGTAGGATTAAGGATTGAACTGATACTATAAACATTTTTGCAGACCATAAAACATAATGTTTCGTAAAAGCATGGGCATGGACCTAAACTGAGAATGATTAGAGAAGCAGAAATTGTGGAAATGCAGAGATCAGGGCGATATCTGCAGTCCATAAATTCCTCATAATAATGAACGGTGCAGAAGGAAGCCATTTTGAAAAGAAAAAAAAACATAAAAAGTGTGTTTTTCAGTTTGCCACAACTGTTTTAAAGGAAGACAGCAACCTGTAGAAGAATGGCTGATTTCAAACTTTTGGAGTCCATGCATAATGATTGTTTGGCAGAAAAATAATGCTTGTCACCCCCCACCCCCCAAAAACACCAGCCCCAGAGTGTTCAATGCTTTTCTCCAACTGTGACAAATTTTAATCAAGGGTAAAAGAAAATGGGTGGAGCTAAATACTGGCCCATCCTGGAAGAACACCTGTTAGAGGCTGGTTAAGACTCTAGAATGTAGCAGAGGATGACAGATCTACAAATGCAGATGATTATATAATGAAATGATTTATAATAAAGAATATTAGAGTCTAGATAGGCCCGGTCAAACTCCAGATCTAAATGCAAATGATAATCTTTGGCAATAGTTGATAACTATCGTAGATGCTCTTCGTCCCATTTAAGTGAGCTTGAGCTATATTGGAAGAAGAAAGCCTAAAATTTGGAGTCTCTAAATGTGTAAAACTATTAGATGTACCACAAACGACTTGCCAACATAGATGTGGTGAAAGTGCAACAACTTACTGATTAGTTTCATTACATATAAATGCAGAGCACTCTTTTCAGATTTTTATTGGAGTACAAAAAATCAAACCATGGATTATTTTTCCATCATTTGTCAGTCAACCTTTCACACAAAATCCCAATAAAATGCATACAGTTTCTTTTAAACAGGAAGGTAACAAACACATTTTTCCTAATTGTAAAATATTGTTATATATTCTTTATCAAGCTTTGTGTTTTTGACAGAAGATACAGTGTAGTGTCATAAAGTTTTATTAAAAATAGGGTAAAGATTTATTTTTCTCCATATTAAGTTTGCATTTAACAGCTTGGCTGTCATGATCCGTCTGCCCTTAGCTGGAAGCAGTGCATTGTGCAGACTAACCCCACAGGGCTGAGCTCTATCCTGCCCTCTCAGGTCTCCCCATACTGTCAGGTTTCTCACCTGACTCCTAAATGTTATCCCTCTGTACTCCTTGTCTCCATCAGCTTGTTCCCTCTCCCTCCTCACCCCTCAGACTGCAGGGGGCACGGCCCAGTGCTTCCTCTGTAAACCTGACCCTGGATGTGCATGGCATTGTGGGTGGAAAACTACCTGGGCACTCCATTTTTGCGGTCTAAGTAAACGTCTTAAGTCGATTAGAAAATGTTGGGCTTCAATGTTAAGGGGGTTCAGTGGCTTTTGATGTGCAGCCTTGTTCCTGTCAGATCAACCAAAGTTGCCCCATGATATGCCCTTCACAATGTGATGCATTTCCCCCAATTAAGTGTCTCTCAGTCCTCCCCCCTGCCAGTCTGAGGGGTGATCAGTTCCATTAGGACCTTCACCCACCTCCCCTCCCTGCAAATAGTTGGCCATGTTGATGCCTGCCTGATCTAAAAGCACTCATTACATACAATCTGTCGGAGAACTCGCTTCCTAACACATCTTGTCAGGCGAAGTCAGTTCTCAGACATCCAAAATAAATTACACTGAAATCCTACCTAATCAGAAAAAAAGGGATTTGCTGACAAAGCAACAAGTGAAACAGAAGATGTGAGTGCTTGTGGAAGTAAAAAGAAGTTGTGCATTGAGTCAGGTTGTGTTTTAGGCACCATATTGGCTAACGCAAGTGTTCCCATGATACCTCACTGTTGCTATGGTAAAGTCCTCCTGCGTCCCTGAAGAACAGCTGCTGTTTACCCAGTTTACTCCCCGCTGCTCTGCCCTCTGCTCTTCCTGGATAATCTCCCCTTTCTGTTGCAGATTTTGAATCTCTGCTGCCAAACAGTTTTGAGTCTGAAGGACATGTATTCATTGCTCCCAGGTAGCCCTCTGTGTGAATGCTTGCTGTCGTTGATGGTCATCAGTTTTTGCTGTTGTTACATTTCAGTCACTTTACTCTTTATGTAGGCCCACTGTATGTCATGAAGTTTATATTTATAAAGGGAAACATTTGACAAGTAACCTTACTATATGAAAAAGTTATTAGTTGGTTACATACTAGTAAAAAATGTAATACGAAAAACATGTTAGATGGCTGCATGCTGCTGCTGTGTTTTCCTGCATGTTTGCATTGCAAAAACACAATCTGCATTCATTAGTCAGGTTGTGTGACAAAATTAAGAAAACACCAATCATCCCCAGTTTTACCTAAAGGGAAACAATGCATGTGTTTTTATATTGTTGTATAGAATTCTTGATAACTTTTCAAGCATCCAAAAATGACAGGTTGGGTTTTTTTTAAATGAGGTCCTTGGGAGAAGAGTCAGTGTCTTACCTGTTGTGCAGCTCAGAGTCGTCTCAGTTTAGAGAACATAATACAGGAAAGGATTAAACTGCAAGTAGGTTAAAGGTGCATAGTCATGTTATACCATATACAAAAAAAGACCAAATACAATTTTATCTTTCTCAAATTACCATATTTTCTGGACTAAAAAACACACCTGAATATTAGATGCATAGGCTGAAATTAGGGGAAAATCCTGTTTTGTTAATACATTAGTCGTACCTGACTAAAAGTTGCTGGTGTTTTAATGTTTAATTACCGTAAGACAATATGCAAAAGGGGATTGTCAGGAAAGTGATGGTTGCCACCCTTTTATTGACAGTTTGAAAAACAAACTACCGCTACATATATGCATAACTTTTTTTGTATATGTACATTTACCAGTAATTACAAGTACAGAACATGTACTGTTTTGTTTAAATAAGCAACAAATGTACTGTATAAAAATAAAATACAGCACACCAGAAAAAATAGATTCAGCCTACCTTTTGGGCTAAGGTGCAGCTTAGGCTTTAACAGGAAGCAGAGTCAGTCATTCATCGCCACTGCCATCGTTTTCTTCCTGAAAACTAAAACCAACCAATTCCTGTTCTTCATTGTCAGAAACAATAGGCTCAGGGTGGCTTCATCATCCACTCTCCGCTTCTCTCCTTCTTTCCTGTCACTTTCAAAACCAAAGAACTCCTCATTGTCAGCGTCACGTTCCTCCTCTTCATCACGCAGCAGTCAGGCCCTTCTAAATCTTTGTGATCGTGGGTGTTTTTACACTTTTCCACACTGTCACAATCCACTGGCAGACTTGGGCAAAACTTGCTTTTCGCATGTGACCATTTTTGGCGAATTATTTATTGCCACTCATCATCCACGCCTTCCACTCAACACGTAGTGCTACTTTTAGCGCACAATTTACACTAACGTCAAGTCACTGCATTTGCTGATTTTTCTCGCTAAATCGTACACCACTACTTTTACTGGCGGATGGACATGTGACCAACATGCCACTCTTTTCCAATGGTACTGTGTGTTTGATAAAATGCCCTTCGGCCAGGAAAAGTAGTGCTGTACAACAGCGGAACAAACCAATAAAGAGCCTCTTACTATATCACAAAAATAATCTTAAAAAGTTCAGAGAAAAGAGACAATGGGCGATAAGATGCAGGGTTCAAAGGTTATGAAAAATTTAGCAGCTTATCATCCAAAAATGATGGTAGGCTATATACACCAGGCATCCATCCTGATAATGTTTTGATTGTCCTTTTAGAGGCGAAATCTAATCTCAGCACCAGGCACGATGAGTGGACACAAACAGATATGGTGCCATCTTCTGGCAGTACCAAAGGAACTATTAGAAACCCAGATAGCAACATTGAGGCAACTACTTAATAAAGCCCAATCATTGTGCATTGCCTTGCTGTAAAGAAACAGCTCGGAATGGTTGAAAGCCTACTGATGTTAATTAAACAACATAACTACAACAACTTTAAATTCTACTGAAGCCCACAGAGCTTTCTTTTAGTATATAAAAATATTTTTACTTACTATCACTAATCGTGATAAGAAGCATGCACTAACGCATCTATCAACTCCACACCCACATTTAAAAGCGTCAGCAGCTTCAGCTCCCACTGCATTAAAATCTAACATTCATACTGTATTCCAAATGATTAATCGACTCTTATCCCACTTGAAATCAAATATTTCTTCCACACTGGACTTTGGACTTTTTTTTAATTTATTTTTTTCAGTTCACTAAGAGGTGCTACTTGGCTTAGCTGAGGCTACTTCCATCTTTACCCCCTAAATACATGTGCCGTATTGTAAGGCCTTTCTTATCATAAATATACACAAAGAGCTATATGTGTTTATAATTCACCCAAAACTAAGTGTAAAACACAAAAATAAGAAGTAATGTGCCAGTAGTTTGGGTAATCTTTGGAAAAACTGTTTTGTGAATAAAAAAAAGTCCTATAACATGACTAAGCGCCTTCGATAACTTCAAAATTGCATGGTATTCCATGCCATGACACTAATACTGCTTACTTTTGGTGATTTTATTCAATGTAGAATTATGTTGCTAAAGTCAAAGAAAAAGGTAGAATTTCACAACTTGTTACATAACTGAACACGGTCTGACTGGAGGTTCCTAACCAGCTAGCAGTTTTAACTCTTCTGATTAGACTTAAATCTGACATAAATCAGAAGGGATTATTTCACTATTTGCTGTTTTTTTGTAATTACACCTTAATTCATACATTTTTATTATAACATTAGGAATAATCTGATGATTTAGTGGGTAATAGAAACAACGTTAGGTCTAACAATAGTTAACATTTGTCTTTGATTATATGAAGAATGCTTTGCTATATACTCATAAGTTATAAAATAAAGGAGTGAGCAGTTGCCAGGCAGACTCAAAATATTTCATTCTAAAAAAATTTAATTTGCTTAGGCATTTTCTGCAGAAGATTGATCAGTAATTATATCTTCTCACTTGCAAACAGTCATCATCTCAGTCCCTTTCTTTGTATTGGTTTACCTGCTATTTAATTAAAACAAATTGGTTTAGATCAACTTCTGGATAAGGGAAGAATCAAATACTCGCTTGCTGCTTGTGTATCATTATTATTGTTGATAGTTCATGAAGAAGTTACTTTTGGTTACAAGGTATATTAACTTCTGATTTAGTATAACTGATAGGTTTATTTAGACTGATGTGGAGCTATTGGGGCCTGGTTCTATTAACTGGTTCCAGTCAGACTGGCCTTTCATTCTGATAGTTTTTTCCTTTTCTGTGTCTCCAAACTAAGGCTTAAGATCATCTGTAGCCTACTTTAAAGTAAAACACTGACTTTTCATAACAGCTCCATCAAATCCATTGTATAATAAATGTTTTGCCTCTCTGTCACATCAACTTTGGAAACGTTTTTGTAAACCTCCTCACTGTTCTCCACCCTGTGTTGTGTGCCTTTCAGTTAAAAACATTTTAGAGAAAGTATTTACAGTTAGAACATGCTGTTTTGTTTCTTTACCTTCTGAACTTTATTTCGTTGCCTTTTTCTCAGGGAGTACTGCAATGATCTTGAACTGTCCAACAACAACACAGAGTTCCTTCTCAACTTCATCGCTCTAATGGAGAAGGTGACGCCAGACTCCAAACAATGTAGGTTTCAATTCTATTACAAGTCTGGGTTACCTGGTGCAACCAGGCGTCAAGCAGTTTGGTTGCACAAGCATATAAAACTTTTTTTTTTCTTCTTCTTTTAACGGAGAAAGAAAAATATTCTTATGTATGTACACACAGATAGAAAGACCAAATGCATATAAAGTCTTTAGGCAGCCCTGCCTGCAGTTAATGAAAAGTTAATGTCAATAAATCTGCCACCATCAGATTTTGGTTCAGCTGCATCATACTCCTGCTTCTCCCCATACTCTGCCAAAAAAGAACTGCTTTTTGCAGCAGTCAGATTTCCGTATTTTGTCTAAAGGAACATTCTATCAGACCTCTACAACAGGAGTCTTTGACAGACATCCAGACTTTAGAGGTGATCTTTGAAATTCATTTAAGGATCATCTCTGATTGTAAAATTAGTCTCAATACTGAGTATATTTGTTATGTATATGCGCTTCGGCTAATCACCCCCCCCCCTCCCCCGCCATAATAAATAAGTTAAGAATAGACCAAAACAAAGTCAAATTAGACAAAAGAATAACATCAGACTATATAATATAAAGATACCCATCTAAAAAATAATTAAGAATTTCAATTTCAAAATAAATCAAGGTTTTGCTGACAATCAGAACAACATAAGCCAGGACTACAGCAGGAAGCTATGACAGAGAGACGAGGAGAAATCTTCACAAGATGATTACAATAAAAATGATTCATTTTCATGTGCTGTCTATAATGATTTCCAAAAATGTATTTAAGAGAATATTCATAGATGTGGGAAAATATTTGTGGAAGTTTGTATATGATTCTATTGTATCATGATGTTAAAGTTATTTAACATCATGTCTATGGGGAGTGTTGGCCTAGTGGTTAGAGCAGTCACTTGTGCTTTGAGAAGGTTGCAGGTAGCTGCTTCGATCCTCACAGCCTGCACTCTGGGTCCCTGAGCAAGACCCTTAACCCCAGACTGCTCCCTGGGACGCCACTCAATGGCAGCCCACTGCTCCCCAAGGGGATGGGTTAAATGCAGAGGTAAATTTCTCCAATGTCGGACAATAAAGGGATTTACATTTCTCACTAGGTGGTTATGTAGGTGTGCAGCTTTTCTTTTTTTTCAGAGCCTTTTAAAAGAAGGAAATATTTCTTTTGTGTAAAGAAAATTGTAAAAAATCAGTGGATCCAGTGTTTTTTTTTCTATGTTTTTTTCAGCAGTAGAAATCTGAGTTTATTAAACAGAAGTTGTGAAGTTTTTTCACTTTATTGATCCCTGTTGGTATAAAAGCTTGAAATAATGGGCTGAATGCATCATGTGCGGTGCACTACAAACAGAAGGCAGGCTGTTACATACACTCATTTTCCTAATGCAACAGTTGGACTACTTGTCGTTTTTCACAGCAGTAAAATTTCCCTCTCCAGGGGTTTCTTTAGAGAGTATTCCAATTTTGTGATTTGATGTTGTTTTTTTTTTAACTAAACCTTTTTCTCTAGGTCTAATAGCCACACATCACTATAAAACAGATAATCCGATATAGCAAGATGATTATGTGCATTATAGTGACTCAAATTGCAACCATGTCCAAAGTGGGAAAAAAACATGATAAGGCAGATACTAAAATAGTTTGATAATACTACTGCTAGTAAAAGTAAGAACAGGAATGCCTTGTTAATTAACTTTAGCATATTTTTTATATATATACTTTACCCTTTTTTGTAAAAAGACTTAAAAAACTGCAATTATGATGACAGCACTTTAAAATGATCATGCAAAATCTCATATTCAAATAATGGGAGGTTGCATATAAATTAAAGTATAAAAGTTATGTATTGTAATTGGTTTGGCACCCTGTATGTTAATTAATTAATCTGATTAAGATAATAAATGATGCACTTCTTAAAATGTTTTAGTCTTCCGTTGAGGGTGGTCTCCTTCTTGAGGCAGGGTTTTGAAATTGTTTAGGGTGGCATTGAGTGTAGTTTTTTTTTTTTTTTTGTGAAGGATTTATTTTGAAACAAACTCTATTCCATTTAGGTATACAAAATCATGTACCTAGGTTTTTATCTTTGTTGGTGTGGCTATAATATCAAGATAAATAATAGATAAAGAATTTTAAAATTGGCAGCATTTCTTTCCCTCCAAAATCAACTCTACATAGTGTAGGTTTATTAAATCAATTTCTTTCCTTTTCTTACAGGTGAAAGTTTGCTTCTTCACAATCTGATTTTGGATACTGGCATCATCCGGCAGCTGGTTGATAAAGTGTGGAAGAATAAAGATTTGAATACGTGAGTATTATCAAGCTGCGGTGAGGAAAGTCTATTCTCAAATATCACCAGTGGGGATGATTTAGATCTGAGGGTGTTTGTTCTTTTCTGCTCCATCCTGACATTTAGATATGGCTTCCTGGCTGTGTTTGCTGCAACAGATGGAGGAATAACACGAGTCTTTCCAAACAAGTAAGGGCAGATATCCTCACAGCTGTGTGTCTAGTCTGCACTCTCTTCTTTTTCTTTTTTTTTTTTTAGATTGTACATTGCTCACTCTGTTATATTTTTGGATAATAAGTTAGGATCTTACATAAGGGTAAAGAAGAAGGCAGTATTACATATATTTGCTACTCTACTTCTTCTGGTTTGAAATTTCAGAGCTGCAGAAACCTGGGAGGAAGACCCAGAGCCATTTAATGCTAGCTATTACCGCCGCAGCCTTGACAACAAGGGTTACATCTTCACAGCGCCTTATCGATCAGGTAAATTATCTCTTTGTGTAGCTTAGATGAAGCTTGAAGCATCCCCTTACACACATCGCGTTTCTTGACTCTTTGTTTTTCTCATGCAGCCGGGGCCGATCTGTTGAACCCAGAAAACGACACAGTGGGAATCCTGGTCAGCACGGCTCTGGATATTACAATAGGCGGGAAGACAGTCAAACCTGCAGGTGAGTAAATAGGGAGACTTTATCCATATAATCATAGATATTAGTGAAAATGTTTCAGAAGGTAACAGTGATTCCATTGCTTAGGGTTGGGTGATATGAAGAAAATTTAATATCATGATATATTTGAGCTATAATCGCGACACACAATATATATCACGATATGTTTAGATTTCCTTCAAAAACAGTATTCCTAAAATTGCACTGATATACTTATTCAAACTGACATGCCAATATGTCGGTGATTTAAAATTTATTTTAAAAGTAATTTTATTTTAACCAGCTCAAAGCTTTTCACTAATGATACTGCCACATTATGTCTTTCAATGTCAGTATTAGACCTTTAACAAGATCCCAGGAAGCAAAGCAAAAACACGCAATAGTAAATAAAAACTAAAATAAAAAAGGGCTCTTTTGTGCACAATAAAAAAACTGCAGAATGAAAAGATAAATTGACCTCAAATTACAAAAACAAAAGTGGAAATACTGTCCAAACACACTCAAAACTATTTGCATTGATCTTTACGTGCTGGGAATTTTAAAGAATCACAAAAGATGTAAAATTGAGAACTTTGCCAAGTTTAGAGAATGCCTCCAAAGCCTCTGAACAAGACCACATCACATTACAGGTATTAGAGCATATAAAAAACACATAAATAACGCAATAAATATCCTCTGCAATTTCCCTCCATCTCTTCCTTTTTGTCTCATTTGTGACTGCTTTTTCAAACGAGAAGGCCAAAGTCATCTACTTCACAGCTGATTTAATTAACCTTTTAATTGGTGTAAGTTTACACTCATTTTGCAGCGAAAGACTTTTTAGGTGGTGGAATAAATGTGTACTCCTTCCTTTAGCAGCAATGGTTTTGCAGCACGCATTACAAATTACCACCTTTTGTTCGACATCCTCGGCATGAAATCCAAACCACCGCCACATATAGCTTAGCTGAAACATCTGCTGTTGCCATATTTGTTTGCCGGTTGCTGTAGCATACGTGCCGTGCAGAAAATAATCCTGTTTGGTGGAGAGGTTTATGATGCATTCAAAGTCTGTGGAAAAATTAAAACTCTCTGTGAAATTGATGTAGATGGCTTAATGTTTTCATGCACATTTATATTTGATGGTTGCGATAAAGTCATTTTAACTATTATGCGTGGTGAAAATTAAGATACAAGTATATTCAATATATCTCCCACTCCTACCATTGCTGCAAGGCATGGCTTAACGGTAACTGCTAAACATGAGTCCTCTAAATTGCTAATGTCAAACATAACTGGAACACATAAATTTTCATTTAACAATGGCTTTCTTCTTGCCTATCACTGATAAACCACCAGGTTTGGGAAATGAATGACTTACAAGTATTGTGTCGTAAAAATCTTCTATCTGAATCGTGGATCACTGCAGTTCCTCCAAAGTTTTTTGGCTTATTTTCTGATTTATCCCCTCCTTGCCTGGCCTGTCAGTGTAGATGGACACTCTTGTTTCTCTGGGTTTGCAGTTACTGTGCAAACCCAGTTACTGTGGATTATAAATATTTTTTAAGACAGTAAATATTTTTTATAGAAATTTGCCTGCTTTGTAGCGGCCTTAGTTTTCCCTCTGTGTGCTTCTCGTTTTATGTATTTTATCCCTTCCTTAATGAGTATGCTAACTTTGTTATGTTTTCTCAGTTCTTGGAGTAAAGTTGGATCTTGAAGCCTGGACCGATAAATTCAAGATTCTTGCCAGCAACCATACAGACAGTCGTCAAGGTTCAAATACGGTAAAAGAGAATGTTTAAAATGTTGAATTTAAAGTAAAGTTAAATTGTGAGAGTTTTAAGCCTGTCAATAAACTGTTTGTTTCTACCTTTAACAGTGTGGACCATACAGGGGCTGTGAGATGGACTGCGAAGCTAATAGTGATGTAGGTATTTCCACTTACTCGACAGATTTAAATGAAAGTATTATTTGCTTTCTTTTGTCTGTCTTAATATTGTTGTGGTGCACTGCTATAAAACCTCCTAAGATGCATTGCCCTCTGTCTTTTTTGCAGGATCTCCTGTGCTATTTAATTGATGATGGTGGTTTCCTTATTATGTCAAATCAGAAGGATGATTGGAGCGAGGTTTATATAAAAATTATATATTTTTCTTTAGAAATATTTGTTTGTATTTTTATATATACAAAGAGTACTGAGCAAAGTGTTTTAACCTTGCAGGTGGGCAAATTTCTTGGTGTGGTTGACCCAAACTTGATGTACGCCCTCTACAACAACTCCTTCTACAAACGCAAGCAGTCATATGATTATCAGTCTGTGTGTGAACGAGTACAAAACAGTGAAGCTGGAGCTGCACGGAGAGGAGTGTTTGTGGTAAGAAAAGCCCAGTCCTGCTGAGCCTTGCAAAGGACAGCAGTTCGGTACCTTTGCAAGCTGATTTTTATAAACCTTGGAAATGGATTATAACTTACTTTTCAAAAAAACTGCAGAATCCAGATTTACGTTTGTAGGAAAATAAAAATGGTTGGGCGTGCCTTGGTGGCGCAGTGACCCGTTTGTCCGGTTCAATTAGCATTTTTTTCTAAGCCAAAACAAGCCTTTGTTTTTGGTTCACACTATAACGCCTCAAACCTAATGCTATTTCTGCCATTTTGAATTGAAAAAGCTTCCTGAATGGGAAGAGAAACCTCTTCAAACTTGGAAACGAAGTCCAGTAGATTGTTTTTGTTTTTTATGTTTTTCAACTTTTATGAAGTCAAAGAAGTTCATATTTTGGTTTTCAAATGGACAGTGATTTCAAAGGAGCAATAAGTAAGAAATTGAAAGCAAAATTAACCTTAATTATTCTCATTAGTCACCCGAGATGAGAGTAACATTACCTACAATTGGTTCTCTCCAACAACATCATCTTGATCGAGTTTCTCTCAAATACTTTGCTGCAGTTTTTACCTTCTGGTTCCTGGTTCCAATTATATTAAGAGTTCCAAGTGTTATCAAAACCAAGCTCAGCATTTGTGTTTTATGTTGGAAAAAGCATGGAAGCCAGCTAAAGCAGCAGACCAGAAAAGGTCTCAAAAGTATCTAAAAAGCTTCAGCTTCTTTTAAAAGCATTTGCTCAACAACTTACTGTGGCTAAATTTTTCCAGTTGCCATCTTGATTTTAGTTGCGCTACGTCCTCATCTCTCTTGGTTTGTACACCTTTAATCATCTCAGAAGGGGGACTAGCTCTTTTATTTGTTCTTCCAATTTGAAACGGTGTCATTACTATCTTTTACTCCTTTGAATTAAGTCCTTCCTGAAACATCTGAAATTCTCTGAAAATGCAGCCTTTAGTCTTTGAGCTGAAGTTGATAAGATGGAGCCTTCACCACTACTCTAACTTCCCTCCTCTGGCTACCTTTGCGTTTTAGATTTAATCTCTTCTTTTTCTCTTCTTTTTAAAAGTCTACTTTTTCTGAGCTTCTTTACCTTTATTCTCCTGCTGGATGCCTCAGGTCACCCGATCAGCTGTTTTATGGTGGTACTAAGATCTAAATGGAAACTCAGATGGGAAAGAGCCTTTAGGGTTACTGCTGCGAGGCTATGGAATAATCCCTCATTGCATATCAGATGGAGTAGTTTACTCTCCACTTTTAAATCTCCTCCAGGAAAACATTTTATTTATTGGTTTTGCCAGACTTAAATTTTCTGTTTTTACTTCTGTTTTATTGCTCAATAATGTTTTCTTTCGCTGGCTGGTTTTTCTTATTGTTTTTTTTTTTCATTGTTTTACTTGGCAAAATGTCTTAAATTTTACATGTGTAGAACATTTTTGCAGCTGTGGTTGTTCTAAAATTCTTAACTAGTATGAGGTGACTATAAGGGTTTCAGGTGGAAACTGAGACTCCTATACTGAGGTCTTAGTATAGGAGTCATTTTCTTATCATTCCATTTTCTGTCAGAGGAAAAAAAAAACATAAAATAAAATAACACTTTTCATTGTTTTGGAAAATGTTTTGTTCTTTCCAGTAAAAAAAAAGCATCTATTTATTCAGAAAGAAGCAATTGAGAGGTCAGAAAACAGTCACTTCTTCATTTGTTTTCTTGCTGCTCATGTCAAATAAGAATATAAATAGTAGTTTAGGAAAGAGAAAAATATAAGAAGGTAATTATAAATCTGTCTTATGAAGACAGAGATAAATTATATTTTCTTTCCTGTGTTTCTGCAGCCCACGATTGCAGATTTTGTCAACGTGGCATGGTGGACGTCAGCTGCTGCATGGTAAGATCAGAAATACCTCAATACCATATTGGTTACACAGACTGGGTTAGGATTTAATGGAAATATTTCTGTAATTATTTTAATGGTCAAAGTAACGTAAAGACAGAGAAGAAACAAATGAGAATAATCAGTTTTCTGCATTTGTCTTGTTTTTTATCCATTTTACAGATTTTTTTTTTCATTGACCACCAGCTCTATTTGCTTAAAAATGTACTACTTATCCAGTTAAGGTACAAAGCAAAAGATAAACGGAGTCTAAGAACTATATGCAGCTTCTCAATATTTGGTTCTGAGTATACAGTGTAGACATGAGACTGAGTGCCCTGGTTATTATTACAAGTCTTTAATGAATTTTAATCCTCAGCAATGCACTGATTAAAACTAAATAAGAAAAATATTTTAAAATTGATACTTTGACATACATTTACCCCTATAAGGATGTTAGAATTGGAATCATATGCTAAACCTTAAGAGAGCTGTGTGCCATCTGCTTAGATAGAACTCCAGTTCTTTCTTATTTTGATCTGAGGTAGGAGAAGCATGTAGGTATTGAAAAGGGGAACCCCAAAGACTGACCCTTAGGGAACTGTTTGTGTGGTGACTAATATGCAGTGACCTACTGACATCAAAGAGTCCCTGTCCTTCCAGCAACACTCAAACCAGTCAAGTGCTGTGCCCAAAAAACGACCCTAGTCGCTCAGCAATACAGCGAAGTTCTGAAACAGAGCAATAGTCCATTTCTAAGGGTATAATCCCTATAATTTTCTTCTAATCTGTTATTGGAAATTTGTGGTTTTAATCACATCTCTTATCACTGCAGGTCCTTGTTCCAACAGCTTATATATGGTTTGGCTTATCATAGCTGGTTTGTCATAGGTGGGTAAAAGCAAAGATTTCACATTTGATGTCAATGGACCTGTGCAGCGCGTGTTGTTAACATTTCTCTGTGTTCTGTCTATGCATCAGACGAGGCAGATGCAGAAGGAATAGAGTCAAAAGAGAGGAGTTGTGTGATGATCCAAACCCAGTACTACTTCAGTAACCTCAGCAGCTCATACAACATCCTCCAAGACTGTGGCAACTGTTCCAGGTCATGCATATGTCCTCTCACTCAAATCATATTCAATTAGTGAAAGAGGTACAGATAGCAAGCAGCACTGCAGATTGTGTTTTTATTAAAATGATCACATTATTGGCTAAATGAGCCTTGTAGAGTTGTCTCATAAATCTTGCTGATCCATTAGCAAATGAGTGTGAGAAGCAAGCAAGCAAAGGGAGGTTGTCGACAAAGCTGTCTGTTTTTTTGTTGTTGTTTTTTTACTGCAGGCTGATTCATGCCAAGAGGATAAACAATACCAACTTGCTGTTTGTGGTAGCAGAAAAGCTGCCATGCAGCACCTGCGAGATAGAAGATCTTTCCCAGGACAAGGAGGAATGTATCCTTTTCACATTTTACCCACCAGTCGCTAAAATCACACAGTATCACCCCTCTTTTGTAGCTGTCGGGTTCTTTAATGTTAGATTTTTTTTAAATGTTCCTTAATTGAGTATTAAATCAGTCAAGGAGGAAAATCCCTGTGAAGAAATGACGGCAGCACGGTATCGAAAAGGACCTGTCAAATGCTTCGACAACAACGTAGCTGTGAGTTTCAAACGTCCTTATTTCAGTTTGCTAGATTTGCTGCATCTATAAAGGCCTAATGATGACTACTTGACAAGAGTATCCTTAGAAAAAAGATAAAATTCCATCATTTTGAGTCTAAAACTGTACATCTTAGCTATTATTCGGTAACAAAACATGTCACTTGATGTATTCATTCGACACACTAGTTTAAACCAACTTAACAACGCATGCAGTCTCCTGCTGTAAATCTGTTTTCATTTTTCCAAATGTGCATTAATCCGTAGCTGAAAATAGTCTGAAAATTTATGATACAGGCTCCGAGCTGTAGGCACATGTTTCTAGGAATCATTTAGGCTAAAGTTATATTTAATCATCATGACTTGATTACAACCATAAAATGCCTTCGTCATAGGTTCAGTTGGTGACTTAAAGATTAAACAGCAGCTACACTTTGGCTTTGATCAAAACAGCGACAAATAATAAAACTAAATAAGTGTTTTATATCTAATACTGGGAATTAAGATAGAATCCATTAATGATTAGATTACTCAGCTTGCATATCCTTGGCAGTTATATACAGAGGATCAACATTCCCAGGTCACTTCAGATTTAAATAAAATCCTAACAAACAAAAGGCTGCATGAAAACATTGATAAAACACCTCTATCTGACTTCTGCTTGCACAGTTTATATTTAAAATGGATTTACTTTCACCTTACCGCACATTGTGTTTGGGGGGGAAAATTATTAACATTTCCTTAAAATGGATAGGCATCATTCAGGCTCATTAAAATTATTTTATACATAAAAACATTTTTTTTATGTAAGGAATAACTTAAAAAGGATTCTATAGGCCAAAGTTAAATAATATTAATAATCATAAAATGTAGTAGTCTGTAAATTGGGTCTAAAGGCTCAGTTATGCTTATATCTGCAGCTTTTATACTCTATGGAGCTTTTTTCCCTGTAATATTCTCATGAAATCTAGGGGTGCATGTTCAGCACCGACAGCAAACTGACATCAGACAACATGTAGATGTTTCCACATTTTAAAGCCTCTTTATGCCATCAAAGAGTGACAGTAGTGACATAGTGACATTTCCAAGGTTGGAGGCAACATCGGCCTAATGGTTAGGGCATAGAGCCTGGAATCCTGACAGTCTGAGCATGGGCGTAGGTTTACATATGGACCATAGGGACATGTCCCTACCAAAATTTTGAACCGACCTAATTGTCGGTTCTTTTATAAAACAAAATATTCTGAGTCAGCCAGGAGTTCTGAAGACTCCTGGAAAAATGGGCAAATAAAGGCTGTAAGCCATCAACATTTCTGTTTCTTAGCCACAGCCAACTAAAAAAGAAAATGTGAGGGTTTCCTTTTTACCGATATTTAGTATTACTGTTTTCATTTTTTGATGACTCTTTGAGGAAGTTCAGGTATAATTATTAGCAGGTGTTATTTCTCCTATAGAGTATAACAACAAGAAATGGCGTCTAAACATCTGCTGTTTTTCATTTTAAAAGCATAATTAGGGTTCCACATAATAATAGTAATTTAATTGACTATTTATACTTCTAGAAATAGGATAAAGACAAGAACAAACAGAGGAAGAATATTAACATTGATTTTATCTTTCATAGATTTCCACACAGTCTATAAGTAAATTAGTACAAACATTAATTTCTGGTAAAAATGTTTGAATCTGGCTGTTTATTTTGGATATTATTAAATTACAGATAAGATAGTGTTATATTGTCTTTTATAAAAAAATTTGTCTTTTATGTAAAAAGTGATTTTATATTTGAATAAACTTAGGCTTTTTCTCAGTGTTGTGTTTGTAGGTGAGGCCATAAAAATGGAAATTGACATATGGAGCTATTTAAACAGTCAGACAGTAAGCAATATAGGACAATGATAAAAGGTTGTGTTTCATTAAATCCTTTACTATTATAAATGCACTTATACATTATATGATTATAGGAAACACAGATATCCAGTAATAATGATGCAGGGCAGCTTGTAGGTGAAGCAGCTGGCCCTTCAGTGCTTCAGGTGATGTCTAAATAAACCAGGTGAAACTAAAATATTTCCACATGAGGAGTTCTGGATGGAGAATATTGACAGAATTTTTTTTTTTATCTTATAATATATATATATATATATTGTAATTTTGGTATAACTACTGATCTAAGTGGGTTGCTCTGTCGGGGAAAGGCACATTTTACATATATATTATGTTTTAGAGTCTCTATTCTCTAGTTTATGATGAATCACTTACTATATTAGTGAAATGAAATAATGAAATAATAATTATTATTGAAATAATCAATTAATATGATTCATTTTTTCAGCCCCAGATAAAATACATGAAATGGGCTACACAGAGTAACTACAGCCCAGATGTTCAACTTTTATAGTGAAGTTAATATTTTTATGAATGTATTATTTTGCTTGATACAGAGAGAGCATAGTAGATAATAATATAAGAGTGGGGTTTAACTCTGCACAATTCTATATCTTCAAAGAAAATACTGTATTTACCTTCTCTCTTAGTCGTTCAAATGAAACCATTTTCAAAGTGGAAAACAGTCCTAATTCCACATTCATCACAGCCTGTGATACTTCAAACATTGATAAACATAAAGCATAAAAAAGGGCATGCGTATAGCATAGCACCAATGACACCCGACCAATAGTGTCCCTACCAAATTTCAAATCAAACCTACGCCCTTGAGTCTGAGTACGAGCCCCACACCTACAAACTGCCACTCTGGGTCTCTGAGCAAGACACTTAACCCTTGATAGCTCCTCGGGCGCCCCACGATGGCAGCCCACTGCTCCTCAAGGGGATGGATTAAATGCAGAGGTAAAATTCTCCAGTGTGAATTTAATTAATATTATATTATTATTATTTTTATAATCTGTTGATTATACTTACATTTATGGGACAAATCATAAGAGGTCTCTAGAGGTTTATATTTGTGAACCCTCATCAGTAGGAACTAATGGTCATCATGTTTTTCATCAGTCCTCGCCGACATGTCAAGCATAAACCAGGCTTTATGCACCAACAGCTGTAGTTTCTATTATTTGGCTCGATTGGTTATTAGAAGTCTAGGTACATCTTGGTTTCAGTAATGAAATATCACACTAAAAATATTTTAATAAAGCTTTCTTTGACTTAAGTTTGTGTTAGCCACACAAAAGGTGTTTCTAAATAACATTTTTTTTTATTTGTCTGGATGCTAGTAGTGGAGGAATGAGCTAAATTTCTTCACATACACTATATTGCCAAAAGTATTTGCTCACCCATCCAAATTATTGGAATCAGGTGTTCCAATCACTTCCATGGCCACAGGTGTATAAATTCAAGCACCTAGGCATGCAGACTGTTTTTACAAACATTTGTGAAAGAATGGGTCGCTCTCAGGAGCTCAGTGAATTCCAGCGTGGAACTGTGATAGGATGCCACCTGTGCAACAAATCCAGTCGTGAAATTTCCTCGCTCCTAAATATTCCACAGTCAACTGTCAGCTGTATTATAAGAAAATGGAAGTGTTTGGGAACGACAGCAACTCAGCCACGAAGTGGTAGGCCACGTAAACTGACGGAGCGGGGTCAGCGGATGCTGAAGCGCATAGTGCGAAGAGGTCGCCAACTTTCTGCAGAGTCAATCACTACAGACCTCCAAACTTCATGTGGCCTTCAGATTAGCTCAAGAACAGTGCGCAGAGAGCTTCATGGAATGGGTTTCCATGGTCGAGCAGCTGCATCCAAGCCATACATCACCAAGTGCAATGCAAAGCGTCGGATGCGGTGGTGTAAAGCACGCCGCCACTGGACTCTAGAGCAGTGGAGACGCGTTCTCTGGAGTGACGAATCGCGCTTCTCCATCTGGCAATCTGATGGACGGGTCTGGGTTTGGCGGTTGCCAGGAGAACGGTACTTGTCTGACTGCATTGTGCCAAGTGTAAAGTTTGGTGGAGGGGGGATTATGGTGTGGGGTTGTTTTTCAGGAGCTGGGCTTGGCCCCTTAGTTCCAGTGAAAGGAACTCTGAATGCTTCAGCATCCCAAGACATTTTGGACAATTCCATGCTCCCAACTTTGTGGGAACAGTTTGGAGCTGGCCCCTTCCTCTTCCAACATGACTGTGCACCAGTGCACAAAGCAAGGTCCATAAAGACATGGATGACAGAGTCTGGTGTGGATGAACTTGACTGGCCTGCACAGAGTCCTGACCTCAACCCGATAGAACACCTTTGGGATGAATTAGAGCGGAGACTGAGAGCCAGGCCTTCTCGTCCAACATCAGTGTGCGACCTCACAAATGCGCTTCTGGAAGAATGGTCAAAAATTCCCATAAACACACTCCTAAACCTTGTGGACAGCCTTCCCAGAAGAGTTGAAGCTGTTCTAGCTGCAAAGGGTGGACCGACGTCATATTGAACCCTATGGATTAGGAACGGGATGTCACTTAAGCTCATATGTGAGTCAAGGCAGGTGAGCAAATACTTTTGGCAATATAGTGTATATTAAAATATTTAAGGTACAGACAATTGAACTCTTCATTTATGGAGTTCAAACTGTCACTGTTGTGTCAATTAAATGCCCTCTGGGCAGTTTCTCTTTGCAGAGTATTTTTAAACTTGTTTGCTCACAGTTTTACTTGATTTATAATTAAATCACCAACTTGGTTACAGCAAGAACTATACAACAGTACTTTGCCCAAACACATTCCAAAAATATCACCTTGAAAGTAATTAACAGAACTGTTGACTCAAGTCTCAAATCTGCAGGTTCAAAGGGCAGGAAGAGCTATGTTTTTTGGATGACTGCAATGAATTAGGTAGAAATAAGGTCACTAAAGAAAGCAGATACTCAGTCTAGAATCATGAACTGTTTCTCATTCAAATTTAGTATTTTGCAATACAAAAGATGCCCCACTCTGATATCTGTTTGTGCTGTTTTGCAGGAGAACACATCAGACTGTGGAAGAGGTCACTCCTTGGGTCCTCCTCTCTACACACTACTGCTCATTCAGCTGCTCCTGCTTTATCAAGCTCTCAGCCCCCACAATCACTCTCTCTTACATTAACTTCATTTTACTGCAGCTCTATTCACCCCCCCCTCCCCTCCCCCTTCCTTAAAAATCACTTGATTCCTCCCAACTCTTCTTCTACTTACCTGCACCCTGCTTTTGTTTTAGTTATAGTTAATTATGGGACTTCCTTTCACAGTTAGCTGGAAACCCCAAGTGCAGCGCCACCCAGTTTAGACGCTGGATGTTTTTGTCCTCAGCCCACTTATAATCTGCATCTGCAAGCCAAGCTGCTGGCACAAGACCATGGAGGCACCCCAGAATAGAGAAAAATAAATCCCTGTCTAATCCAAATACTACCATCATCTAGATAAGGGCGAGATCCTGACAGACTGCCCTCCCAGGGCCGGACTTCTTCTTCGCCTTCATCTCAAAGTCTCACCATCTGCCTCTCGTAAGGCTGTGGACCCTCCAGCCAGCTGTACCACAATAGATAAGACAAAAAAAAAAAAAAAAGTCAATAAGTATTCACAATGTCAAATATTACCTGCTGAAGTGATGAGTATTCCAAACATGCTGTATGCTTAGGATTTTCATTTGAAAAGGAAGCTAAGTGTTAACCTAAAATGCGCTATATCTATTTGCCAAAATGAGATATCCTTTCCTGTGGTCTTATTTTTGTAGCCAAAAACACAAAGAGGAAACTGAATTTAGATCCACAGCAGCTGAATTATGATTCATTTTGTGCAGCTCTAATTAACAGAGTGGCTTAAAAAATGGATGAAAAAGGATGTCAGATAAGGAGTGTGATTGTCTCTAGAAAATGTAATACCAAATTTTTCTTGAAGTGTTTTTATGATGGTTTATCAGTGCTTTGTGAATTCTGGCTCGTAAGCCCTAAGCTGTAAAATCTGGATCAGCGTTCGGTTGCTACAAGAACATTGTTGATGTTGTGTGGTATTACTCTCTTTTATGATCAATCGAACCATTCTGACCTCGAAAAAAATAGTTATAAAAAAAAAAAAACTCACCTCTTACAGTAGAAGTACTTCATCAATTCTCCGAATCACAATTGTTGTGTGTATGTGGTTTACTCGTGTCAAATTCCAAGCCTTTCTTTCGGAGGGGTCTGTCATGTTTAATTTACCTTTGACTGACACTGTTCAATCTTTAAAAACCATCCACTGCTGAGGGTTAGGGGCTAATTGTTATTTTCCACCAGTAGTTTAGAAGGGGCCACTAAATTTGGTGATCACGTACAGTAGTAGTCACTTATCCTCTAACCATTGCAATGTATGGGTTTTATTTTATAATGACTCCTATTATTTGAGGCTCCTGTGTTTAGGAGCCACTCTGTTTCATAGTGCCTTTATGCACTTTGTTTTGGCTGTATAAGTGTGAAGCTACTGTATAGTACCTTTAAAAGCAGCCATGTTTGAGGCTTTGGATGCTAAGGAGGACTGAATCTGTTGAGTGACGCTGTAGAACTAGCTTTACACTGAGCCCTCAATCTGATCGGCTCCCCTTGATGTCCTTCCCCCTCCAGAGCCTCCCTTCTGCCGTCACACGGGGATTACTATACGGTTCCTTTACCATACCATGTATAGAGCTATGATACACTATCGATATACAGAAACTTAACCGGCCATAGTGTGTTCTTAGGGCCACCTGACCGCTATCGTTCTGCCTGGTTTGTGTGTGTTTGTGTGTGTGCGTGTGTGCGTTTGTGTAAAAAGCCCTCACAAGGATCATTGGTCAAATGAGCGTAATTTGGGGTGGGGGTACCAGGGGTGATATTTGAGCTAGCACGGCTGTTTCGTTACCGTTTCTGTGTTGCAGCAGACAAGATCCAGTGTTGTGATGGAGAAATATACTAAAAGATAGACCTATAAAGTTCAGGTCATGAGTTTAAGTGTCGTCACAATGGGTTTTTATTGTCATATTGAATTTGGCATTATACAGTTACATCGTTACACAGCATACAACCTCAGTGGTGTTGGAGATGCTGGAATTCACTGCTGATCATCACTTGCTCACACATGGTCTACGTTGGAACATCCTATCTCAAATTTGGTTTGAAGTTGATCTGGCATAATTCTCCCTAGATATGGACTACTCTCTCTTTGGAAAAGTTGGTGAGATTATTTAAATTGGTTTGTTTTCTTCCAAGAACTTGGCTTCCTCACTGTCCTCAGTTTTAGGGGCCCTATTAAGAATGCTTAAAGGTATAGTGGAGGATTTTCATGAATTTTTAAAAAGCCCGCCCTCTCCACTTTTAAAAAAGAAAATGCACATGCACAACCCTTTACCCGCTTCTAAGAGGGAACGCCTGTTAAATGTGTGCGAGAGCGTGCACAAGCCCATTTCTCCTCGTGTACGCTCTGTTAGAAAATTTTGCTGATTGCGTCGCTCATACAAGCTTACTTTCCAAAAGAAGATTTGCAATTTTTCCACTATGTCAGACAGTAAAAAAGGGGACAATCATGTAGAACGGCCTTATGTAAACATATCACCAGAATGATTGACAATTAGGGGGACCACTTATTTAGATGATCCACTATACCTTTAATACAACTCTTCAAAAAAAACTTTTGATGGTGTTTGGGATCAAGGTCCAAGTTTCAACCTTTTTACCAGACCAAGACCATATAATCTCAGTTGTCACTGAAATAGCAAAAGTCTGACTACTAGCTGGGAGGAAAATGTTGGCTGGTTGAGATTTATACCATCATTGAATATTCAACTAGAACATCACAATGTCATGTTTCCCTAGTTCTCTGCGATTCTACCTGCCAAACGTGTCATCGTTAAAAGAAAATGGCTACTTCTTTCAAGAAAAACACTGGAAACACCAAAGCTTAAGCCTATCATATACTTGAAGATGCTACACCAATGCTGCTTGCTCACAGCATAGCAAATTTTACATCAGCATGGACTGAAAGCATACCAACCTCCAAAACTGACCCATTCAAATGTCTTTGGAGGGGAAACCTATTCTGTGTTAGACAAGACAAAGATTGAATTAATGGCATCAAGAACAAGAATAATTTTAAGGAGTCAAGGCAATTCTTTCAAAACTAAGAACATTGTACCTACTGTCAAGCAATAGTAGTGGATGTACCATGCTGAGCAGCTGTGTTTTGCTGCAGTGAGGAAGGGGGATTATCATTACATTGTTTACCATCAGCAAAGATCAACAGCTAGATGGCTGACTCTTGGACAAGTTGGATGTTCCAACAGGAAGATGATCCCAAACACACATCAGAATACTTTGGACAAAGCAGCCTAAGAAAAAGTTTCTGATCCATGCCTTTTAAAAAATGTGCGGTCTATGCTAACCATTTCCCTCAGAACTAGAAAATCAGAATGATTTTATCTATGAATTAAAAGCATATTTCCTTCTGGAAGGTTGGGAATTCTAACTTTGGAGTACAAACTAATTGCAGTCTAAGATCTTGGTCTAAGTCAGAAAACTGCCATGATCCATATCTGTTTAGTGTTTCCATTCATTTCAAACCCCAGTTTACCGTGTTGCTCTGTCTCTTCCCATTTTTATTTAAATTGCTGTGTCCTTTTTCCGAGTTCTTCCTTTAAGTTTGATTATTCAGTGCTACAGCCCTGTTCCAGTCTTCGCATCGGTTCGTCTTTAATTACACATTATATAAAAAGGAAACAAACAGTTGACAACAAAATTATACCGATTCTGTAAAGAGAAAGGGTCTAATATCCAACTGGGATTATGTCAGGACTTTGGCTGTGTGAAAATGTCCGCCCTAACCACTATTTAGGGCACTATATAGTGGCTACGCCATTTTAAATTACTGTCCGAACATCTAGTGGATGAAAAAGTAGTGGACTCAAATTTTCCCACAATGCATTGAAAATTAGTAATCATCCATGATCACTAGACGAGCAAATATATCCCAGAATGAGAGCTCTCCTCGCAAAGCCTTATGGGATTTGCAGTCACAGCCTGCTGTTGCAGCCTGACTGTGGCAACTAATAACAAAGATGGCACAGAGACCGTGCAGAGTTACGTGACCAATGGGGAGTGAAAAGTAGTGATCATCTGACTGAACAAACAGTTAAGTTAGTTCACTATAAAGTCCTCTATATAGTCCCCGCTCTATATAGAGTTTGAGAGATTGAGGGGTTAGGCCAGATGTTTAGACACAGCCTTTGTTTATACAGTAATATAGAGGTAACTTACTAAGGGATGTTTTGTCCATGTGTGTTATAGGGGGATATCAACATGAATTCAGACTTGGAATCATGGAAAATGTTTAGGAAACGAGAGTAAAAACACTGACTTTATATTAATTTAATTAGATCCATGCAGACGATTCCTATGTAAACCCTTGACCAGAACTGTAGGTGTTACTCTATTTAAATGTTGATATAGAGGAAGAGAGGAATGTGTAGTTTATTAGTGTTTTATGTCTGAATGCAAAAGAGTTATCAAAGCCTCTTTAAATGCCTTAGTGTTTCTCAGTGAGGAGCTTTCATTCCCCCACTTAAACCCTGTCTCTAAAATACTCCCCCTTCAGACTTTTCTTAGTGTCATGTATTAAGGTTCACTGGGGTCTGATTTTTTCCTAGTTTTTCTCTCCTGATGAATTGTTGATTGATGCATGTTTGCGTTAAAAATGCTCAAACGCCAGTGGGAGGGTCCCCATTTTAAAAGCTCCTGACCTTGGATGTTGACGCCCACTCAGATCTCGCTTTACTGCTCAGGTGAGAATGAGTCACACAACAGTTTGAACCTTAACCGCACACTCTGTACAGTCTTCATACAGTTTAATGTGGCAAATCATGCTGGCACAGTAACTGCAGCTGAGCTCCTAGTAAACCTGAGAAAACATGAAAAAGAGAGACTGTTAATGGAGCTTCATTTAAAGAGTATTTATTAATTTGGCCTTTTTGGCCTGATGCAGTCGTACTTTTCTGGCATTTGTTTGTCTCTGTCCTGTGCCATTAATTCTGTCTGTAACTTCCTATTTCCACCGTCTGTAAATGAAAGCTAAACACGTGCCTGTGGAAATGTACCCCCTGCTACGACCTCTCTTTCCCTGGAACCATACGCTAAATATGAAAACCTACACTTTGTGCACCTGCACTGAGACGTTTTGCACACGTAAACCTGTAAGAAGACATAATGACACTATTTGTGCCCAGTTGGAAGGTGATGAATAGGTGGGAGGATGAAAGGCAGAGAGGTTTAATCCATAGGTGTTTTCTGCAGGGTTCCTACACTTTTAAACACTTGCTATACTTTTCAGAGTTTTCAGATATCCGGATTTTTCTGACCGTTTTGGGAAGAACACCTTAACTCAAATTTACCAAATCATCAAACATCATAATACTGAATTCCCATTCATTGGTAGAGTGAAAGCATTTTTTATTGCTAATATTTGCACCAGGTTATCCTGCACTAGTCCAATTCCTGTAGAGCAACAAATTCTGATTCTCTGCAACTCAGAAATAAAAATCATCAATGAGACTTGGACAAAGACCCAGGTTGACATGATGCATATCAAATATGTAATAGGGGAAATAAATATTAAATCTCCTTTGCTTTAGTAAATGTGTAGTTCTAAATGAACTATAAGCATGAAGTACTCACCAAATAGCAACAAGAACCCAAGCAATCCATACAAAAAACTTTTAATTAATAACAAACGCTTTTGCTTTTATGGCAATAATAGCAGTTGTCAATGCTTGGGTGTGATTCTGAGCCAGACTTCATACAAAATGGCTCCAGGTCCAAAAGGATCTGCAGCTCTCTTCTATGCCCTCCTGATCTTCAGTTCATTTTGTCATATTTCTGTTTAATTCAGATCAGGTGAAGCCATGATAAGTGCTTTATTTCTTTTCATGATTATAGACTAATCCCGTGTTTCCATTAAGGCATATGGCATCATCATCTTTTTGAACATTTCTGCATCAATTTATGAAATTTATCTTCAGATATAAATTTCTCCATTCATACTTCCTTTATTTATATGAATTCACTCCCATGCCACAATTTCATACTCTTCAAACTTCACTGTTGATTTGGTGATTTTAGGCTGATGTGTTCAGAGGGTGAACTTCAGTCTTAACATCCAGAATTTTATTAATATTTCCAATTCCTAAGTAAGTCTTACACAAGCGTCATCATATCCCCTCTTCAGCAGTGGATTATTGTCCATGGAGCATACAGTAAATGAAGACAATTACTTTTTAGAGCATTACTGTTCTTTAAAGTCACCAATACCCCCACTATTCTGGGACCACTGCCCACCATTAGTCAGTTCTTGTGTAAAATAATGGTAATGCAAAAATTCAATTGAGTGACTTAAATTTGCAATTTCTAAATCTGTCTCTATTTGTGTGGACTGCTTGATTTCTTACTGACATTCGGTGCATTCTTCATGGCAAAAGCACCTTTAATAACCATGAACCATAAAATCATTGTGTTTAGTCGTAAAATGATTGACGTGTTAAGAACATTTAAGTTGTCGTAAAGGACAGTTTGAATATAAATTCTACTTTTTCAGAAATTCAGTTTTAATGCAATAAGGAACTTTGAAAATTTGGCATTTCCCTTAGTTTATTTTCTAATTGCCAATGTTTGGAAAATTTTTGAACTAATTTGCAATATTTTGCTGCTGTTTGCAGCACTGTGTAGGAACCCTGTGTCTGTGAGTGGGTGGGATGTCAGGAGTGAGCTCAGGAGGCGGGTCTCCACAGAGCAGCACGGGCCTGTTAAATCCTACAGCCCCATCTTTGCGTGCATCTTGACGGAACACACAAATCTGATTTCTCTGGTTTGACAGATTTTCTTTTGCCAAAAACAAAAAAAAATAAATAAGACAAATAAAAAAAATCTAACTGGACCAGCTTGGGGATGAGAGGGAGGGATCAGCTTTCAGACATCAAGAGATGTTTTCATAAAGAGCGTTCCCCCCCGCGACCCTCGCTGCCCCTGTGTTGGTGCATCTCTGTAGGAAAGACGTGCGTATGTGTTTGTAGTCTGTAGTCTGGTGCTATGTGACCATGTTTGACAAAGAGTGTGAAAAAAACAGCAACATATAGAGAAAAAAAAAAGTTAAATCAGTCAAAGTTAAAGTGAAGTTTAAGAAATATATATAGGAAAACAGCACTGCTGATAAGTTTGAGATCTGATGTCCAAATGGTTTTATTATTTTTCTGTTCTTTTTTCTTTTACTTATTGTATGTTTGGGTGAGTGTGAATGTGCGCGTGGAAAGTTTAGCTCCTCCTTTTTTTGGGCAATGGTCCATGTCGCTCCATTCTTTTGTACAGATGAAGCTTAAAAAAAAAAAAAAAGAGGGCAAAATTTGTAAAATATTGTGTCTGTGACTCCTTGTAAAATATTTTCAAATTGTTTATTACAGAGAATCAGTTATTAAATAATGTTCATATTTTTCACTTCATCCAACTGTGTGGTGTGTTCATTTGGTAATTTGCATTTACAGAAGTTTGGATGCAGGTGCAATCAATCAATGTCTTGATGGTTCCTTTGCTTACACACCTGACTTAAATGTCTGATTTATCTCCTCAGCATCAGTTAACTTCTCCAGATTATTTCTACATTATTTGATTCAGGTATGTTGAAGCAGAGACATCTAAAAGGTGCAGGAAAATGACCTTGAAAACCAGAATTTAGGAAGTCTGGTGTAGAGGGTTCCTTTGGGGGTGTTATCTTTGGACTCCAATTATACCATTTATAATGCTAGTTAAAAATACTTTAAATCCACAAGAAGTTGATCTCAAACAAACTTTGCCATGCAAAACAGAATAATTAGAATAATTTCAGTTTTAAATACAGATTTAAGGCAAAAAGAGCTTTTTTCTGAATACAACTAACCCTATGAACTACAGTGGAGTTAATTACACTATGTACCAGAACCATTTCAGTATTTTAATGTACTACTTTAGTTGTGCCCCTGAGGAGTAAAGGAACCCAGAGGTGTTTTGATAATAACCTGAATTTCTTGATTGATTGACTTTATTGATCTCACAGTGGATACATTTACTCTTTACATCCGCTCAAATAGTCAAAGGAGAAGAAGAATGTGCCAAAGGAAGAAAAAGTTTGTTTGTTTTTTTAGTAGGATCATTAAACAGGGTTATTGCACATGGTGTTTACATGGGTATTTATATACACTATATTGCCAAAAGTATTTGCTCACCCATCCAAATTATTGGAATCAGGTGTTCCAATCACTTCCATGGCCACAGGTGTATAAATTCAAGCACCTAGGCATGCAGACTGTTTTTACAAACATTTGTGAAAGAATGGGTCGCTCTCAGGAGCTCAGTGAATTCCAGCGTGGAACTGTGATAGGATGCCACCTGTGCAACAAATCCAGTCGTGAAATTTCCTCGCTCCTAAATATTCCACAGTCAACTGTCAGCTGTATTATAAGAAAATGGAAGTGTTTGGGAACGACAGCAACTCAGCCACGAAGTGGTAGGCCACGTAAACTGACGGAGCGGGGTCAGCGGATGCTGACGCGCATAGTGCGAAGAGGTCGCCAACTTTCTGCAGAGTCAATCACTACAGACCTCCAAACTTCATGTAGCTCAAGAACAGTGCGCAGAGAGCTTCATGGAATGGGTTTCCATGGGCGAGCAGCTGCATCCAAGCCATACATCACCAAGTGCAATGCAAAGCGTCGGATGCGGTGGTGTAAAGCACGCCGCCACTGGACTCTAGAGCAGTGGAGACGCGTTCTCTGGAGTGACGAATCGCGCTTCTCCATCTGGCAATCTGATGGACGGGTCTGGGTTTGGCGGTTGCCAGGAGAACGGTACTTGTCTGACTGCATTGTGCCAAGTGTAAAGTTTGGTGGAGGGGGGATTATGGTGTGGGGTTGTTTTTCAGGAGCTGGGCTTGGCCCCTTAGTTCCAGTGAAAGGAACTCTGAATGCTTCAGCATACCAAGACATTTTGGACAATTCCATGCTCCCAACTTTGTGGGAACAGTTTGGAGCTGGCCCCTTCCTCTTCCAACATGACTGTGCACCAGTGCACAAAGCAAGGTCCATAAAGACATGGATGACAGAGTCTGGTGTGGATGAACTTGACTGGCCTGCACAGAGTCCTGACCTCAACCCGATAGAACACCTTTGGGATGAATTAGAGCGGAGACTGAGAGCCAGGCCTTCTCGTCCAACATCAGTGTGCGACCTCACAAATGCGCTTCTGGAAGAATGGTCAAAAATTCCCATAAACACACTCCTAAACCTTGTGGACAGCCTTCCCAGAAGAGTTGAAGCTGTTCTAGCTGCAAAGGGTGGACCGACGTCATATTGAACCCTATGGATTAGGAACGGGATGTCACTTAAGCTCATATGTGAGTCAAGGCAGGTGAGCAAATACTTTTGGCAATATAGTGTAGATGCCTATTTGTATATATAGTTATTGCACTGGGTGTCAAATATAGAGAAACAGGTTATTGCACAGGTATCAAATAGCAAATTGCACATTATACATTGCACAAGTTATTGTAGTGTTGCCATGTAGAGTCTGGTTGCAGCAGGGATGAATGACCTGTGGTAGCGCTCCTTTTTACAGACAGCATGTTGGGTTCTGCATTGTTAGCTCTTTCTTCTTCCTCTTGACATGATTCTCTTGGACAGTTGCCCAACCCCAGTCCTTAGGGGGGCGGTGACCAGAGAATGTTAGATGAGTCCCAGGTCAACACGAATCAAATGTCTGAATTTTCTCCTAAACATCTAGTTAGCTTCTAGAGAGCTCTGCTTATTACCTAATAATTTCACACAGGTGTGTTAGCAGGCTTTTAAAAGGTGTAGGACTTTGTTCATTGAGAATAAGAGTTCAACACGTGCTCTTTATGAGAACAAGTCGTACTGAAAAAAATCCAAACTAAGCTATATCGCGCTCTGAACCATCCTGGTATATTCCTCCCTTGATAAAAACCATTATCCTCCTATTTCATGTTGAGACTCCCAGACTTTCCTCTCTCCAGACGTTTCCTCTTGGAGAAACCCCTACAAGCCCTTGCATGTCTGCCACATCAGCTGACTTATTTCTACACCCAGCATCTGTTGGAGCCAGGAGAGCCTGGATCAGCAGAATCACTTTATCCATCAAAAGCAGTGATGAAATCTGCTTATCGCCAGATCGGTAGCCACCTATAACCCCCCACCCAAGTCATTGGTGGCGCATAGAGATCCAGTACATAAAAGGTATGAACAGGTGATGCTTGAAAATGGTGTACATAATGGACAGTTTATGACTTGCACAAAAGTCTAATAAGGAAACGAGTCGGGTTTGAAGCTGGGGGTCTGTTCCTTCTGATCACAGCCCTAACAGAATGATGGAACCCAGGGCCATTTAACTTGGCGGTTCAAGGAGGGGCACTTGATGTTAATGCAGTGAACCAAAACCAGCATATTTCAGAATCAGAAATGTCACTGTGGATTTTTTTGCCTCAAACCTCCCAAGGACTTTGTGATTGAATGCAAGATTTATTTGAATCTGAAAGTAGGACTTTGCTTTTCAATTAAGCAACAATTCAGTACTTTAACTCCTTTCCTGAGGTAAGGCATCCCTTACATGTTCTCTTTTCTGCCTCAATAAAAGAAAATATATACATAATCAACTGTTCAACACATGTTCTCCATACATTTATATGGGGTGGCTCAAGAAACACCTCGTAAGTAGTCCATATCTTATCTCCCACTTTTGCATGAATTTAGCTTTTTACTTCTATATTTTTTCTTCCACTGAACTTTCCATATGTATATTTTAAGATAGTGCTCTGTTTACAGACAGCTTCTTTAGAAATCTTCAACATAGTACAGTAATCAGTGACTGCTGAATGACTGTCAACACAGGAATTAGACCCACTAAGTGAGCATTTCTCTTTTTTTTTATTGTTTTTGTATTTTAGCTCATTCTGAAATTGAAATTATTTTTCCTTGAAATATTTATCAAATAAATTAATGAATATGCTACTGTGAGATGCACCTGGCAGAAAGGACCGACCTGTAGAGCTTCCACGTTTTCACAGAGTAAGTCTGGACTCAGAAAACAGTGATCTTATTTTTACTCCCAGCTAAATTTTCATGTCATTCTTTTATGTCCCATGGTATTTTCCGGTTTTGAAAAAAATAAAATAATTTAATTTAGTTTTCCTTTTATATTCTTGGCCATGTTGTATTGGTTTTGGTGTGTGATGCTAATGTAGTGACAGACCTGGTCGCTTTTACTTAAAGTTATGTTAGCTGAGGTCATTTTTTCACAATAAGGAAATTTAAAAATATCAGCAAATATTGGTTAGCAGTTTTAAAGTTGTATATCGATAAATATCAGTATAGGTACATCCCTGAAAGAATAGAATCAATACATTATATCAGATAAAAATCATCAGGGGGGAATATTTTTATTAATAAAGGAGAGGAATAGTCATAAAAAAATGCTAATATCCCATCTATAATTAAAATGACTTGCATAATATAAGAAACATGCTTTGCATCAATTTATCTTGGTATTAATATTTAGTAAAAGCCTAAAAAAAAAGGTTAGCATTTTACGGCTATTCAACCATAAACCATCATGGTTTACAGTGGATTACAATGTGGTCTTTATGGGTACATATTAAACGAAGCTAGGGTTGAATGGGCCCTGCATTTCTTAAACACATTAATTATATAAATAAACAAATAAATTATATAAAGGGTTAAAATGAATAAGTAAAGTAAGACTAAGTAAAGGTTGGTCTATTCTGTATTGCTTGTGCAGCAGTCACTAAAATAAACTGACCTCAGACACCAGCAGACAAATTGCAAGTTAATCTTATCTCTTTTAAGGTCTTCAATACAGAAAGGATGCTGTTACTCATTTAGTTACAAATACATAGCTCCAAAGGTCACACGTACTATAAGAGTAGAAGGCATTATGGAAAAAGACACGAAATAATAGAAATAATGGAATAGTCTTAGCCCAGTTGTTAACGGAAAAGCAGCATAAGGAGGGGTTTCCTATAACAAACAATTTTCTAAGTGCTCACATAGGCTGCTGGATTTAGTAAACAGACAAACCCCTCTTGTGATTTGATTTGCAGGAATCATTGTGCACTAGGAACTTCTCATGAATGCTTCATTTGTCAGGCTTCTCTCTCCATTCAACAGGGCAAAGAGTCTCACAGAGTACCCAGAAAGTCAGTAAGTTCTTTGTGCCAGGTGTCTGGGTCATCCAGGTAACACGGGTGTCCCGCCCCCTTCATCACCACCACTCTGTGATTGGTTATAGGGCTCAGGTTACGGAGCGACACTTCCCCGAGCTGAGTGTCCTGGTCGCCATAAACGATCAGCGTCGGGACCTAAACACCCAAACAAAGACTCATGATTGATTAGAAACATATCCAGTTATTATTAATTACAGCTAAAGTTAATCTAAGATAAATACCTTCACACTCTGGTACTGCTCAGCGGTGAATTTTTCAGTGCAGATCGGCGCTATGGGGACGTAGGCTCGTATTAGAGGCTGGTGCTCCATGAGGAAAGGGAGAGAATACATCCCACTGAGTGAGGGGCTGATCACCACCACAGGGTTTAAGCTCAGCTCTTCACACACTTCCTTCAGGAACCCTGCAGGGGCAAGTTCTCCCACAGCTGCTGGGGCTTTGGCCGACTTGGACTGACCAAGTTCTGAGGAAAGATGGACAGCAGTGTTAAAAGAGAAGACTAAACGTATCACTGTGGAGGGGACTCAAGCTTCTTGTTGATCTTAATAACTTCTTCAAAATGTTAACATCAATGATTTTCTTTACATTTTTAGAAAGATTTATTAAAGTCTTTACTTTAAAACAAAACAAGACCCTTAGACAGAAGCTGGTGCATCCTAAAGATAAAACCACCAGACCTAAGATGAGCGGAGTGGTGTATGCAGTTCAATGCAGCAATGATTCCCCATTACTAAGAGATGGATTTACTTTTTCAGTTCAATTTGCATGTTTTCTAAGCCATAACAAGGCTTTTGTTTGGGCCACTTTATAAGCCTAGTACTCAAACCCTATTCCAGATATTCTGAATTGAGAAAGTTTCCTGGATGGGAAGCGAAACGTCTTCAAACCTGGAAAACAACGTTTGTTTTTCAACTTTTTTGGAATAAATAATCTGTGATTATCATATTTCAAGGGCAAAAACATTTTAAATTTCTTTTTTTTTTTATCAGTTTTTGCAGTGTAATACTAAATCTATTTCTTATGATTTGCATTGACATAACTGATTCTTCCCTCGGGCTAATTTATAATTTCACCTTACAATTTACTTGAACAATTATTATCACGAGGTCCACTGAAAGCATTTTATGACACAAATTTAAATCCCTATTTTTCAGCTGATTGGTCTACAAGAATATTTTACCTTTTTTTTTTTTCAAGGACCTTATAATTATCTAGGTATCTTTTACTAAACAGAACACAACATTAAACTTGACTAAATACAGTAAATGCTTATAAGGTTCTACTTTATTTTTCTACAGGAAAAAAAATAAATAAAATAAAATTCTAAGTATAAAATCGTTTGGAGAAAATACACACTTTTCCTTAATGAGCCAAGCCTCTGAGGCCCTAGGAAATACAATAATTCAGTCTTTAAATTCTCATTAAAATGTTGCATGTTTATGTTATTGCTCAACAGGTAAAACAAACAAAACATTATTTTCTGCTTTTAATTGGAAAAGTAATTTCAACCCTCTATGGAGAACATGTGTTAAAACATCAAGCAAGTACTTTATGCTTGATGATTTGGGCTAAAACATTTGGACACAACTGCTCTAAGTGTTTGCCACACGCTTAAAGTAAATTTCGTTTTTTTTTACATTGGGCCCTTCATTTTACGTTATTACATCATGTTCTACTCACCCATATGAGTTTTGTGTCATTTGGAGCCGTTCTGAAGATAATCCATTAGGTTATATACTAATATCCTAAAGGATATAACCTAACAGAATATGTTCAGAACGGCTCCAAAAGACACAAAACTCATATGGGTGAGTAGAACATGAGGTAATAACGTAAAATCAAGGGCCCAATGTAAAAAAAAAAAAAAAAGCAAGAAAAACGGTGTTCCCCCTTAAGCCTTTAAAGCCCGACCTAAGAATAAAACAAAACAGAAAATTACTTTTTTTTTTGTTTGAAGTCCTTATTTGGCCTTTTAACAAAATATGTAAAAAGAAAAAACAGAAATACATTTTTGATATTACTAATTTATTACTATGCGATAAGTCAAGATAATTTTTTGTCTAGTCTTCTGCCCTCTGTTATCAGGTTTATCTGATTGTGTACAATAGGTGTCAGATGCAAAACATTTGAGAAACCGTATGTATCAAATATGATACATTTGGCATTACAGGGATAATCTCTTAAAACCGACCTAGAGGACCTTAAATGGGGGTAATAACTCAGAATGCATAAAATTCCACCGTTAAATTTTGACCATCAGGTGGAGCCGTTGCGCGCAGCTCCAAGCTGCCACCAAAAGTTCCAAATCCCCACAGCTCTGGAACTGTTATAGCTAGAGGTCTGACATTTTCTGCATTTGTGGTTGAAATTATGTAGAACAAATGTAATACAATAAAACCTACTGACTACCTCAAAAAGACCTATCATTTCGAGAGTAAAAAAACTACTTTGAGTCATGTTTGAACTGACGCAGGTTGGTCTTTGTTCTACTCAGCCAATTTATATATTAGGAAACTAGAGGTTTTTAGCTTTCAAATAATGTGTTGCACATGTAATTTGGGCTTACAGTTCCTAAGTTATTTGCTGTTTCATTTGGGTATGCAAAATAGGCGAGGATTATCCAAAATGAGGTGGATGTTAAAAGAGGTTAATACTTAGTTTCTGCATCTTTTGCATTGTCTTAAGCATATGTAGTTACTTTAACACTTGTTTCATGTTAGTGGGGTAGGACATGAAATTCTTGTGTTTAAGTAACTAGCTAGCTATAACTAGATGCAAAAGATGCATGAATAATTTTTTCAGTGCACTACACCACTCCAGCTAAAGCTCTGACATCTACAGACTAACTTTTAAGGAACATTTTCAGACTTAAAAAGTAGTGGTTATGGAACCTTTCCTTTCTGTGGACAAACTCTTCATTTGCAAGTAAAAATCTGCTTATCATTTTACATCTGCTTTAAAGCTAGAGTGTGTAATAATTAAAGAGATTTACTGACATAAATGTAATATGCTATACATAAATATGTTATTTACTATAATCTATGACTTGAAGGACTCAATCATTGTTTTTTTATGTTTATCAGTTTCTTTTCACTCATTCTTTAGCTCTAAACCAACTGATGATCTTCACTTTCAATGTAATATATTAGTTGATCTAACTTCAGTGGTATCTTATTGAATTTTTAATGCTTCTTTGTGACAATAGCTTTACCATGTCTTCTTTGAGAAGCCCTTTGGTCAAGGACAAACCACCTAGATCAATTTTGATTTATCTAGATGGACTGATTTGTCTTCTCCTACAGACTGAATGTGGGTTTGTCCACGTTGGAAACACCTGGCAGGTCGAGGGCAACCGCTCGGCAGCTGGCTTTGGCAAGAGTCTCCAGAGTGCCGATTTGGAGCCAGTTCTCCGAAGAGAAGCGGATCCCATGAAGGAGAAGAACCGACATCTTTGGGTCTCCTGTAGCCGGCATGCTTTGTCTGTAGAAAAGTGGAGCTTTGCAGGTTTCCACCTGCACACTGCCTTCGCTCATCTTAACCGCTGACATCCTGGAGCAAAAGAGCAATTATTTTATTACTGAAATTAACCTTTAACTGAAACATAAAAAGAGATCCTTGTAACTTTAAGTTGCATAATTTCTCCAATAAAATCTCTAAAACAGCGTTAGGCAACTCAGCTTCTGCAAGTTGCACATGTTTCTGCTGCAGCTCACCCAACTGGATTAGTTATAACATTTCTTCAGCTGCACACTGAGTTCTGCAGAAGTAGATGATTAAAAAAAGGAACTTTTTTTTTTACAGCACCTAAGAAAATTATAACAATATAACCAACATTTAAAGAGAAGTTATGTATTTTCAATCATGATATAGAGCACAAGTCTTAACAAACAAATGAATGTTCTAAGAAAAATACAAAAGTACTGATACAAGAGAGAAACATCCCTTTTATAATATGGATGTAAAAGCACTTGTATCCAGACAGAGAAACATCAATTCTGACATGCTTAATCTAAATTAAGCGAGGGGTGCTGGTGCCTATCTCTAACTGTATATGGGTGAGATGCGGGGTACACCCTGGACAGGTCAAAACAGAGACAAACAACCATTCACACCTAAGGAATAAACCTAACTGTCATGTTTTTGGACAGTGAGAGGAGGCCAGAGTACCCGGAGAGAACCCACGCATGCTCAGGGAGAACATGCAAACTCCATGCAGAGAGACTCCAGGCCGGGAATCGAACCCACAGCTTTCTTGCTGCACGGCAGCAGCGCTACCCACTGAGCGTGAAAATGTAAAATTCTGCAGGTTATTACACAACTGGAAAGAAAATTTGAGTTTCCAGAGCAGCTTCAGAGCGACATTACTTCCTATATTATTGTATTTCTTAACATTAAGCAACAATGGTCGTGTTTTAGGGGAATGTTAATTAAAACCGTGTAATTTTTTAAACAAATATTCTTTCTGCTGTTTGCAGTTGATGCTGTTGTCATTTTTCCCAGTGAATACTTTTAAAGAGTTTGATCAAAGTCCACTTCAGATCGTTTCATATTGACTTCACGTATTTAGCACCACGATGACAAGTACGAGGATAATATAAATACAGTTTATTCTTACCCAAACGCCTCCGGTGATGATTACTCAGTCAAGAAAATAGAATAAGCTGCGAACAAGCTGCTGTGGTTTCTCTTTAGTCCAGCAAAACAGGAAGAATCAGAAACTAACATCGGAGGAGGAATCACTCTACTGACCCCTAGCGTCCGTGTGGAGAACTACAGCCAGAAGCAAACGTGTCCCTGGTTATTAATGATTAATGTCTCTATTGATTAGCTGTGTTTGGGGGATTAAGGCCACTGTTTGTTTTAGAGTTTAGTGCTTTGGTCTTGACTGTTTTGGCTGTCTCTCGACTTCAGCTTTCTGACTTAGTGTGGGGATTTTAACAACTGGTAAACAAGTTCAAATTAAATAAATTCAGACTCAGAGGCTTTCCTGAAGTGTAATCTTCCTCAGAAACGAAAGATGATGCTAATCCTTCTCTGTATTCTCCTAACTACTGGAGGGACAACAGGTAAGTGTCTGATTTTCCTTTACTTAGACGTAGTTAAGACTTTTAAAGGTTTAAATGTTATTTTCTTTTAGAGACACTTAAAATTTAATTCAAAGGGAGCAGATATTATTTAGAAACAACACAAATCAAAAGATGTGGCAAATTATTTACATTAATAAGTTAGTTTTGAGTTATTTGCTGTCTGGATATATGATAAAAGTTACTAAAGAGTCTTGGTCCAAAGGTTATATGTGTGCAGGACCATGCCTGAATGTTCCTGGTGGTGCCACTGATCTACCACTGGGCATGACTATGAACTGAGAGAGAAGTTATTGTTAAAGTCACATTTGCAATATGTTTGTGGTTCTGTCTTACATGAACAGGACACCGCAGTCCTCTGAATGATTACCAGCGCTCAGAGGGCAGAGAGCTCGTTCCGACCACATGGAACCTAGCTCGGATGCAGATGTTGCCAGGTTTGAGCCTGGAGGAATGTGCAAGCCGCTGCTTGAACTCCTTGGACTGCAGGTAAAACTGTACTTTTTGATATGTGTGAAGTGCCATGTATGGCAGAAAAAAACCATTACATCCATCTACACGCACCATACCTTCTGTGAAACATGGTGGTGGTGGCATCATCCTTTGGGAATGCCTAAAAAGAGAAAGGGCTCAGTCTGCACATGCTTTGATGCATGAAGGAAGTTCACTTTCAAGCTTTTTCTACCCTAAACATGGAACCTGAGCTACAAAGGAATATGATTTTTTTTCAAAGCATAATTATGTTTCAGAATCTGTGGCAAAAATTGAAAAGTGATTTTCACAGACTCTTTCCATTTAGGCTCCTTGAGCTCGTGCTGCTATGTTGCAAAGAAAAATTAAAAGTGTCGAAGAGACACTCACTTAAGGCAGTTCTTTTCAGTTTTGGATAGAAGGCAGAAAAGGTTGATATTTGTTTACCCTATGGAAATAGCCCATTTAATACATTCATGATAGTGGTTGCAAAGTAATAAACTGCTAAATAAATTTGGTGGATTTTAAAAGTAATTGATGCTGTAAAAAGAAATCAATAAAATCCTACCGTTTACAAGAAATTACAGCGTTAAATCCAAACATGTGCTCCAAAAACATCTGTTAAATCAGCAGAAGTACCTTCCTACTTAACTGTACAAAACGTTTTTACACTTCATAAACAAGAGTAACTTTAGAAAAAGGTTCAAATGTAACAGGTAATGTATGTTTTTTAATGAAATCATCTTTATTGTTTCATTGAAATTGTACATTCCATCAACATTTGTCTTTTGGTAATTTAGAATTTATCCAATTATGCTTGGGAAGCAGTAAATAGCTTATATCAACTGGGAAGCTTGGCATAAAAAAATTAAATATGGTGCATCGTTCACATTAGCATTTAAACAGACATATTTTGAATTTGCTTTGTATTTTCTAGTTGGATTATCTAAAAACTAGTCTAAACACGCAAACACAGCCTGCAGCCTACAGCCAAACCTTAAAGCTGTCCTTTTCCAGGTTAATTTTATCTTCTGCTGTCACTTTAAACATCTTAATTGCTGCCCAAAGAGAGGAGAAACTCCATCCACGCACAACCCCTTCCCCGCCGTGTTAGATGGGATGAATCATGATGCCAATTCAGCAGGAGACCTCCTATCTTTATCTTGTCAGGGTCGGAACTTTGATCAGTTAAGCTCCTAAATGATGAAACAACATGAAACTTACTTCTACAGATGAATACACTATGAACCTCCCACAAAAGAAATCCACCTTTTCTCAAATATTGTAAATTACTTTATGTCAGTTTAGATCTGTCATCTCTTCACTGCTCGCAGCTTAAACAAAATCCTCCTGCTTGTCTCTTAATAGGAGTTAGAGATATGAATATAAAATTCCAGTTCTTGTTTCATTCCACTGAACTCCTGTTGATTACATATTCTTAACAGTTTTTCCTGAATCATATTTAAAGCACCCCATAATCAGGCAAACGAACAAATAGTCACATCAAAAACCAGTGACTTTTAGATGTCCTGAGGTTTGGTCAGAAAGCTAGAGGGGATCAAGTCTTCTCTGTTGCAGATCCAAAAACAGACATTTATTGATCCATACAAGGGCTGCTACAATCTAGAGACTTCTAAACTAGTCTAATTTTAAAGATTCACTTCAACTCTTTGACTTTTGAATGAAATATATCTAGACATCTTAACTATTTTTAATTTTTACTTTCTTTGAATTATATTTTATACACAAAATATATTAAACATATTTTCAACAAAAGAATTATGTCTTCTCGAGTGTTTCCTTTTTTTAACATTTCAATAGATGTATTGTTCTTGCTTTGCGGCCCCCAGTGCAAGCTTTTTAGAAAGTGCTATATAGATAAAGTTGGCATCAAAAGAAAGAAAAATAATCATCAGACACATATTGCAGTTTTCCATTACATGCATAACTAGGTGATTATTTGGTTGCAGACTTCATACCTTTATTTTATTAAAAGCTGGATTCATTGCCAAAAACATGAAAATATTTCTCATTTCCAGAGCTTTCAACTATGAGACCCGTCCGATTGGTACTTGTAAACACCTGCCCTGGGTGGCTGACGGAAGCAACGCAGAAGTCAAGAGAAACGTCAACTGTGATCTTTATGAAAAGAAAGGTGAAAGATCACTGGTGCATATCATTATCCATGTCCTCTTTATAGTATTAGACTCTTTGAAATCCCTCTTTTTTTTTGCAGTCTATGTAAGAAAGTGCATTGTAGGCAAAGGGGAAGACTACAGAGGTAAAGTTTTCACCACAAAGAGTGGGCTCACCTGTCAACAGTGGTGGTCCAAGTTTCCTCATGATCACAGGTAAGACTATATGCATTGTTTTTCATGTGGAAATATGGAAATATCTAAAGGGTCATTAAATTGTTTAAAAATAAATTAAAGGGTAATCTTTTCAAGAAATACAGAAAAAAATCTGATAAAGATTCAGATAAATAGTTAAGTCTTTCAACCTTAATAATTAAATATTAATCATTTTATTAAACCTAAATTAAATTTTTTGGAGCCCTATGGGTTAGAATGCACATGTAAGACACAGACCAAACCTAAAAACATTGTTATACCGTAGAAGATACAGACATCCTTTAAAGAAAAATATGCACATGAAAATATCATATTTAGTATTTAGAGGGAGAGCAGTCTGTGCCAGAGCTTCTGTGAAATGAATTTATGGTCTATCTGACTGTCATCAGGAGTCCAGATCTGTCCTCACGGCAATCAGTTGGCAGATTGGCAGAAGCTTCAAATGTGTGACAGCATTATGATGCACTAAAGTAGAAGTCACAGGAACTATTGATATTTTCAAATTATTAATATTTAACATAAAGAGGTAACTAAACGTCTTAAAACTACTACCTGCTAGAGAAGCAACAGATTACACATTTGCTTGCTCATTGAAATACAACAATAATAAAAATCCAAAATATGTCCCTTAAATTTCACATAGAAAATTCCGATTTCTGTCTGCAGCATTTAAAAATATTGCAGAAATCAATGTCTTTCAATCTGAAATAGAAAACACATTTTGAAGAGGATGCTGAGTGATTCCCATTTGGAAAAATGCATTGTATGTAAAACCAGAAACAGCTAAAATCTTTAGAGACAACAATGATAGGAGAAGAGCTTGTCATGTTTTTACTTTCTTATCTAATCTAGGAAGCAGTTCAGGAGCAATCTGGCCCCTAATCTGACATTATAAAAATGATGTAAAGATGAAAATAAATACATGACAAAATAAATGAAATGATCAGATCACACAGTTTAAACATTTCAATCTTTGTTTTTGTCACTTCATGTGCTGATCATCATGGGAAATCCAGATTTTGCAATGCCATGTCAGTGCCAAATCTCTATAGATTTAGTAGAACAAATATTACAGTGACTCAGACAGCTCTGTGGGTTTTACTCTCTCAGTCCAAGTTCTCCTCTTCAGTTCATACAGCCTCAGGGAGCGTGCCATGTGAATGTAACCACCCACACATCATGTGGGTCAGCCTGTCACTCATTTAAAAGGTCCCTGTTTGTCTCAGGTGGACTCCCACCCCTACCAATGGTCTGGAGCTGAACTACTGCAGGAACCCAGATGGGGACCGTATCGGTCCTTGGTGCTACACCACCGACCCTGAGCGACGCTACGAGAGCTGCAACATCCCCCAGTGTAAAGATGGTAAACTACAAAAAAAACTCTTTACAACATCTCATTTAATTAAGCATATCATTTACTTTTAAGAACAGAGAACATTATTGTAAAGTTCTGTTTGCACATTTGAGCAACTTTTTTTAAAGAAGTATTGTTATGTTTACAGATGTAAGAGTTTAATTTTTAACTAGCAACAAATGTGGTACTGATTTTCTTCTTTTTTGTGTAATGTGTTTTTTGGAATATCTGAGATGCATAAAGCATAGCTTAGTTGGTGCCTTCTGTCTGCAGAGGTCTGCATCACCTGCAACGGAGAAGACTACAGAGGGCAGGTGGATCACACTGTGAGTGGCAAGGAGTGTCAGAGATGGGACCAGCAGTACCCTCATCAACACATCTACCAGCCTGAAAAGTACATGTTCATGCATACCTGCTCTGCTTTTATTGTCCTAAAGTAATGGAGCTGCTTGGTGGCTTTGCTGCAATACATCTCTTCCTCCAGCTGTAGGAAGGTTGTGTGATCAACCATAAAGCTATTTCATCAGATTTTTTTCAGTAAAAAATTGCCAAGCTTGCTTTAGATGTTGCTTGATAACTACACAGCAATATTTTATGGTTAGTGTTTCCATTTCTTATGCTATTTTGTTGTAGATACTTAAATCAGGAAAAATGCTTAGAGATGAGCTTCCAAATGTGATTGACTCAGATGACAAAAGGCATAAGTCAACTGATTGAGAAATCCTTTTGTTTTCTATAAAGTTGCATTAAAATGTTTACTCTTATGCAACAAGGTAGTTTTTCTTTTTTTTTTTTTTACCTTAAATGTATAATGCCAGATGGCGGACATTATAATTAACTGTATTTACCTAAACTACTACTATTGGTACCCAAAAATGTTGATAGATCACATGAAGCTTGACCCATTTTAGAATATCTGCCTACTATAGTCTAATAATGATCAGAGTATAGAAAAAAGTTGTATTTAATCAAAAATCTTCCATTCATTTCTTTTCTTTTTCTGAGCTACTAAAAGTGGGTTACTATTCCTAACCCTAACCTAGAAACCTATGAGTCTAAACAAGTATTAAAATGGAAAAGACAAGTGAACATGCAATTCTGGTAAGGGACTTTAGATCTTCATAGGTCTTTGTTAGAATATAGCTGCTTAACTAAACATTGCAGTATCCATAGTCAGCAACATTTTACAGTAATTATGACAATCAATGCAGTACAAGTATATCCTGCCACCACACACTGGGAAGAGACAGCTAAAGATAAACACGTTTATTGTAGAGATGCCAATTATAGTGAGGACATAAATTCAACCTCTTTAACGTTTGGGTTTTAATGTTTCAGGTACCCTGACAAGAGTTTGGATGATAACTACTGCCGTAACCCTGATGCATCTCCGGTGCCGTGGTGTTACACCACAGACCCTGAGACAGAGAGAGAAAAATGTGACATCAGTAGATGCAGTAAGACTTTTTTTTTTTCTTCCAAAAATGCAAATATTGTTGTTGGTTTTTTTTTTTTTTTTTTTTTTTTGGCTCTAATCAAATAATTTTAGGTCACATAATGGGAAAAGGATTGGACAAAGTAAGAAACATTCACATATAGTTTGACTGTAGATTTAGTGAATTTTACTTTATATTCAGGTTTGATGATTTCTTCGTTTGATTAGGGTCTATTAAGTTCATCCCTGAGAGTCAATATGGACCTCGGCTGTGTTATCAAGTCTCAGTAATTAAAACACCTTGTGTTTTAATTACTGCTGAGTGTGTTTTAATTAATTGTTGAGCAGGTTTACTCCCTACACAACATTTCAGAGTTGGTTCCAATGTTACTTTCAGGTTCATTAAAAATAATGGATCAGAACAAAATAGGTGTTTGTCCAAGATTTTTTATTTGATCACTATCTATGCTCTTTAGGTTCAGAGAGGGGTAATTATATCAAATTTCCTTTACTGTTTGTGCAGCTTGCTGCAAGTAACATATTTTTTTCTTTCTTTTTCTGCTGTTTATTTTGATTTATCAATGAAGAGCAAAGACTTTCCAATATGTAAGACAGAGACAGTAGATTATTGTTACTAAAGCTTGAATCAAGTGTTTTCCCCAAGCTTTTAGAAAGGGCTTAAATGGGTCAAGGATAACATGGGCCTTTTACAGTGATGAAATAGACCAAAGGTGCAACAAAAAGCTAGAAAAGAGCCCCATCTTGTGGCCAGATCCCTGACAAAACCATTTCACGCAAATGTTTGAATAAGATATTTGAAATCATTTATTTGTATTGTTTATTTAAGGTTTCATTCTTTCCCAGTTTCGACCTTTGTCATTTTCTCTGAACTTTAGTGGGCCAATTCTATTATATTTATGTAAACAACTAAACACTCACTTTATTGCTGGCACCTAGTCTGTTTTCATATCAGTGTAGTGAGAATTATGACTTTTTATTTCAGTTAATATAGATGAATGTATTTTTTACACGAGATGGTGGTTTAAAGTTAAGTTTCTCAGTAAAATAAAATGCCATGTGTGACCAATAGAATTGAAATTCTGATAAAAAAAATTTTTTTAAAGTGCTAGGTTAGGAGCTACTCACCTTTTTAAAGAAACTGCTGTCTTTACAGTTTTATAAATCCTTCCAAAAGGAAAGTTATTACTGGAGATGTTGAGTGTGACAGAGTGATGTATCCAAGCATATCATAGAAAGTTGAGTGGAAGGAAAAACTGGGGCATCAAATAAACTGTCAACATAAGAATAATTGCAGACTTGAGATCAGTGTGGACAGAAATAACACTTAAGAACTTTTGTAATAGACAAAATGTGGAAATCTGCAAAAGCTGCATTCCTTAAATTAAGACAGTACTGAGCCAGAAACTACATTATGATATGTCTAATTTGGTTTTTCCAATATGCAGCTGAAGTCCGTGTGGAGAAGAGGCAGCGCTCCAGCTTCACCACCAACTGCTTCCGAGGCCGAGGGGAAGATTATCGTGGCAAAGTCAACGAGACAACGTCTGGAATTCCCTGTCAGAGATGGGACTCCCAACAACCTCATGCACATCCCTTTATCCCAGACATATATGAGTGCAAGTAAGCAGTGTTGCTTTTCATGCAGGGTGTGAACAAGCTCTGCATGCATATGAATATTAATGTTGAGGTGCTGCTGCCGGGAAAAAAATTTGCAATCTTATTTCTCTGTCAACAGCTGACAGTAAATGATAGATCATCAGCAATTCCAGAGTGTAACATCGGTTGCCCTCAGAGCAGCATGTATGCTTGTCTGCTACGTTTAGTTAATTCATCATCCAGGGTTAATTTGCATCAATTTATTAAAAATGTTGTTCTTTTTTTTATTCCAATGGGAAATTAAATAATCTATCAATATGGTTAGAATGGGGCTTTTACGTGATTAGTCAACACAAAGTAATGCATTATTGTAAGCGTGGAAGCAAAATGTTACATACCGGTAATTTAAATGAAAATCAAAAAATGTCTCATGTATTTAGGTTCAGCCCCCCCGAATCTCAGTTTTGGCAGCAATTTCAGCTTCATTTCATATTGGAATACGTCTCTACTAGTTTTTCCTCATGACAGACTGATATTTCAGCCCATTCTTATCGCTACAACCATGGACATAATTTGGGGGGGAAGACAAGGGGGACATGTCCCCTGCATTTGTTCAAACATCGGTTTTGGTCCCCTGCACTTTTTACTGTCCAAAAACAATGTTACATTACACAGACATTCATCGAGCACTAGGACCAAGCGAGAAGCTTGCTTTACAAACATCTGATCCCCACTGAATTAGGTCTGTGATTGGATTGTCAGACACCCTGAAGTTGGTTATATTAAAAAATACTTGCTTCCCCTCCACTTCTAAAATCTAAATTTCATCCATGGCTACAACAGATTGGATGCCCTAGCATGTTTTGCTATTCCTAGAATTTACTGATTGATTGACTATATTGATCTCAGAGTGGAGGAATTTACTCGTTACATCAGCTCAAATCGTCAAAAAGTGAAGAAGAATGTGCCAAAGGAAGAAAAAGGTGCATGGGATATACAGTATATACATTATATACAGTGTGTCCACATATGACTGCTTTTTTTGTTTGTTTGTTTTGGATTATTATACAGGGTTATTGCACAGGGTGTTAACATGGGTATTTATATAAAACAGACATTTTAGCAATATGCTCTGATGTAAACCATTACATATTAAGGCAACATGTTGAAATCAGCCAAGTCAACTTTAGTCATGAGCACTTTCCCAGCGTTACAACTGACAAAGGTGATGAACAGTAATAAGCAAAAGCAATAGAAAATGAAAAGATAACATTTAGCAGAATTATGATTTAATGAATGTGGAGGCCTGTCTAATGAACAGTATACTGAGCTGACCCCTTAAGCTTCCACCACTCCTTTGCCAAATCAAGGAAGAGCCAGTTAGCTAATCTCGGTTGACAGATGGAGCAATGCCATTGTAAAAGTTCAAAGGTAGGGTGGGTTATCCCTTTTGACGCATTCATAAAGAATAAAGAAGCATAAAGGCCAAAAAGTTGAATTCTGTTATCATCTGTCCACTGAGTCTTTCACCACATGTTAGCTTTCTTCTAAAATTGGCTTGCTTGTGCCATCTAGTATAGGCCAGACCTGTGGAGTACTGACCAGAATGTGTTTTCCACCTGAGCTGTGAAACTTTGCAGCTCTTCCAGAGTTACCACAGGCCACCTAGCTACTTGTCCTATTAGTTCTTTCTTCCCACAGCCTCTCATTTTAGCAGATAGTCAAATATTGGTTGATTTGTAGTTTTACAATATTTAGAAATGTTCATGTTTCTTTTTAGGATGTTTTGGATAACGTTTCATAATCTAAGCATTCATAAAGCTTCTTAAAAACTTCATCCCTCACCTCTCTGATGTTTTTCAGTCTTGAGATAATGTTTATTTACCCAGGTTCTCTAACAACGTTAAACTTAAACTCACAACTTAGCAGATTCACACAGATTAAACATATAAATGGATTCCTAAAGCAAAGTGCATGGCCTGGGTTTAAATTATATAATTGAAAAGGGGGATTAATATAAATAAATGTCACACTTAACACTTTTTTCACATTTTTAATAAGTGTTTTTCATTTGTCTTTTCAAATCACTAGCGTGCCATACTTAAGAACTTCACAGTTGTGACATTAAAATTTTAGATTTTTAAGAGAGGGGAACACTTTCCGCATGGCACTGTGTAACTTCAGAGTAATGTCTCTATCTGTAAATAAGTCCTATTGTGTGAAAGGCATGCCAGTCACTGTATTAAACGTATTCAGGGTTTCTTATCATCTAGGGGTTTAGAGGAGAACTACTGCCGTAACCCAGATGGTTCAGAGGCCCCCTGGTGCTTCACTTCAATACCAGAGATGAGGACTGCCCTTTGCCTACAGATTAAGCGCTGTGCTGATGACATTGAGGCCGAGGGTAAGTTATATTGATTCGGATTTTGATAAAATTTTAATTAAAAAGAATAATAAGGTATTTTTTTTAAGAATTGAATTTAACCCAGACAGGAAGGTTTCAAAACATCCCTTATCTTTTATTAAAATTTCATTGTATTTATGAAAATAAGCTCTTTTAAACCATCAGACTGCTACCATGAAAATGGAAGAAACTACAGAGGTGTTGTCCGCAAAACTCGCAAAGGCATCACCTGTCAGAAATGGAATGTGAACACACCTCATCTGACCAAGTATGGTGATGTTTTTAACAAAGAGTCCAGATTGAAAGAAACTCTTTTCTTCTCTTACAATCCTAATCAAGAGCTTATATGATTTCAAATACCTGCATTTGTGTGATCTTTTAGGATAAACCCACGGACACATCCGGATGCCAACCTGACGGAGAACTATTGTCGTAACCCAGATGGGGACCAGCACGGACCCTGGTGTTACACCACTGACCCAAAAACTGAGTTTGATTACTGCGCCATTAAACAATGTGGTACATGACCCTTTTTTGTGCATTAGGACAAGGAATTTAGACCTCTTATTTTTTTGTTTTAAATGGTTCTATTGTTGCTTTCACACAGCTGGAGAAAAAGTGTCCTTGACGGAAACAGTAGGTTAGTACGCAAATGAATGAGGAGAAAAAACGTCCAGAGGACTCCATAGTTTGCTTCTGCAGTCACATTGTTATCTTTTTGTGAACACAGAGAAGGTGGAGTTCAGTGAGTGCGGGAAGAGAGACGACCGTCCCCAGCCAACCAGGTTGCGTATCGTGAATGGAATCCCTGGGAACTCGCCTTGGACTGTGAGCCTCAGAGACAGGTCAGGCTGACAGCTGACGGCGTTTGGTGATGAACTATCAAAACAGTCTCTGCTGCGCCATGAATAACCTTTGACCTCTTTGTGTGCAGGAAAGGAAACCACTTCTGTGGAGGATCTCTGGTGAATCCCAGATGGGTGATCAGCACAAAGCAGTGCTTCTCCTCCTGGTAGTTAATTTAAAAACTAAACCCCAAGTAAACTTTTTGCCGATAGACTGTATAAATACGGCCTCACTTATGATATCTTTATGTCTTTATGACATTTTCATGTAAACTTGTTAAATTCTGCAATATTTGGCCTAAAGCTATTTTAATTATGACCTATAGGGGTTGAAGCATGGCTAGTGCAGTTGAATTTTCCTATTGGTTATAATGGTACATGCCTATATAATTCGGTACATATTTATGTCAAAACCCTGTTTAAGTATATTGGTCATTTTACTTGGAACTGAGATATGAGATTGCCCTCATCTCCTAGGTTATGGCATCTAATTTCCTGCTTTTTGGGCATTTGTTTCCTCCATTGTCCATTTATGGTGTCTGTAGGCATAGTAAAAATGAAATGGAAAGTCAAGTCCATTTTTATTCAACGATGCAAAAATTAACAGTTCATCTTTAGTTATCCTGTATATTGGGATGTTTTTAAAAACTGCAAATTATAAATATCAGTTTTTGCAGTTCTTGAAAAGATGATTGATTAAATCAATGTTGTGAAATAATTGGATGTCTCTTGACACATTTATAAATTTCATCTTTTCTTCTAAAAAGGATCACAAATTATTTGTTTAAGATGGGTAAAAGTGCCACATAATCTCACATAAAAGGTTTTACAAAATATGACCTGTAATTTTGTATATTTGCCTATGAGCCTATGAGATTTTAATGGTATGAGAAGCATGGATACAGTAATATATGACGGTTCAGCTTATTGTGGTCTTACAAGATCACTAATGATCTTTTAGATTTTTGTAAACAGGAAATAGACAATCTTCCTATTCCTCATCAAATAAAACATATTTTTATAGCGTTTCCTTAAACAAGAAATTTGTTTTTGTTATTTTAAGGCAAAATTACTTAGATAAACAAATTGCACATATAAAAAATGTGTTTACAAGTGATCCACTAAGATGGCATGTGCAATTGATAAATGGTGCAAAAGTAAAAAAAAAAATCTAACTGTGTTTATTTTGCCTGTATACACAATGATCATAGTAAGAGTGATAAAAAAATAACACATTTACTTTTCAGCATCACACCTTTTGCTTGTCATTGAGGTCATGCAGCTCTAATAAATATTTGTTACATATATTTACAAATTTTATTTTTTATTTTTTTATTTCAGTAAAAAAAAATAGATTTTCAATATAACAGCAAAAGAGAAGATTTTGAAAATAACTCACTGCATTTTTAGACAGCACTTTCTTTAGTAAAAAGATTGGTACTATTTTTTGTCTAAATCTCATAGTCTTGGTAAAAAAAACAAAAACAAAGGTTGTTTGAAAAATCTAAAGCAGGACATTATTTGATTTTTTTTTACTAGGGATGGACTTGCTGACAGACATTGCTTTCCACTTTCAGGGGTTAAAGCATCTTTTGGGGTCATATTTAATCTCTGTTTTAATCTCTGTAAGGATTGTTAATTTTTTCATTATATCTAATTGAATTTTTTTTTTATTTGAATTGTTTTTTTTTTATCTTACTTTATACTTTTTTCTTGTCAAGAGATGCAATTGTAAGTGAATTTCATTCAAAGTTTGTATAAAGATCAGTCATGCTGTTTCAAGGCTTGAAAGATTTTCTTTGCATACAACCTCACAAAATTCTAAGCAATTAATTAAATCAATCTATTGGCTTGATCTTTTCAACAGAGGAACTATCTTGTTTATCTGTCTATTATCATTAAAACAATATTGAAAAAATTTTGCTTTTTTGAAATGTACATTAATGTTATCTTGTTTTTACAGCTATGTGGACTTGCCAGGATACTCTGCCATGATGGGAACCCTTTTCCGTGATCCGCAGGAAGGAGAGCCTGGTGTGCAAACGATTCCTCTCACCAAGATTGTATGTGGACCTTCTGAGTCTCAGTTGGTCATGCTTCAATTGGAATAGTATGTACCATCCTGTATCACCAGCACCAGAATGCATCCTCACACACATCCCCTTGCACATTACAGCTACCGGAAATTCTCCTTTAACTCTGTTTTCTCTTTGTCCCAAGTCCGGCACAGTTCAATGAGCGTGTCTCTCAGATATGCCTCCCTCCTGAGCGCTACATAGTGCCTGAGCACACAAGATGTGAAATAGCTGGGTGGGGTGACACAGGAGGTAAGACAGAGCCTTGGGTGTGGAGGGTAAGGTTTAATTCTATGCAACTGTCAAAATATACAGCAAATAATTATGGCTTTAGAATGAAGTAATGTTTCAATCGAATGAGAGAGAGAGGGCAGGGGAGAATGCTCAAAAGGTTGCTTCACAAGGTGGTTGCATGCTGTAGACGCTCTGCTAGTTTGATTTTGACATTCTTTTTCAAAGAACTTCAGTAACTCTGTGGATCAACTTTCTTTTTTATCTGATTTTCTTTTTTTTTAACCACTGATGTTGGATGTTAAACTGCTGAAAAGACTTTTGCCAACATCATTTCACTTTTGGAAATTTGTCATGATCTTTAATCATTGCAATCATAGCAGTTTTTATTTTTTTTTTACACCTGAGAGCAGTTCATTAACATCTCAATATCTAAAATAATACTTCAACAACTTCTGCAACTCTCAGATGAGTTGAAAATGATGTACTGAGGATACAGAGCAGGAGCAAGGAGAAGAGAGGGAATGGGCACATTCAAGGCATTGCTTCCATCAATTGTTATGGGTAAATAAAGATCTTTTGCAAACAAACTCCAAGCCCGCACAAGGACCCAGCCAATATATCAAAAATGCAGTATTATGTTTTTACAGAAACGTGGCTGCAGAATCATATGCCCGACTTCAGTTTCTCTCTACCAGGCTCTCTGACTATACATGCAGGCATTCAAAGAAAGCTAGAAAAGCAAAGGAAGTGGGGGTGGTAGGGCTTGTGAACTACAGCGGGTATCATCCATGACATGTTACTGTGAAGTTTAAGCTCTGCATCTCAGACATTAAACTGCTGTCATTTAGTCTTCATCTATATCATCTACCCTGAGAGGTCACCAGTATTAATGTGGCAACTGTTTATATTCCACTTTCTGCCGTTTGCTACACTGTGTGTGATGTCATCACCTCTGTTGCTGCTAAACTACAGACAAAACAGCTTAAATGCATCCGTGATGATAACTGGGCATTTTCAGTATGCCTCCCTCTCTACTAAAAACCCAGCACTCTAACAGTTTGTCAGATGCTATACAGAGAAAACAGAACTTGTTTTATGAATATGTCAAGGACTCATACATCTCTCCCAAGACCTCTTGGAAACTCCCATCACAATCTTGTTTTCCTCTGCTCAGACTAAAAGTACCTTTATAAGAGCCAACCTGAAAGGACTGTAAGAAGATGGTCACAGGAAGCTGGAGAAGCCCTGCAATTACATTTTGAGGCTAAAGACTGGGATGTATATTGTCAGGAAAAAGGAGTGGACAGCACTATAACAACTGAGTGTGTGACTGACTATAAACTTTAGTGTAGATAGCACAATATCTACTAGAATAGCAAGGTGCCTCCCCAGTGATAAACCCTGGATCACTATGATGTAATGAAATTGCTAAACAAGAAAAGTAAAAGAAAGAGCCTTCAGGAATGGAGACGGGGAGTTATTAAGGACTATACAGAGGGATCTAAGGTCAAGATAAGAGAAGGCAAGGAGGCATACGGGAAAAAGCCGAAAAGCAAACTCTAGCAGAACAACATCAGAGATGTGCGGTCAGGGAGAAGAAGATCACAGACCTTCAGCAGAAGGAGGATCAGACAGATGGAAGTCTCAACCGAGCAAATGAATTAAACATATTCTTCAAGAGGTTTGGTGTAGGAAACATTTCTGCATCCTTCTCTCCTGCCCACAGTCCAACAGACATCACACCTTCCTTTGACCTAAAGCTTCCCTCCAAAATCTCAAATGTTCCACCTTGCAGTGAATCCACTAATTTAAGTACAAGACAGTGCTGCTCCACCTCCCTTCCACATATATTTCTCCAGAAATCTAGTGTATAGGCAACTGGAGAGACTGAATAATAGTAAGGCACCAGGTCCAGATATTGTCTGTCCAAGAGTCCTTAAAGGGGTTATAGAATGCAAAACCAAGTTTACATGGTCATAGATGAATAACGATAGTTCAGTGGGTGAAATTGACGTACAGATAAGTTCAAACCCCATCGACACCTCCTTTATATGCAAATCTCGCAATTCCAAACCATAAAACGGGTGAATTCAAACAAAGCCCAGAGTTGCTGCTGGGCCACTGACTGGACCGGACCTCAGCAGAGATCCATGAGCAGAGGAGGGGGGCTGGGGTCGGTAAGGCAGGCGGGGGGAAGCACAGTGCCGCCGGTGTCCAGGCTACCATTACCGAGTCAGCTTCGATCGCTCCGTCCCCTACTGGCTCCCTGCCCCCATCCGTCGGGGTTCGCAGACCGACCTGACATCCCACATCACAAAGAGCTGAGACAGACTTCTGTTGGTCCACCTGAGCAAACAAACAAGCAGTTATCAGGACCACCTGCAGTTTGCCAAGAAGGTGGAGTTGAAGATGACATCCTAAGCCTCCTTCAGCAAACTAACTTTCATTAAAAGTAGGCAGAAAGTGCTGTGAGGATCATGTCCTTTTATCTCCTTTCTTCAGTGTATCTTACATCACTCAGTGTGATTCACTTTATCAAAAACTCCAGAGAATTCAGGTGGGGGCATCAAGAAGCAGAGGTCGGACATGTAAAGTCAACAAGTCATCTCTATGCCATGTGTTTGCTCTGTCAAACCACTGAGCCAGGTGAGTCCAATTTAATTCACTTGGACTCACGTACTTCAGTGGATGGACAAAACTAACAAAAATGGTATAGAGATAAGTTGTTTACTCCACATCTCAGTCAAAACGTACCTGCATCAAAGGCTACCTGGCAAACAGACCTTCTTTAGAGCTTTTCAAAATGACAATGTCTGACAAAAAATAGAAATGAAAAGAAACAATAAAAAGACATTCATGATGTTTGATGTTTAGGTGAATGCTGACCCTACAGTTCATAGGTCACTATTGGCTGCCCTTCCTATGACTCAGTACCCTTGAAGTAGCCTTTAGCCTGTTAGTGACCCCTGATCTAGAAGGGACAAGAAGGGACAGAGCAGACTGTATTTTAAGGAACCTTAGGTCCTTTGCAAGATGATGCGTGTCTTCTGTAGGATATCCAGCAGATGATGATACCTCTTTTTTCTAGCTTTTTTATTGTCATTACACTGTCACAGTACAGAGCAACGAAATTAACTCTCTGCATTTAACCCATCCCCTTGGAGAGCAATGGGCTGCCCGGGGAGCAGTGTGGGACCCAGAGTGTCAGTCCATGGGAGTGGGGCTTGAAATCAGAACCTCTGGATTCCAAGCGCAATGCCCTAACCATTAAGCCACACTTCTGCTGAGCTCCCCTCTAGTCTACCATCATCTGCTGGGGTAACAGCATCAGAGCAAATGATTTAAAGAAGCCTAATAAGCTGATAAAGAAGGCCAGCTCTGTTCTGGGAATTCCTCTAGAATTGCTGGAGATGATTTCGAAAAGAAGAATTCCTCATTAAATGAAGAACACAAGGGGGACAGTTGTGAGCATTATCTCTAGAAGACATTTAAAAAACAACCAGATTTTCAGTCAAAGGCTTCTCTAGATCCAGGCCAAGACAAACTGCTACATATGATTCTTCCCTTTGACGGGTATTAACATCTACAGCAACTTTTTGAAACAATTTTCAACAATATATAATTTCTCTGGGATCAGTAAAGTTTTTTTTTATTGAATTGAACTGAAACAGATGGCGCTGATATCTTACAAACAATTCCACATCTTTCCTTGTTCCTTATATACAACCCTCCCTGAGTATACCATTTACTGTAGCCTTCTTGTCTTGTCACGGTTTTCTCAGGGACTGGAGATGAGACTGTCCTTAACGTTGCACATGTGCCAGTTATCAGTAACACTGAATGCAACAAATACTACAGAGGTCGCGTCCGAGAAAATGAGATGTGCACAAACTCTTTCCAAGCTGGAGTCGGTGCCTGTGAGGTAGGTTTCTATAGGGGACCTGTAGATGATTGGATTTTTTTTCCTTTGTGTATTGTATTGTCTTTTTTATGTATTCATAAATAAGGGGAAATTATACTCAGAATAAAGATAGTTTTCTAAAATCCTATAGGCATTAGGCTTGACCCCATGGAAGCTTGTAGACTTGCATTCTCGAAGATGCATTTACACTTCTTGTCCTAGTTTTAGTGTAGTTCATTATTATTTAATGTGATAGAATAACAATAATTAGGACATATTTCTTAGAAAGAAAAGACTCAAAGTTTTTCAACTTTACTGTACAAATATGAGTCCAGTGTGGCATGCATTGGTGTTCCAACCCCTTATACCTACCAATCTTCTGCTTGCTGTTTGACATGTAGCAGGCTTTTTTAAACATGATAGAATGGGCTTCAGTAAGTGACGTCAATATCATTTTTTTCTTGAGCCGGTATCCACTATTTGTAGCAAAGAACTTAACTGTACATAATCCTGAAAACACTATAATAAATCGTGAAATAAAGCGGTAGCAGCTTAAAACTGTGAGGGCTTCACTTCTTTAGCAAAGTCAGAAAAACTAGTCAGGCTTAATGGGATGATGGTAGAAATGAAATCCAGTATTGTATCACAATATCTGTTGCAGAAATAAAACAAATACTTTAGAAGTTACATGAGATTTATTTGTGTTAACCAGTCACATTAAAGGAGAATTCCGGTTTTTAACACTTTTAGCCCATTTTCTGTAGTGTCCAGGATGAAATCGAATGATCGACACCAAAATTTTGACAATTGGTCCTGTCTCTGCTATTTGGCTCATGCAGAATCCACCCCTGGCTGCTTCAGAATGGCTTCAATAGTGCATGTCCGATAATATCCTTAAAACAACCTTAAACCGACGTCGAGGTGCTAACGTCTCTGTTAAACACTTTAAAAAACTCTGAAAATGGAATACGAAAGGTGGATTCTTGATTCTCGACGTCCCAGTACACAGAGTGAAGCGAAAAGACTACAACTGTGTAAACAGGCCCCATTTCCGTTTCCGGTGGCAGGGGAATATTGACTATTCCAACAGAACTCAATGGGATTTACAAAATGCTAAATAAAACACTACAGGAACGTTTTTTCTTTACGAAACTTTTTTTGGAACGTCATTGAACAACGCTGACGACCCGGTGAGTAGCATATTTTTAAAAAAGAACGTTTAAGGTTGTTTTAAGGACATTATCGGACATGCACTATGGAAGCCATTCTGAAGCAGCCAGGGGTGGATTCTAAATGAGCCAAAAAGCAGAGACAGGACCAATTGTCAAAATTTTGGTGTCGATCATTCGATTTCATCCTGGACACTACAGAAAATGGGCTAAAAGTGTTAAAAACCGGAATTCTCCTTTAAAATCCAGGAAGACACATTGGACAACAGAAATAAAAAATAACCAAAACAAGTTTAACTACATGAAAAGTGATTTTTATGTGTTTGATGAGTAAGATAGTTAGAGTTTCTTTAATATTTCAGCACTAGTCTTCCACGGTTGTTGGTATAATTCTGGCAATTAACTGCCATTTCTCCCTGCTTGCTTCTGAGTTACATTTTTTTGAAGCATCAAAAGCAATGTGACTGACAAAAAAAAAAGAGAGAGAGCTTGTTGATATTTTTAAATTTCATCTTTGTGTCCATGTTTGTCACTTCCATCTCTGTTTAGAAATACTCCCAAAAGCACCACTGTTTTTGGTGGAATAGCCACATGTGGCTCAAGAGCCGTATGCTTGAAACTTCTTAGATCACTGGGTAATTTGGTCCCAGGTCAGATGGGATGGAAGGTAAATGAGATAAACCCTACTTTTAATTTGCATTACTACTTATAAAGTGGGAACATTTGATTTTGCCCACTTCCTCTCCAAGTCGCTTCTTACACATAGTCAGGGTCAGATTTAGGAGATTTTGGGCCCTAGGCAAAGACAGGCAGGGGCCCTCTGAATTAAGAAGACATAAATTATTTGTTCTACATTTTGTCCCTCTCTTCTTTTACCTTTTCTTGTTGTTTTCCTCTTTATGTTTTGTACTCAGCTGACTTTTCATGCTGTCTCAAAAGGAATGAAAGATTTTTACCAATCACTAAGCTCACTTAGCAGATTGCTCCTTCCTGTGTTTCTAAAAAGGCAAAAGCAAAAGTAAACAACACAGTCCTTGTTTTCACTGTAGAAAAGCTATGATCTACTTATCTGTTCTCCATTTTTCATTTGTATGAAATAATAGCTGCATGAATAATGACAGCAGACAAGATAGAGGAGGGCAGGAGGCAGGGTTACCAATCTACCTGCTCTGGAGAGCAGAGTACGGTGCTTTTATATGTTGTCGCCAAAGTCTCCGGTAGCAGAAAAAAGTCAGGAAAAAAAAAGTACTAGAGGGGTCTTAAAGGTGGCTGTATATAGCGACAAAAGCGCTAAATTGGCAACACTGCTCTTCACATAGTTTGTTTTCCAATGGTTTGCTGCTCTGTGTTTGGATATTTCTGAACATGTGCAGCAAATGGACTGATCCAATGTGGTGGACACGGGAGGGGGGGCTGAGACACACTTAAGATTATAGGCTTTCTGATGGCATTTTAGTGAAAGGGTTTATATCAAAAACATAATTAATTTGCACAAATAAGGAATAGTTGTATTAGCCATACATGTAAACAGAGTTTTATGGGGCCCCCAGGAACTTGGGGCCCTAGGCAACTGCCTAGTATTGCCTAATGGTAAATCCGCCCCTGCACACAGTCCTACTTTTGTTTCACAAAACTTGGAAAATAAGAAAACAAAACTTATGTAAGTTTGCTTAACTCTAGATGCAAAATATGCTACTATATTTTGTAAAATGACACTAAATGTAGTTCTCCAAATATAAAAGTGTCCCTTTGACAAGAAGTAATGCATGTGAACTGCCGGGTATTAAATCCCCTCTTAAAGAAAAAAAAAAAACTCCTATGTTGATTTATCCTGCTTTGAGGAGAGAACATACAGCTATTTATAAGGTCCTATAAATCAAACACATCCACCATATGGCTAATGTAAGTGAACTGGCAAGATGTGACTGCAAGATGTTTCCCACCTCGGCACTGACACTCAGTCATAACAGAGACAAATAATGACTCCAGAGTGTTGTTGCTGTGTGTCTGCAGAGAGACTACGGCGGCCCTCTGGCGTGTCAGAATGCCGACTGCTGGGTGCTAGAGGGCGTGATCATCCCCATGAGGCGCTGTGGACACCCGGGACAGCCCAACATTTTCATCCGTGTGTCTGTGTATGTTGACTGGATCAAGAAGGTCATGGAGATGGCTTAGCTGTCTGATAAGGAACTGAATGAATGCTTTAACATTCAAAAGACATGAACATTTGTATCCAGTTAAAGATTAAAACTAACTGTTTAGTTGGGATTCATCTACAGGGTTGCATAGCTATACTACAGTGTCAATAGAAAGCCAGCTCAAAATACATGTATCTTACTGTAATTTTTTTAGGTACTTTTGTTTGCAAAGTTTTTAGAATTAATTCATCCAGAAAATTGTGTGTTTGTTTTTGGATATATATCACATTATGTTCTCCTTTTGTTTGATGTATTATCATGATGCAGTGCCTGCATTTTATTTTTGTCTCAGAAATCAACCCAAATATTAAGTTAGAGGAGCAGATTGATTTTCCCATTTTTAGATCCAGTGGTCAGTTTTGTTGTCATTAATAATGCAAGCTGATCATAACTTATTTCTCTGCCTCAATGCATTTACAGTATTCTGTGTAGCTATACCTTTACTGAAGGAGGCTGGGATGTACCAAGTTTTTATCAAATAAAAAAAAAAGATCAGATAAAAGTGCAAAGGTATAGACCAATACCCAATTACACATTAGAGAAGCAGCAAAAAAATATCTGGCTTTCTGAGTTTAAAGTTCAACCTTTGGATGCTTTGTTTGTTTTTTCCCTGTCCTCCAACTCTAGAATGTGAACTCCAGACTTTAAATTGATGAATATTACTTCCCAGATTTTATTTTACGTCAATTTAAAATTCTGACTCCTGCTGTAATAAATACTCTTCCTGATCATATCTAATGAATTTTGAAATTAGCTAAGATGTCAAACAAAAAGGTTTTTTTTAATAGAGTGTGGTGCCTTGTAAAGATTTTGTCCCATAAGAGGCAAAATATTTCAGTATGTTTTATTCTAACAATTTTTAAATAGACTAACACAAACGAGCACACTCAGTTTGTGAAACTTTTTTGCAATCAAATATGTGAAATTTCAGCTTGTGTCTGTATTCAGCATGCCTGACTCAATACTTTGTAGAACCAACTTTGAATGCAATCACAACTGGAACAATCATTTAGGAGACTCTTGTAGACTGGGACATCAAGAAACTGAAATTTGTCCGCACTCTTCTTGGCAAACTATTTCATGCTCCATCAGACTCGATGATGCAAGTTTGTGAGTTTTATTTGCGTGGATCACCACAGTCTAAGTTTTATTATATACAATTATCTTTGTATTTAAACCATTTAATTGTTTCTCTGGCTTAAGGTTTCGGGATTGTTGTTTTGCTGAGATGAAAATCTCTGCACAAAGTTGAACTATTTAACAGGTTCCAAAAAGTTTTTATCCGGGACTGTCCTGTATTTAGCTTGATCTTTTTTCCCAAAGGTAATAATCCCCACAGACTGGCGGTGCCACAACATAATTTACTGCAGGGATGGAGTTAGTTCTTTGCCACATCATTTATTTTGCTAAAGTCACCTTACAGTACAACATCTGAGGCCTTCACAGAACAGCTGTACTTATACAATTTTTATTTAGGAATATTATGGTCTCCAACTTAAAAGCGCAAAGTATAAATATCTATCATCGTTATAAAAAAGGGGAAAAAATACAGGAGTTGTAAATACCTTTGCTAGGCACTGTATATAAGGATAATTTTCCAATCTGAGAAGGAGATTCTAAAACTTTGATTTATTGCAGATTTAAAAATCTGAAAATTCTCCCTCTGTCAGTACTTCCTTTACTACACAATTGTACACCTCCCCTGTTTCGCATTGGCATTGAGTGGGAGCTCCAAAATACATTCTTTGCCCCCAGCCTCTAAAAAGAAATCCCTCCTCTGCCTGTCTTTTGATGCCTGCCCCCACCTCCAAAGACATGCCTTTGTGCCTTATGCAGAACTGTATGCACTGCACATTCTTTCTAGTTCTATAGGAGGATTTTTGTTACCCGGTCCTGATGAGCCCACGGAATTCAGCTTAAATAAACCTCAAGATCAAGGTCTGACCAAATCTCTGACTGCAGAGGGCTCCCTCAATATCTTGTTCGTTTTGGCATCAACGTTTTACCTGTGCAAACAATTGTGTTATTTCTGCAAAAGCAGAAACTAACAGAGACAGATTGTGGATGTTGATGGGTGATTTATCTTCACTTTGTCTTAGTAATACATAAAGACGATGACAGGTCCAGTTCATAAATGAGTGCAGGTTCTACGCAGCAGTTGCAGAGGCTTCTGGTAACCCTGACTAAAATGATGATAAGTGCTGTCACAAAAATATGCAAATGTTTTTCTTGTTACTCTGTTTTGTGCAACTTATGGCAATAAGAAGCAGAGTTATTTTTGGTGAAATAAACGCTTTACCGTATTAATGTCTGAATGCATGTCATGTTGTGTAATATTGTGGTTTCGCTGGATATTCATTCTGGTTATTTCTGAATTACATCATGAAACTGTCCCTGCAAACGGTTCCTACTGAGCGTAAAGCTGCATCCTTTGTAATGTTCAGCTTCATATCCTGGGCTCTTGCCAGCGGACTCACCTGACATGACTCCACTAGTGGTCCAGCCTTAGTCGCCACTGGAATGTGTGCTTCAAGCCCTTTTCATCTGAATTTATCACTTTGTATAAACTTGTTGCAGCATGAAGCACATAGGCAAGAATTAAAGGGTGGATTTAAGGTTTAGTGATGCTTCAGATAGCAAGATGTAGGTTAAAAAAATCACGATTCAATAAGTAAATAAAATATGCTGTATAAAACTATTCTAAAAGTGCAAAGTGTGGCACACATTTATTCTCTTTGTTTGATTATATTAATTTAAAATAAAAGGCAGCTAATTGCTTCATAAAGTCGCCCAATTATTTCTCCTGTGTTCCAAAAAAAAAGGTTAAAAGACAATCCACTGGACTTTGTGTCCAAGTTTGAAGACATTTCGCTTCCCATGCAGGAAGCTTTTTCAATTCAAAATGTCAGGAATTAGGGTTGAGTTCAAGGTTTTATACAGTGGCCCACCTGTGTTATTAACTCAGTAAAAATCGAGCTGAATTCTTTAGGCTTCAAAGGTTTTCTTACAGAACATGGATGACCAGATACCGACACGAAGACAGAGGAACAACAAACAGGTTGAAAGGAGAATTAAGTTTTTAAACAATATATAAGGCTGTACATCTTAAAGAGAACCTTTCAGTTATGAAAATATAAACAGTGTGGTACAACTGCAAGCCTGCATGAAAACCCAGTTTAGTTGACAGACCAGAGAGGGAATAGAACTAATCAGAGGCAGCCAGGAGAAGTTGCACAGATTTACAACTCAGTTGATATTACAGTTATATATTTTTTCGCCCTCCAAAGTTAAGGTTTGTGTTAAAGCCTGGTTAACAGAGAACAACTGGTGAAAGAGAGACATCTTGTTTTTTGCCACAAAACATCTGGGAGGTTTAAGAAAGCACGTAGAAGGTGCTTTGGTCTTTTCTTTTGGTCAGATTTCCAGGTTAAAACACGGTAGTAACACCATGCTGTGGGGATGCTTTTCTTGAACGGAGTCAGAAAGGCAGATGAGGGTTGATGGAGACGTGGAGGGAGCTAATTGAGAGCAAAGATTTGGGCTTGAATACACATACATGCCAAACATCAGTTTTCAGTTTTTGAGAAAAAAAAAAATAAATCACACCAAATGTTTGTCTTTTTCCTTCCAGTTCATGCACTGCCAACGTAAGGTGCCAGGTATGTCCCCCCTGAAACCCAATATGTGGCAGGACGCCAAAAACCCTTGAACATTTCTGCAAAAACATGTTTCCAACAGGCCAAAAAAAAAAACTAAAAACAAAACAAAAGCAGTTTGTAGGCCAACAGATAAGGTTCCCATAAAGCCCTTTGATGCAGCAGCCCTTTATGACTTACAAGGTTAGTGATACTGAGTATCTCTGGCCATGTAGGTGGGGAGATAACAGCAGGGAAAGTGAGTGAAACTCTCTGTTTGAAACAGTGCAGACAGAGAGCTCTCACTATGAAGAAAACTGAACTTTTTCCCTCCCTCTTTTTTTTTGTTGGGGGGACTTCCCAGCCTCCCCCACTTATTCTTTCCCATTTTTTTTCCTGTGGAACCCCGGAACCAGACCCTCTAGTCTAGTAATACCCCTGTCTTCTCCCCCCTCTCTCAAGTGGGTGGTCCACGGAACAGCTCTCGGGGCGGGATCCTCTGTTTTCAACCCTCCTACCCCCCGTCCTTTCTTGAAACATGCTTTAATAGAGAAAGTATGCAATGCATACTGCTCTGCTGCAACCCCCCACTATAATGCATCTGGGGTATTCGTGACTGGACGTCTGGGGGGGATCACACACATTTCCGATTAGGAGGGAAAGAGACAGAGAGAGAAAGAGAGAGAGAAGGGAGGGAGGGAGTAAGAGAGAGAGAGAGAGAGAGAGAGAGAGAGAGATTACCATTTCATTCCAGCCAATGAGACAAGCGATACACTAAGATTTTCATAGTTGTGCAGGAGCTCAAAGTGAGCGGAGTGTGTGTGAACTTCCAGGTAAAGCTGCAGACCGACCTAAGGTAAGGATTCCCCCCCTCTCCTGTGTGTCTCAGTGTGCGGCTGCATGACTCCAGCCTGAACATGGAGCCTTTATATCTGCAAACATGCAAGCTCTGAAAGGACACATTTTGCACCTGTGTTTCTTTGTCTTTTGTCTCAGGGGAACGTTTTTTTTCTCTTTTCTCTTCAGCGCGACATTTTTTTTTCCCAATTTCCCCCCCTCCTCCTGCAGACCTGCTGTGTTATCGCCCCCTAAAAAACAAACATACTTTAGAGAGGAATGGGTTGCGCAAGTGATGGAAGCAAAGGGGGGATGTTGTCGACTTTTTGCCTCTTAAATGTAAAGCTCAGAAGAAAAAGAGGAGATGGAAAGCGAGGGTTTTAGAAGCGGTTGGTTTGGAGTCTGCATGCGGCTGGTTAGTCGGGGGGGATTTGGGCTTGTTTCCTCCAGCAGAGTGCGTCTTTCTGCTGCCGCCCATATGCAGAAAGTACATTCAGTCCCGTACTGGAGAGGCGGTGTGAGCGCACATCAGTTCACATCGGCGCATACTCTCACTGTTGTTGTTGTTGTTGTTCCGAAGTGAGTTTTACGGACGGCGGAGCGACGTCGTGCGTCTGGTTGGTTTTAATTCGCTCCAGTGAGGACGCATTTCTCGAATTACTCCGACTTCCTGCTTCGGTGCGGCCGTTTTGATAGGCTGTGATGGCAATTAGAGTTTGGCACATTCCTCCCAGAGCCAGGCTCTGACTGAATCACCACCATGGGACACCTACTTTTAATGACATATATGCCTCCCATTCTGTTTCTATAGGTTTTTTTTTTTCTGTTACCTAAAAGGTAATAAATCCCTGCAAAAAAAAGTTGCATTAGGTTACATAATACAAGGACGCATTGTTTACCATTTCCCCGCATGCTGGTGGCAATCAATCAAACTTAACTACTAGATTGAACTAGTTCAGATAAAGCCAACAGTTTACACATGAAAGTTATCCAGCAGATCAAACATTCATCTCTACTGTAAGTTAAGTATTAAAATTTCCCCCCTAGTAGCACATGAGTTAAAGGCAAGAGGGAATTAACTCTAAATAGTTGCAATATACACTCATATATTCATTCCAAGTGCCAATTGTGAGGATCCACCTTTACACTTAAACATATATTCATTAATTTTATACATCCATCCAGCCATTATCTGACATCCTTTTTCACGAAAAAGTCCATTGTACACCCTGGACAGGTCACCAGTCCATCACAGGGCAGCACAGAGACAAACAACCACACACACCTAAGGAGAATTTAGATAAGTCAATTAATCTAACAGTCATGTTTTTGGGCTGTGGGAGGAAGCCGGAGTACCCAGAGAGAACCCACACATGCTGAGGGAGAACATGCAAACTCCATGCAGAAATCGAACTCAGAACCTTCTTGCTGCAAGGCAGCAGTGCTACCCACTGCTCCACTGAACAGCCCTAATTTTATACACCAATAGTTAATTAACATATACGTTTGTCCATTTAAGTTAATAAAATGCACAATTTTTTGTTAGATTATCTGAGATGTGTCAATGGAAGTTAAAGAATGCCCAGCGGACCACATTTACTTCTAATGTGATAGTTAAACAAATTGGTCCTTCAAATCACTTATTTGATGGGTTATTTGGTTATGATTTGATCAGGAATATATCATGATGTTAAAGTTGATTACATCGTCTGTCTATGGGGAGTGTTGGCCTAGAGATTGGAGCAATGCGTTTGTGCTCTCTGAAGGTTTCAGTACCTTGTTTGATCCACACAGCCTGCACTCTGGGTCCCTGAGCAAGACCCTTAACCTCACACTGCACCCAGGGCGTCACACGATGGCAGCCCGCTGCTTCCCAATGGGATGGGTTAAATCCAGAGGTGGATTTCTCCAGTGTGAGATCAATAAATTTAAATTATTATTATTATTTGCAGTTGCATATCTCTAACTACCTGGATTTTTCAGTTTTAAAGATTCGCTGGATACACCCCTGCTGTCTTTTCTTTAGTTACAATGTGCAGTAAACAGACTTGGTCATCATGATTACTTATCAATATGATCAATGTCTCATTTGGAATAGACTCCTTGGATTAAATAATCTCTTAGGCTAGAATATGTCTTGTTGTTTTGCACAATAATCTTTCCCATTCTCCCATCACATGGGCTTCAGTACCTCAGTCTATTTCAGGACGTCAATGTCCATTCAATTCATCGTGTAAACTGTTTCCATATATGGTTTAAGCACATGGTACTTAAACCATAATGTGCTAAACATCTACCCTCAGCATCACTTTACAATTGCAATATTTCAAACCTTAATGTTTTGATAACGAATGCTATTCAATGCATTGTGCAGCTCTATTTAAACCCCAAAGCTATGACAGAATCTAAAAGCAAGAAATCTGACATTTTCTGTATAAAATCAAAACAGATCAATCACAGGGGATCCGGACATTTTTATGCCTTGTTATTATCCAGCTATGGTAATTTACAAAAAAGCTTTTGCTTGTCTCTTTACTTGAAGTTTTATGCAGTGCTGCCACACCTCTAAGTTTACCTGCAACAAATGTCCCTCCTTACTCACTGAAGAGCAACTCACAGAGGGAAGCTGGAAATGCAGACGTCAGAGCAGTAGATGGAGAACTTGAATGGCAGATTGAGTTGTGAATATCAGTGCTACTTTTAGTCTCTGCACACCGCTCTCATGTTTCTCAGTGTTTGCCAGAGTCTATGTTCCAATGAACCTGGTGCCAAGGCTTGAACATGAGTGGTTCCCACGGTTGCTCTTGCAAAAATTTCCTGCATGGTTCACAGTTATACTTGTGATTGTAAACTCAGCTCTTACTTCAACATCTTTTCCACATAACCAATTAAAAAGTCAATAACTGAAAGTATATATATATATAACTATTGTTGACTTATTAACTGTTCTGTTAAAAGGTATTAAAGGTTAATACATTTTTAAATGTGTTTACATCTCCATCTGCTAAAGTCACTTCTTTTTCCTCTTTAAGCCTCAGAGGCCGCTGCTTCCGGCTTTGATGACCACACTCTTTAAAGCAGGTGGACAGACGCAGGCATGAGCGAGAGTGGGACCAAAGAGCCGTCTCCTCAGTCGAGCACAGCCCAGTCGCCTGAGGAGCCCCAGCGCAGGGGCAGGGGTCGACCTCGGAAACAGCAGCAGGTAAGACGTTAGCGGCTGTCCGCATCTCAGAACTCAGCATCTAATTTTAGGTTCTTGTTTAAGTATAAGTTCTTTGAAGATAGTAGGTAGAAAAGGCATCTTCATCTGGGGAGTTGTGGCTTCAGATTTTATCTTTCCCCAAAGGAGCCCGTTGGACCACCGACCCCAAAGAGGCCCAGAGGACGACCAAAAGGCAGCAAGAGCAAAGGCCCCAGAACTGCACTGAAGGTTAAAACTAACCACAACACTTTCAAATTTATATGCAAGTATGTACTGATGGTGCCAAGAGGTTCTATAACAACATTTTCAACAAAAAATACTAATCTATACCTCCTTCCATATTACTAATCTATACAGAGGATTTCATTGGAAGAAAATCCAATGATTTCCAATAGAAATCATTAGATTTTGTTTCGTAGCAATTACTGTTTCAGCGTATTTGGATAGGAAAAAAAAAAAAACTTCCATTAACATTTTTCTCCACATAGGTGAAAAACAGGCTTACGTTTAATCAGCCAGCCCTGGATATAAGAACTATAGAACTTCAACCTAATTTTTGTCTTATTCATCATAAAAAAAAAAAAAAAACTGAATATCAGAGGAATAAAGAAATCCTGAACCTTATCCAGAGCAGCTGAAACAGAAATATTAATTAGAAATACCAACTCAATTATTACAAAATGTAAAAAATAAAAAAATATAAGGTTTAATGTGTGGAAAATGTAAAAAAAAAAAATTACTTTATAGTTTATGTGTACTGTTAATACAATTTTACTTAAAGATAAAGTGGAGGATTTTTCGCGAATTTTTGAAAAGACCTGCCCTCTCCACAAAATGCACATGCACAACCCTGTATCTGCTACCGAGAGGAAACGCCTATTAAACGCATGCGAGAGCATGAAAGAGCCCATTTCTTCTCGTGCATGCTCTGTTTAAAACTAGCTGTTTGCATCGCTAATACAAACTTACTTTCCAAAAGAACATTTGCAATTTTTCCACTATGCCAGACTCACTAACAGTAAGTGAAAATGGGGACGAGCACGTACCAAAGGCCTTATGTAAACATATCACCAGAATGATTGACGCTAAGGAGGACCACTTATTTTGATGATCCATCCGAAAAAAAAAACATCCTCCACTATACCTTTAAGTTATGCTTAAGATTTATCTCAGTGCAATTCATACAAAAAAAAAAATGCAAAGGTAGCTTACAGTTTTTTTTTTTGTATTTACTATAATTGGGTAAATCTGTGAGTTATAAAAAACAAACATACCAAGAACATTTTTAAAATGACAACTTAGATTAAATCAGCTCATAGCAATGTCTACAAATATGTTAAGTATAAGGTGTTATCGTCTTTTAATCAAAATAATAATAAAAGTCATGATGACAGAAATATTACGAAGACAATAAAGAAGAAATTGTTATCTATATATTAGGATCAGTTTTTTCCTATAGCTTTACATAACAAATAAGGGAAGAAAATGAAATCCAAAACACAGCTTAGGTAAAGTGTAATCTTTTAAAAACAACAGTAAATAAATGTTAACTGGAAAAAAAAAACGAAAACAAAACAGTAACCTAAGGAAAAAAAATTTAAAAACCCGTTATTAAAACTTTTAAAGGAGAGAACTCTTAACGTTGCAGACATTTCTGCAGGGCCTTTGGGTGTAGTAGCTGAAAGCAGCTTCTTAACTCTTCATTGTAGAACTGGTTGTCCTAATGTTCTAGGTGAAACATCTCTGTCAATTAAATAAATATGGTACAGAAGGCCACTGTCTTCTAGACCTTCAACAGCGATTGATAAAATCTTTAAATCGTACAGGGTACAGATAGGGACTCGCTTGCAAATAGGGAAGGCGCAAAAGCACATAGTCATTTTTCTACGATCTTTTCACAAACACGTTCTAAAACTTGATTTGCTTGCACTTCATGTAACAGTTAGAATATGAAGTCAGTGTGACTTTAAGATTTCTGAGCCTTTTTTTCTTCCTAAAAGCAAAAGCATTGTCATACTGGTAATTGTCTTTTTCAACCAATTACCACAGCAACCTGGGAATAATTCAGACACACTCTCATGTCGATAAACCCCTTGAAGGGACAGGGTGTTACTAATTTATTTTATTAGCAAAAATCTAGTATCGGTTTCAAAAATACGTATGCTGCCATTGTCTTATCATAATCACACTGAATATGAAAGCTTCCAAAAGCTCAAAAATAGTTATTTAAAAACATGTAGGTGGACATGTACCCAATAGAAGACACACCATGTTGCATCGTCATTTTTGATTATGAAATTCCAAAGGGAAATAACTTTTTAGCCTTATTGTTTTTACCTGTATATAAGCAGCTGTTTTGGAGGAGAAGTGAGAATATAACTTCCAAAGATGACTGTAGATCACTCTACTTGCTGTTTTCTGTCAAAATAGAGGACAATCCATACCCTTTGCCCAGCAATAGGGAAGAGGAAGTAACCAAGGAAAGAAAAATAAGTAATAGCAGGGTTGAAAAGAGAGTCTACATTGGCGAAGCTTTTACCTGATCGAAATCATTCATAAGCAAGAAAGGCTTCAAAACAGAAAGTTGATTAAAGTTTTCTAAGAGTTTCATTATTTATTTTAGATTTTTTGTTAGGAGTAAAGGTGGTTGCTGTTTTCCCTATTGTCAGAAACAATAGACCAGTGTAATACCAGTCTCTCGTGGTGTTTTAATCACTAGAGCCACAACATTCTAACACAAAAAAATATCTCAGATGATGATAATCTCTAAATGATACATCAACCATATCTCTTAAAAATAATCTGAAAACCATAAATATGACACAAGTGTAAATCCCGCAGCAAATGGTTACCTATACAAGAAGTGTTAAGTGAAGGTCTACATGCCATTGTTTTAAACAATGGAAGACAAATGTTATGTTGTTTTTCTGAAGTCATCTCAACCCCTATCCATCCATCCATCCATCCATCCATCCATCCATCCATCCATCCATCCATCCATCCATCCATCCATCCATCCGTGGTGCCTATCTCCAGCTGTCATGAATGACAGACGGGGTACACCCTAGACAGGTCGCCAGTCTGCTGCCGGGCAACACAGAGGCACACAGGACAAACAACCATTCACGCACACACTCACACCTAAGGAAGATTTTTAGAAACCAATTAAACTAACAGTCATGTTTTTGGACTGCCGGAGGAAGCCGGAGTACCTGGACAGAACCCAACCATGCACAGGGAGAACATGCTACCCAAACTGTGCAGTCCTATCCAGAAGTCCTTATTCATTTATGTCGGCTTGCCTTAGAGCTTACACTTGAATTTTTACATTGTCACATTGATGGCGCTCTGCAGCTTCTGTAGTAGTTCATTATGCACTTAATGGTGATTCAACAGAAAATGCTTCTCGGCGGTCTGCATTTAATTTGATGCACCATCGGATAGTCGTTAACTTCACTGTAGCTGTAAGCAAAGACCGAACTGATCAAGAAAAGGTCAGATATAAATATATCAATTTGTATCATTTGCAAAATGATTTAGCTACTGACTTTTTAAAGCCTTTTGCTAAAGAGATTATTGATTGGGTAAGGTGCCTAGTATTGAGCCTTAGGGAACTCCAAATGTAATTGACAAATGTTCTATTGCATTTCAATAGGGCACAACAATCCACTGGCATTTGGTTGAAGATAACACAACAAAAATAACTGCTGTGTCAGGAAAGCCTACTAACTTTGTAAACTGTTTAGTGTGAACTCATGGGGGACTTTAAGGCTGATTTCACACTAACTAAGCTCCATCGTGTCCACTCTGTCATCTGTTTCAAAATGTTTCATGTGGAAATCCATCATGGATTCTTGTGATCCATTCTTACAGCTTCCCTCTTATTTTGAAATGTACCAGATCTGCTTTACTCCTGTTTCTGGATTTTTTGTTGTTGTTGTTGTTTTATTGAAATTTACCTGTTTATCTCTGTAATCTGTCAAAAAAAAATACTTGATTATGATTTCTAAACATAAATGGCTCTCTGTCATGCCATAGTGCCACACAGCTAGTGGGAATGACTGCAATGACAAGAGCAGCTTCTGTTTGTAACTGAGAGAAAAATGCATGATGGATTCAGTGTGAATCCGGCTTGAGGAGTAGTGTTTATGTACTCTGCTGAACCATAAATCCAAATATAAATGACTCATTTCCAAAAATCAAAGAATACCAATCTTAAAAACCTGCTTTAACAGTCTAGATTGAGGAATTTTGTGCAAGAAACTGCAATTAGACATGACAATCACAAAAAAATATATCCTTTGTATTTTCTAATTCAGACTTTCATCCACGCACAAATACAGAATCCATTCATGCTGGTTCGCAGGGGTGTCATTATTTGATTAGATACAAACTTTAAAAAATGTGGATTTGTTTAGATAAAGGTAAGAACATCACTGGTACTTAGAATTTGTGCAGGGACTCTACATGCGGACATATTAAGGATTGATATGACAGATTCTTTTTGTTCAGTATAAATACAGCTTTTTTACACCGGGGACATTGTTTCTTTAAAAAGGTGCATTTGCTATAATCTAAACCTCTTCCATCGCTGATTTGATTTCTCCTCAGAAAGTAGAGCCTGTTGGGCAGAGGAGACCACGAGGACGTCCGAGAAAATGGGTATGTGCTGCTCACTGACCCTTCTGGAAGTACTGTAAATGTACAGGCTTTCACAAAAGTGCTCATACCCCTTGAACTTAGTTCTATTTTAGCCTATTATTTAGTTACAATCCCACAATTTTTTATTATTTTATTGGGATTTTGTGCATTAAACCAACACAAACTGCATAACTGAGAATTGTAAAGAACTAAAACTTGATCTTTAAAGTTTTTTTGAAAACATTCTGTAAAGTGTGGAATGCATTCTTTTTCACCTGTCTGATTCAATACTGTGAAGAACCACATTTTGCTTATTCTCAAGAATCTTTAAAAAAAATATCTTTATTTCTGTCAGGCTAGGTAAAGCACTTTGCTGCACTGATTTTTGCCTGGAATTTGACTAGACTGTTTCAGCTGTGAATAAAAGCGGCTGAGAGCTGAAGTGTTTCTTTAAGGTTATCGTTACCTTTTCTAACATAGAAAGTGCTTCTATGTTCCTTTTGTATGTCTGCTTCTGTCTCCTTGAACTCCAGTTGGCCTCGCCAGAATGCCTCTCACATTGAGGCTGTGTCCAAATATCCACCCACTACATAGAGCGCGGACTATATAGTGGACTTTATAGTGAATTCATTAAAGTGACCGTTCGGACGGATTATCACTACTTTTTGCTCCCCACTGGTCACATACGTCCGCCTCCACCGCGCAGTGCCTGCCCAATCTTTGTAGTTAATCGCCGCTATCGAGTAGTGAAAGCCTATGGTGACAGCTGACCACTAGGGGTGTAAATAATAATCGTTTTGTATCGATGCATCGATCCAAAAGCCGACGATCCGATGCATCGACACGTCCGCAAGATAATCGATTAATGTTTTTTTTTTCCCTCCGGTCTATTTTTATCCATTTGCTCCTGGGCGTAATTCTCCCTCCCGTGCTGCGGTGCCGCTAAACCTATTTTGCCCTCCTACCGCGCTTCCTGGTCATACTCTTACAGCAGTTTGTTGCAGCAAGCTTCACACAGAAATTTTTAAATTATGCTCAGTATTGAAGCGTGGTCTGGGCTACACGCTGTGGGTCTAGATACAGCCGAGGCGATGAGGAAGTGGCGGCGAGTTTAGTCCGACGACGGAGGGACAATGGGGCAAAAAGAGCGGAGATTCAGCTGGAAAAAGGCTCCCAGTGTTCTCGCGCACCTCGCTCTTCTAGCGGGTCAAACTTCACGAGTTGTTTTCCGCAATTTCGGTCATAAAAACAAAACAAGCCGGCCTCCTGTCTGGTGCACTGTTTGCGGTCAGCTACAATCTGGGAGAGGTGCAGCGTCTCTCAAGGGGGCGGTGACGTCAACACTCTGGAGCCTTCTTCTTCTTCTTTTTTTTTTATGGCGGTTGGCAAACAACTTATAGTTGCATTACCGCCACCTTCCAGAATGGAGTATGGACCAGACAAACTATTATATTCTCCCTAAAATACCCGTTCTTCTTAGAAAATTAAAAATACTACCAAAAACTACATCCCCAGATGACCTTTGAAACAATTCCCTTATATCTAGTTTATTTTTATTCCTGTCTAACTCTCTACACAACATCTCTCTTTCCTGAATATATTTATTACATTCTAAAAAAATATGTTGGACAGTTTCTCTGGAGCCGAGGTATTGCATTGAACTCATTACACTGATATTGTGCAGTATTTTTGCAGTATTTTTTGATGCAACTTTTCTACTTATGTTATTTGCTGTTGTTTCTAAAGAAAATGCATAATGATTTTACAGCTTTCATTGATTTATTTCAAACTTGAAACTTTGTTTAGCCTGTAAGGTGTAAAAAAAAAAATAATAATAATAATAATAAAAAAAATTTAACCGATTAATCGAATCGAATCGAATCGTGGTGTATTCTTAAGTATCGAAAATAATCGAATCGTTGGGTCAGGAAATCGATACTGAATCGAATCGCCATGATGGATGTGATTTACACCCCTACTGACCACTGTGATGGCAAGTCCCATAATGCTTTGCGAGGAGAGCTCTCTGGACAAAGCATTCCAGGATATATCTGCTCGTCTAGTGACCATGGATGATCACGACTTTTCAAGATGCATTGTGTTAAATTTCGAGTCCACTGCTTTTTCATCCACTAGATGTTCGGACACTCATTTAAAATGGCGTAACATATATAGTGCCCTATATAGTGGTTAGGGCAGAAATACGGAGACACAGCCTGAGCCTGGTTTTGATGGAGGTTTCTTCCTATTAAAGGGAAATTGTTCCTCCCCACGGTCTCTGCCTGCACACTGGGTGTGAGGGTTTGCAAAAGAGTGGGGAGTTATCAACACAATGCAAGTGAATGTTTACTGTTGCCACATTCTAATCCTTTATAGTGACTGGATACAGTCAGCTGGGTTTCCTTAGAAAGGAAACTTTTGACCAATCTGAGTGTATGATTTGATTAAATTGTTTCTGTAAAAGGCCTTGAGATGCCATCTGTCTAAATTGGCACTATATAAAGCAATTAAATTGAATCGACATATGCCCTGTCCTACACCAGAGCATATCAGCTCTGGTTTGAGGTGCATGGCTGCTCTGATAGAAGTTTTCTTCAGGCCTCTTAAAAAATTATTTAACAATTCACACACATTTAGCAGGTCCAACTCTGAATTGCTATTATTTCCCTTTTATGTCCTTCACATCATCATGCTGCCACCACCATGTTGGGGACTGCATATTCTAAATAAAAAGCTTTAATAGTTTTCATGTTGATCAAAATTTCTTTTTTAGTCTTCTCTGACCTCCACTTGGTTTAGAGAGATAACCCCCCCTCTTTTTCTTTCAACAGAAAAGCCAACAATGGCCTTCTTCTTACTACTATTACATTAAGGCAGGATTTTCCACCTAAGCTGTGGATCTTATCAAATACACAATAGGTACTATTTTTCCTAACTGACTTCTAACAACTTGTGGTTGCACTGGATTTGGGTTGTGTATCAGAGTAAAGGGACCTGTTTGTTGAATATATTTTAATTTAAAAGACATTGCATCAAAAACCCAAACATTAGTATAAAATTCTGTTGAAAGATGCTAAAAGTTCAAGGGGTATGAACGGTTTTGCAAGATCTTGTGAGTCCAAAGCCTCTGTCTTTTTGTGCTCAAGCTGTTTAGTATTCAAACACCCTTTTACCTTCAGTCTTTGATGGATTCTACTGTCTTGTGTTTTATTTTTTATTTCCCAGCCCAGGAAGGTGGTTCCAGAAGTGACTGAAGAGCAGCAGGTGAGAAAATTAAAATATATAGCGGGATGGTCTGGTATAGATGCAGTTCTTTTAGACATTGAAATGCAACTCCTAGATGTTAATCAAAAATATAAAAGCCTTTACATTCTTTCATAGTTATGTTCTGGATTGCAGCTGCCATGAGATGCTTTGCAGCATTTTTTCATTGCTGCTCTTAAAAAAGCCCAAACTAAGATCTTGAATCAGATCAAACTAAAGGTGGAGACTGTTTGCGAGAGTGCCACATCAGCTTCAGTAAAACAGAAATCTCATTCTGTGTCAAACATTTGCCTTTTGACTCCTACCCGTATACATGTCTTCTTCTTGTGTCAAAAAAGCCGCGTTGGTCACACTTAGCCCTAGATTTAGCTGAACAGTCACTATGTTCTGCGAATCCGCAGCAACGTTCAGTAAAGGTACAATCTGATCTACAAAGTGTTACAGTAAATAGCTGCCACAGTTAGAGTCGCGACACGAGTCACATTCACTAGTGGAACAACCATTTAGATGTTTAACTTAACTGCAATGTCACTTGGGGGGAAAAGACATTCAGGTGGAACAAGAGATTAACATACACAGTGTATAAAGGCAGACATTATCTCAATGTCTGACATAGAATCAAACTAAACTGATTATTTTTTTAATACTAAGATATCTGTAACTGCACAAATAATTAAGACATAGTTTTAAGATAACTTTGCATATGTTGTCTTTCTGTCAGTAGAATAGTTTTTTCCTTCTGCAAGCTTCCCACAACAGCTTACCCAAACTTAGGCTCGTTCCTCCTGACAGAATTAACGTAACCATTCCCCCTTTTTCTCCAAAAATAATGGTGGTGATCATCAACAAATAATTTTTTTTCTAATCAGATTCCAGGATATGTTTCCAAAACTAAACCTTTTGTCTCTTATTGCATTTTCCAACCCTAGCCTGGCTTCCTGTGTTGCTTTTAGAATAATGGCTTCCTCCTCTCTGACTGGTTTTAGTCCAATCCTACATTGTTGTTTTGCTTTTTCCTTGGGTTTATGCAGGTCAGTTTCACACATAAAAAAAAACAACAAAAACATTCACCTCATTACGATGATTGGACGTTCTTATCCTGTTTATACCTTTAATAACTTATCAAAAACTTTTAGGCATCTAGGAAGTTTAACAAAGTATAAACTAGACTTGTGAAAATTTACGGTTCTCTTCCTGAGATCTTGGAAGATTTCTTACTGTCTGACATGAAAACTTGACTAATTTAATGTCAGAGAATATTTTATTTTATTTATTTTTTTGCCTTTTTTATACAGTGTATTTAAATATCCGGTTGCAATTGTTTGCTTTTAGAATAATAGATCAAAAACTATATTATTAGGTTAACATGTAAAATTATTTTTCATGATTGCATGATAAAGGGATCATAAAACACATTCAGATAAAAATTAATCTGATGAAGTTATGAAAGTAAACTGTCATTTGGTCTGTTTGATTGATATGATTGTATTTCAAACATAATACTAATATAGAAACATGAGGAGTATCTATATGATTGCCAAGACTAGAACACACATCTGTCCTCACATTATGAATATTAGCTTTTCTCATTTTAAATTTGTTTGTCATTTAATTGCTCATTTCATCAGTCAAAAATGTCAGAAAAACACCTTTTGGAGAAAGACACAAGCTGACCCTTTCATAAATCCATCTTTATAAGCTGATAATTATGGTCCATGGTTTTTACATTTTATCAGCACTATTTTAACCTTGCAATAGATTAGGAAAACTCTCATTAAAAAATTAAGTTTGGGTTAATATTAGGACTGAAACAGTTAATCGAATTAATTAGGATTATTGATATAATCGTCACCTAACTAAGTAATGGATTAATCATTAACTGGAGTATAGAGACTCTAAAACATGCCTTTGCCTGACAGAGAAACCTACTTAGAGCAGTAATTCTATCAGCATCGTAAAAAAATATAAACAGTTTTGATTGAAGATATGAAAACCTTTTTAGTTCGTCAATATGCTCTATCCAGAATTCCTCAAATGGAATAGTTTTAGTTTCACCTGATTTTAACTCTGTTAAAATCTTCTTTAAGGAACCTTTTCTTATCTGATTATTTATTGATTTTTCTGCTGACAATAAGATCCTTTGGTTCAAATCCACCTTTGGAGAAGGTGCATTTTTCTAAAAAAAAAAAATAATCAACAATGATTGTTAGTTGCAGCCCTAGTTTGCATAAAGTGACATGAAATCCCTATAATAGCATCATCTTGTATTTAAAACAAAAAAATGAAAAAAAAATTTCTGACATAAGAATGTTTTATTTGATTTTGATTCATAAACCTAAACAAATTTTAAAAAAACTAATAATAATAGTAATATCTGTTTAGCGATTTTCAAATGTTAATTGCACACATTGTACATCATACATCCAGTCTTGAAAAGGCAACTTCTTAAACCCCTATATCTAAATTCAGGGTAACAGCCCATGTCTGTTTCAAACATACCAAAACTTTATTTGAGGCATTGGTCTAAAGTCTGTTCACCAGTGCTTAATCTCAGGATTTATGTGACATCTTTTAGCATACTTCCCTTAATAAAAAAATAAAAAAAAATCTGAGAACAGTAAATAAATAAAACCTGGAAAATGAGTGAAAACAATTTGCATATCCTGAAAACATGGTCTCCCTTCTCCTTAATGCTGATGATAAAAGAGGAAAAAATGTTCTTCAGCTCTTCATCCATTAAACCTGTAGAACCGTCTGGTTTTTGCATTCCAGTGATTAAAGCTTCAAAAAGTCAACTGTTAACTAGCCTTCTATGTTAGCTAACAATTTACTTATTAATAGTTAATAGTCTGGTTCCAGTGACTTTCCTAGTGACACTGTTTTTAAAGGAGAGATAGACGAAGGCACAGATTATCATCTCTCAGCTCTGTGTTCATCTCGTTTTATCTGATTCAGGGTGTCACTCAATAATATCTACTTATATGTATCTTACTCAACTACCTTTTCATATTACCACTATTTTGGATATGGCTAATTAGGTGATCATAGGAATCCTGCTAGACAGTCTTCTAAAAGGTGGTCCAATAAGGGCCTCTAATAATCTGGCACCCAGGTACCAAAAGCCAGGAAAGAAGAGGTTTATAAAAACAAATAAATATGTATATGCATAAATAAATGTTAAAACCTCCCCTTTTCTATCTTGAATTAAACTATTATGAAATATTTAAATTATTTGCCTATGATAGTGGGCCTCAGGATACCCAGCAAATGTTTATAGTATGGCCAAAAAAAACCTATTTGTTTATTGTTGTAAGTTTTGCATGTTTGTCTTATTTAAGTTTGTCAAAATGAAATTAATAAAGGGTATACATTTATATATATATATATATATATAAATAATATAGTACTTTATATCCCCACCCTAGAATGTTACATTTTTTTGAAGAAAACTATTTTCTTCTGACAATAAAAGACAAATAAGAATTGTGACTTGTTATTTGTACATAAGCGCAGCAATCAGAGAGTCTCTCAGCACAAGCTCCATTATTTATGATTTCCGAAATGACTTGATGTTGATGTGGTGAATTCTTGGAAATTCAAAGGCTCTGGTGTAGAATTCCCCACACGCTGCTGACAGTAAGATCCTTTGGTGAAATCCACCTTTGGAGAAGATGCATGGAGCGTTTCTCAGAAACCCTCTGTCGTTTAAGCCACCTTGTTGAGAGCGTTGCACAACAGCGCTCAACAAAGCTATGCCCCTCGCTTGCCTTATCTCATCCTCTGCACTAAGAAGTTAGGGCGCCTAAAAGTACTGAAACCATTGAGACAGACTCCTCTCTCAGAGGCACGCACATGAAGGGGAAGAATGAGTCAGTGTTGCAGGGGAAACCTGATCTAACTGCTCTCTTCCCCTGTCTTCTTGGTTTCCTGATGTAACGGTCGTCTTCCTCACATTTCTAGCCAAGGCGGCTGGAGCCCTGCTCTCTCGCACGCAATTGCCCCGTGAATTTTTTTACCACTCATTCTTGTACTCTCGTGCTCTTTCTAGCATTGATTCACTACCTTTGAGATGGGTGAGTCACCTCTCAGATAATAACTGATGACTCTCCTTTTCACTCTTCCGATGTTCCAGGGCCCTTCGGAGGAGGCCGCGGAGGGCCCCTCGTCATCTCAGGTGCCTGTGCAGGAGGAATCGGAGTAGATGGGATACCTCTCTACCTACCTCAGTGTTTGGCCTCAAGCAAACAGGGGTACAATCTGACTCCCTATCTGTGATGGGAAATCAGGAACACACACACCCACACACACTCACATTCTCAAAAAGAAAATCCTCACAGACCACAGTTTCCTCTCCTAATATAAACAGCACCATGGATTTGTTGTTGCTTTGTTTGTGCGATTGGTAAAGGTATGGTTCCAACTTGTGGGAGAAGCATTTTATGTGGAGAGGGGACAGAAAAAAAATTAGAACATAGTAAGGAATGTACTATCAGACGGCAGAATTCAGTATTTTTTATTAAAACTAGGGCTGTAACCATTAATTGGATTAATCGTGGTTAATTGATTATTGAAATAATCGTCAACTAATTTAGTAAGTGATTATTTGTAAACTGGAGTACAGCGACTCTAAAACATGCTTTTAGCTGACAGAGCAACCCATTTTGAGCAGTAATTATACCAAAATTGTAAAATATCTATCTATATATAGATAGATATTTTTCTCCTGTCAGTATGCTCTGTTCAGAACTCCTCAAGTGGAAAAGTTTTAGTTTCACCTGGTTTAATTTCGTAAAAAGTCTTTTTTAAGGAGGCTTTTTGGCTATCGATTAATAATCGATTAATCAAAAAAATTATCGACTGATTCATTTATTTGCAAAATAGTTTAGAGGGAAAATGCTTTAATGCATGCCTCCTTTGTTTTGTGTTTGTTTAAAACATTTCGACCTCGTTTATGAAAAAAAAGTCAAAAAAGCTGCATATTTTCCTTTTTCTTTTGTGTGTTATAACCCTTTAATAAATACATTATGAATCAGTGAAAATTAAAACTGGCTGATCAGACTTCAAACAAAACAAAACTAATTAATATCAGCAAGAAAAAAAGCTAATATGTTTATCTCAAAAAAAAAAAATCCAATAAGTCATTTCCAATTAACCTTTTTATTAGGCTACTTTAACTAATGGTTTACCTTTCCATCCATCAAAAGCACCGTCATCAGCTTACTAAGACATGTCATTGTAGGGTTCTTTGCATTTCAACAAGCTAATAATCCTTTGCAAGTTTGTTTTTGTACCTCTTAATGCTTTGACACCCATTGTTGCAAGCTTTTTTTGCGCCACAACTGGTTCCTAATGGTGTATGTTTTCAAACGTTGTCACAAATTGGTAATACACCTATATACATATATATTTATTTCCTTAGATAAATAGAAATAGCAATTTTTCAACTACTTAAAGGCAGAAAGTGGAATAAATATAGATATATATAGATATCTATCTGTATCTCTCTATATATATATAGAGAGAGAGATGTAACAACAGATATCAGGTTTCAAAGTTAAATTTGGTTCATTAACAAGTATTTCCCTCCACTATTTTTTTATCAGGAACTGAAAGAATGTTTCTCCCGTGAACTGGAACCATTCCTTTATTATCCCAGCTGTCCTGAGCCTCTCCAATGAGATTTTTTGCATGTGCGGAAACTTCATGTCTGTATGTTTTGTTCTGTATGGAGAGGGAGACCCAGAAGAAAGAGATGGGCAGGATTGTGTGCTAAAATGAAAAGAAAAAACAACAACGGACAAAAGTAACTAGACTGAACCAAGTTTTTAAGAACATTTCTTATCAGCTGTTTTAAACGTGACATTTCTACATCAATGTAACAACAGAAACATGACGTGCTGAATTCATTATTATGAAAGCTGGTGTGAAAGGTTTGATTTCAAATTGAAATATCCATTTTCGGAGAGAAATCTCTGATTATTTCCTAACCTCAGCTCCTCGCTTAAGTGTTATCACGCTGAATTAATCCTTCCAAGCAGTCAGTGGCTGATTTCAATACATACTTTCAAATGGATATTTCATTTTGAACCTAAAAATAAAAACCTTCATAAATACTTGACATGTCATTTTTACCACTCTCAGGATTTCACTTTTTTAACAGTGCTCTTAACGTCATTTTTGAAAACCTCAGGTACATATCTATTCAGGAACATGATATCTACTCAGTAATAATTGTGGTGCTGTGTTTGTTGTGCGATTCTGATCTGTATTTGACATTAACAGTATGCCTTGACTCAAAGACCTCATTTAAAAACCTCTGTCAGCCTCAGCCTCTTGATCTCGCATTCTACCTCAGCAACACACAAAAAAAAAAAAAACGACAAAAGATCCTCCTGCAAAGTTATCCTTCACTCCCTCAGAAATGATACTGTATCCGCAAAAAAACACACACATGCGCTCATGCACCAGCGCAAATAAACACAACAGATCACTTCCAGGGCTACATGTCGACAAACCAACAGACACACACCTAACTAGAGGATGTTACACTCTAGTGAAGGTGTACAGATAATTCAGTATCATTTCATGAAAATAACTGTATCTGATAAACATGAAAACTGAAGTGAGGCTCTGATCTCCTGGGAATTAAAGTGCAGCCAATAGTTTACAACAACTTGATGAAATACTTGCCTTTTAGAGCGTAGTACCTTTTGAAAACCTTTGGGGGTTTTTTGGGTTGGGGGGGGGGGGGGGGGGGGGGCGTTATTCATTTTCTTATTTTAACTACATCATGTATTTTTTTTCTCTGATTCTTACACTGTAAAATGTATGTGTGACACTCTTAATCGTGGCAGCAAAATAGCCGCAACGTGCTGAAATACATTAGATGATGCTTACCTCAACGGCTGCTCGTACTTGACCCACTTGTGCTACAATAACAGAACACGATTGTACTGAACTGATAGTGTGTTTTAATGCTCCTGAGTTCAGTTTTTTTATTACTTTGGACTGAAAAAAAAACAACCTTCTCTACTTTTATTTATTTTTTTACTTTAAGAGATCACTAAATCTTTTCGAACTTCTTCACACATAGTTAAGCTTTCGTGTATTTTAATTGGATTTTATGTGGCAGACCGACAAAATGAGTTGCAGAATTTAAGGGTTGTTTTTTTAAACATATTTAAAAGATACAAAATCAAGAAAGAGTGATATATGTGCCCATTCAGGTTTCCCAGGTCACTGTCTTGTCAAAACTTTTCTAGAATTAAAGCTGCAGATCTTATAGGGTTTTTATTTCCCCATCTTTGCACATCAGAAGACTGAGATTATCCTTTGCCAATCAGTTCAAGCTCCGTCCAGTTTGACAGGCAGCTTCTCTCAACATCAGTCTGGTTGTTTTCCCTGACATCTAAAATCACCATTCTAAGAAATGAATATCCTGTAATCCAAACAACTTTGTGACATTATCCTGCTTTAAGCTGACATGTCTATGTAGTTTTTTCCAACGTGCCACACTATGTTTATCTTTATAAATACAATATTGTTGTCCACTTTATCCCTGACTTATCTGCAATGTTTGCAGCTCGTGACTATTGTGTTGGATCACTTATCTTCTCTACTAATCTCCAGTTCTATTACAATTTGGTAGAAATGATTGACAGTTGTTTCGTTAATTGCTTCAGCTTATTATCATGAAAATTAAAAACCTGCATCCTTTTCAGTTTACACTTCTGCACCACCTGCTGTTGGCTTACCACATAAAAGCCCAATGAAATACATGGACGTTTGTGGTTGGAACTAAATGTCAAAAGATTTCAATATGTTTCAACAGTTTTGCTAGCCTCCGTACACAGCTTAAACCAAATGTTTTCAGTTGGTCAAAGAACACTCATTAGTTTTTACTGAAACCACATACCTATAAAGAGATTATTCAATTAAAAACATAAATAAAAAGTTTCTGCTTTTTACTGTAAGACACTCTGCTTCTGTATAATTCCTTTCCCACAGCAAATCAAAATACATCTAATGGACCATGTTTTTAGTCCAGCAAAAAACCCTAAGGTGCTAAACATTCATGTGTCCTGAAGATGTGAGCTTAATTTTTAGATTTGTAAAAGCAAAAATAATCCTTTTCTTTTGTTTCATAGAATAATTTAAAATTAAGTGTGAAATAAAAAAAGACTTTACTTATATTACTTGCTAAATTAAAAAAAAAAAAAAAAAAAAAGCTATCAAAAAACAATCTGTTGCTCAGCAACATTTTGGATAATTTCAGCCAAAAACTAAATTTTATGTTTTAATATAGTAATAAGGAAAAAAAGAATAGTTTTAATTAAATACAAAAATCAATGACATTCTCAAAATATCATTGATGGTACTATTTTCAGGCCATTGGTGCTTGATCTGATTTTAGCAAAAACAAATCAGCTTTATAAGTACAGTATATGATTTACCACGGTGTTGGTTTTATTCACAGGGTCTCCATGTAGATCTGTGTAAGCTCACGAGCCGTAAACACTCAGGACCTTTTGGAAAAAGTCCATTATTGTTCAGCTATATGAGATAAAGAACGCCAAGTGATCTCTAAAGACACCACACTCAGTAATCAGAGCATCCTCATTATTCTGTACAGAGAAGGTTCAGATGTTGGAAGTGGGATTCTGTGGTGCCTGTATCAGCAGTCAGTATCTTTTCAGCTTCATAAAACTGTCTGAGCTTCCTAAGTTTGGTGTTGGTGATGTTTGTTATAACAGTTGAGCTAAAACTGCGTAAAATTGGTTCTTTGCCTTTTCGCCTCTTTCCCATCCATCGTAACTAAAGATTTGTGTTAAATATTTAACAAAATGGGTCATACTAGGTGTATCAAGTTTAGGGCTGAAACAATTAATCCTGATATATCGATTATTAAAACAATCAACTAATTTAGTAATCGATTAATCGTTAACTGGAGTAAAACATGCCTTTAGCTGACAGAGAAACTGACTTAGAGCAGTGATTATACCAAAATTGTAATAAAATATATAAAAATTTTGCATTTAAGATAAAAAAGTTTTTCTTCTATCAATATGCTCCTCAAGTGGAAAAGTTTAAGGTTCACCTGATAATTTCATAAAAAGCGTTTAATTAGCCTTTTGCTATCCGATTATTAATCGATTAATCGAAAAAAAATCTGAGAGATTAATCAATTTGCGAAATAATCTTTAGTCGCAGCCTTAATCAAGTTAGAGGGAATATTATGGCTGCTACTAACGATTATTTTGCAAATCGATTAATATGTCAACTATTTTCTCGATTAATCGATTAATAATGGTCTATTGCAGAAATTTTTTTTACAGAATTTAGCCGTTGAAACTAAAACTTTTTCACCTGAGGAGTTCTGGATAGAGCATAATTTCAGATAGGTAATTTTATTATCTTAAATGCAAAATGTTTCTATTTTTCTTTTTACAATCTTGGTTTAATATCTGCTTTAAAGGTACACTATGCAACCGGTGTTGATTTTCCAGTGAGGCTCCCTCAAGAGGGCGAAAGTAAAAGTGCACTGTCGTAAATATGCACAGCTGTTCTCCTGGTTTCTCCGTCAAGCCAGGCGCGGTTGTTTTGAGCTTAGCAGCGAATGACTAACGCTGCGTTCACACTGGACGCAGCTGGCACGACAGAAGCAGCGAGTTTACATGCAAAGTCAATGGTTGACGCGCGTCAAGGCGCAACAAAAGGTCCCGCGGCGCGTTTTGAGCACCAGGCGCAGCACGTCTGAGCAGCTGAAGCAGCGCGTCGGGTGCGTTTAACGCAGGGAGAGAGACACAGCGCTGATGATCTCTCCTCTTAAACAGTTTATTGACGCCTAAATTAACTTAAAATGCAGAAATCTGCCGGCAGAATATGCAGTTTGGATTATTTAGATGAAAAACACCTACCAGCTGCCGCGGTGAACCGCTGCTGATGAAGGGATCCATACTGTTGGCACCCCGCTGGTATGTGGGGGTCTGAGCGGCTCCGACAGAAAAAATATTGAAGGCAGGATAATAATCTGAATGAACTGACTGCACTGATTACGTTTTCAGGTGTATTTTCTCAATTAAACACATATTAAAACTACTTTATTCCCACTGATCACAGCAAATATAGCTGCAAGGCAGAGAAAGGATAGTAAAGCTCCGCCCAATGCGCCTCAGACACAGCTGGAGCAGCAAAGCTGCTTCAGCCACGAGTCAGAACTAACTGGTACAAGCAGCAAAAAGGAAGCAGCAGACGTGATTTTGCTGCTTTTGCTGTGTGAACGTAGCATAACTGCACAAAGATCGCCACTGTGCTAGCAACGAGAATGCTTTTAACTGGGGGATGTAGCAGTTCTCGCCGTAAAGCAAGACTGACTCTCACGAGACTTCTGAGCCTGTGGGTGCGGGTCGGTGCTCCTGCAGTTGCAAGTGCAGTATTTCCCCCACAGACCACCAGGGCGGCCGAGAATACCTTTGTTCAACCTGAAATGACTCATTTAATCATCCAAAACGTTATGGAACACATTAATTAACTGAAAAATGTTGCATAGTGTCCCTTTAAGTGGGTTGCTCTGTCAGCTAAAGGCATGATTAACAAGTCTCTTTTCCAGTTAAGGATTACCAAATTAGTTGATGATTATTTTCTTATTTGATTAAACATCATTAATCTGATTAATTGTTTCAGCCTTAGTGAATATCTAAAAATTATTTTTTTTGGCATGTAAGAAAAATGTGTAAAAATGGCAGGACTGTTTCAGTCATTGGAAGATGGTTTCCTGCAGTTCTGCCATGTTTCATGCTTCCTTTCTTTTAAAGGGTTTTTATGATAAACTGATGTCGTAAAATATGATGTTGTATAGCAACAGTAAATGGTAATTAAGGGTTAGAGTTAAAGACAGTTCAAATGAAAGCATTGTTGTCTAATTGTAAAGCCACATTATCTATTTTCCAGCATGTAGTGTCTGACTGAGTATATTAAAACTGTCTGTTTCTCCAAGAGACTCTGGGGCAACATACCCTTCAGAGCTAGCAGCCCTAAATCTGATATGAAATGAAAAAGGATGGAGTTTTAAGAAATCTTTTGCCTGCTTTCTTCTTAAGATGAGATACTGATTGCTGATAGATACTCTACAGATCCCAACATTTGTGGGACTGTCTTTAATAGAAAACCAGCCTCCAAGTGAAAGTTTTTGTCATGTAGTTTGGCAGGATTTCTGCTCCTACTCCGACGACTTCAAGTGCAACTCATAATATTACTTTTGCAGATTCTTTCACCAAGCCTTTAAAAAAATTACAAATAATGACCTCAGTGTTGGTTTTGCATTGTTTATTACTTGAATATCAGCCATCATTTACTTTATAATTCAATATTTCTCCCTATTTTTGCTGATACATCATTACTTTTATGTATTTCAGCGCTGTTGCCTAAACTGCTGCCTCCTTACCGATTTATTCAATGTTGCATTGACTTTACTTATTCAGCCCTTCTGGACTACCTCTAAAGCGAACCAAGCTCAGGTCATTTTGGGGGGGAAACTTGTGGCCTTTTAAGGCCAGAGGCTTCCGTCAGACCTGCAGGCAGCGTGGATCATAAAATCTTGAAATAACTTTCAAAAAGTACTGCAGTAGTCCACACACACACATCTCATCTCACTGCATTGATATGACCAAAAGTGAATGAGAGTCAGCCTGAAAGGTGCCTTTTAATTTAACTCCAGCTAAGTCAATGTGTTATTTTACACAAGCTGTGTTTGGATATTTACTCTCTATAAGGGGACAATGTGTAGTTTTGTGATCTTATTGCTAGTGAAATAGTTACATACAGTACTTGATCTATTTTTAACTATTGAAAAGTTTGAACTGTAACTTGAGAAATCATCTTTAATGCCTTACCTTTAACACGATGTAATAGTTATGATATTGATATGTCCTCATCCACTTCTTTAATACAACTCACATACCTGTGATATATATTTTGTTATACTTTACTTTGTGATTTGTGTTACTTTGCTTCTGTATCGCTTATCAATAAAGATATCACACTCAGCAGCCTTTGTTATGGATTTGTACATGATTTGTTTTTGTTCTTCATGGTTTCAACATTTTTTAATGTATAGAGATGAAAACGATATTAATCCACTCTCTGGAAAGAAGACAAACAGGGAGGAAAACAGTGAGGATGGCGATACTTCCGGCTTTCAGAGGTGTAAGACCATAAAACCACTATAACACATTCACAAATTCATCATATGACACATAAAAGAAGATGCAGAAACTGACATGCAGAGCAAATTTTCTAACAATGACAGAACAGAGCCTTAAAAACAAGGGTGCCACATTTGGTGTATAATGCAGCAGGATCATAAATGAGCCTTTGCATTTCCCTCACATAGTTATCTTTTTTGCTGTTGATGTGACCAGTGGGATTTTACAAGTTGATGGTGAAAACATTCATCAGAATTCTAGTTTTAAAACATTCTAACTTCCCTTTATTTTTCCACATTAGTGATAGTCTGTGTCTGGTCGCGTGGCCAGCCCCTGTAGGCCGGGATTGATCACTCAGGACAGGGGAGGTGTTAAGCATTGAGAGCTTTGGCAACATCTGTGAAGACCAGACGACTGGGTCGCTGCGTTGTCCCCTGGGAGCTTGTGAGGGTCTGCAGAGGAGAGGGTAGAGGACGTTTATATAGATCTCACACAACATCTGATCTATTTTGTAATTTTAATACAATTTTAGCTTTCTTTATCTGTATTAGCCGTAACAATTGCGGCCACACAAGCAAGTCTTGGTAAAATTACTGATTCGCTGAAAACCTTCAAATAAAACCATCGTCTGTTGCAGCAGCATAATAACACACTTTAAAATGTGTGAAAATTTAACCTTTAATTTCAATATATGCAGGAAGTGTCACGAAGCTTGCTGCACTAATTCCTTTGAATGGAAATCTATTTTTCTATATTTATACTTCTTTTAATTTATACTTGATAGGGATGCACGATATAATCGGCCTCCTTTCGGTATCGGCCTGTATCGGCCTTAAAACTGAATATCGGACATCGGCCACCCCACCGATATTTAACCCGATATTTGATCAGCTTCTGAGTTTCTAAAGTCTAAAAAAAAAAATAATAATATTACTTCTTCTTCTTTCTCAAAAAATTCTTTTTTACAGACTTAAAAACTTCTAAAGACGAGGGAAAAAATATTGATACATTAAAATATCCCAATATCTTCATATGCTGATATATTGCCATTTAAAAACACCATATCAATCTCTTTTACTAATGAAATATTGCTATATGTCATCGTTAAGTTACGAAATCCCCCGAAAATTCACGAAATTTTGCCATATTTTTAAATGTTGATATATTGACGCGGCATCGATCTATTTTACTAACAAAATCTCACAAGAATTTGCAAAATACCACGAGAGTTTGTAACAGAACAATGAAATTTAACGAGATTCTGAAAGTAAAATAGATCGATACCGCGTTTTTAAAAATCAATTTGATATCAGCATATGAAAATATATTTGAGTATATTATTTTTCAAAGTGTCAGAAATGGATAACAAAACTGTTATTTTCAATGACTACTTATTTTTGTCCAGCTTTAACATCAGTATCAATATCGGTTATCGGCTACGTGAGTTTTGAAATATCGGCATATCGGATATCGGCCAAAATCCCAATATCGTGCATCCCTAATACTTGATTGTTTTCTTATCTGAGTTTATAGGCACAATAATTAGAAGTTTTTTCCTTCTACCATGTCTAAATATGGCATGTTAAGCAGGACCCATACTTAAAGGTGAAGTGGAGGACGTTCTTTTTCCGGGTGAATCATTAAAAGTGGTCCCCATAATGTTTTCTCATGGTATCTTTACATAAGGCCCTCCTACATGATCGTCCCCATTTTCACTTACCGGTGGTAAGTCTTACATAGTAGAAAAATTACAGATCTTCTTTTGGAAACTAAGCCTGTGTGAGTGATGCAAAGAGATACTTTTAAACAGTGTGTGCAAGAGGAGAAATGGGCTAGTTCATGCTCTCACACACGTTTAATAGGAGTTCCCTCTCAGGGGCGGGTACCGGGTTGTGCAGGTGCATTTTTTCTTTTTTTAAGTGGAGAGGGTGGGTCTTCTGAAAAAATCCTCAATTATACCTTTAATTTCCCTGCACTTTCAGAGTGCCGGATAGTAAGGAAGGTAAAAATCTTTACAACTCACTTTCAAAGTACTGCTACAGAAAGAGGCACAAAGGGCTCAAGAAAAGACAATTCAGAGATTAAATACATGCATTTTCTGTTTGATATCAGAAATTGTACCATCAAAAATAAGAATGTGAGTTTTCTGAAAAATTAATGGGAATTTAATAGATTTTTCTTTTTGGGAATAAACATGCCTAATGGGTAAGGTGGGATAAAAAAGTGGAATTTGTAAAATATGGTGGATCTCTGATGCTATGGATCTGTTTTTACTTCAAAAGCTCTGTGAATCGTGTTTCGGTGTATGGAACTAGAAGATTTTAGATACAAGTCTCTTTATTTTTTTTCCAGTTAAGTAGAAAAACATTAATCATTTTCAACAAGATATGGATAGAAAGCATCTGCTCAAAACAACACAGTAGGGGTTTGCTTGATATAAATGCTATCTTCAGCCATAGAAATCACTTTTCTTAACCCTAAACCCTTTAGAAAATCTAAAGGTTTAGCCACAGAGAAGCGAGCATAGAAGAGGAACCTGCGCTCTGGAGGATAATCAGAGATTATGCAAGAAGAAATTGTGCTTTTCTGTAAGCGAAGTGGAACAATATAAATTATTAACAGCCAAAAAAGTTATAAAATTTGCTTCACTTTCAGTTTTCTTGCAAACAATATTTCTAAATATTCAATTTGAATAATCTGATAAACTCTTAACTATTTTGAAGCAAATGTTCATTTGGGCTAAAATGTGGAGGAAAAAAAGTTTGTGAAAGACTCACAGCAATCAAAGATTATTTCAGGGTAAAAACATGGATAAAAACCAAGTATTTAAAAAACCAGAACAAAACAGAGTATTCTTAAAATAAAAATTGTGTTTAACTGCTTTTTCAACAAATTTGTTAGGGCACTACAGAGGTAGAAACAAGGTTTGAACTTTGGCAATAATGGCCTGCTTAACATTTACCAATTGCTTCTAGTGAAAATAAATCAACAAATAAAAATAAAATGCATTCTACTTGTACTAGATTTGTTAATAGTGCGTTATTTTGTATAGCTTTTTAATGGTTTTGGCTCTTTTCTACGTGGCTCTTGTAAAATCTCTTGAGTTTAAATGGAGGATGAATAGTGAAAGAAAGGGGAAGGTTACATGGGATAAGTCTTTAACATTATTTCATGTCAGTTAAATTGTTTTAGGTTATATTTAGGTTATATGGCAGAAAATGATTAAAGTAATCTGCCTGCTATTTTTTTTCCCCTTGGTTACTGACACAAGGACAGCATGACTGAACGTAGGGAATAACAGGAAGGTTAGAAGAAGTGGTTGAGAGGACACACAGGTGATACTTTACCATGTTTGCCTTTTTGTCAAAACTTCAAAAAAGGGAATGAAAAAAACAAAAATTAACAACAGAATAACTCATAACAATCTAATTGTAAATTACCAACTACAGAAAAGCATTTAGAAAAGAAAACATTTGTAGATATAACCAGAAAATCCCTTTTAGAGGCTGCAGTCATAATTAAATTTAGCTTCTCATCTAGAGTGTTTGGTTAATATAAACTCAGTGTTTTCTTTCTGAGAAGTAGACTTCTGCTGATGTCCAACCTACCTTGGCATTTTGGCCTACGAGGCTTCCGTCCCTTCCATGATCCAGTAGTTCCTGTTCCAGCAGGTCGTCCCGTTCCTCAGCGGGGTCAAAGTTGTACATGGGCATGAGCTGATGTCTCAGCTTCTCTAACCTGTAACACAAAAGGAGCCCGGTTTGTCTGGAGGTTTCATCCTGTGACAAATTTGTTGTTCCTCCAGTTGATGGAGATGGAAAACTACGTGCAAAACAAGATTTAATTTCATTAAGGAACAGGATTTTATAAAATACCTTTATTCTTGCAGTATTGGAAATGCATTTAATTTAGGATAATTTTGTGTTGATTATTAGATGGGAAAAAGTTGGACACCCCATTTAACATTCAGGTTTTCCAGAAATGTTTACATATTGGTAACACATAGGCTTGTTTATGTCAGCAAATGTGTATGACAGTTAAGGAAAAGGTTTAAAACACCCTACCTTGTCATAGCTGATTTTATTCCTGTTGGATTAAATAAGTAACACACTTATAGAAACTTCTTGTATGCTAAGCTTTACTATTAGTGTTCTCTTACTGAGATGCTGTATTTGGTTTATGCTAGAACATGTCTTCTCTTCAATGCAAGATATAATGTTACAACTTATTTGACCAAAGAACATTACTTTAGAGGTCCTTGTTTGTCTACTTTCTCTCCAACAAAATTTATTCCAGCCTCCATGTTTGTCTTAAAAAGCTGAGGTTCCCTCCTTTCCCAACCCTTTTGAAAGAGTAACTTTTTTATTATTATTTTTACATAAGTATAGTGGTTGTTTTCCTTCATCGGACCTTTAAGCTGTTACTCTCTTCATTTTGAAGGCCTTAAATGGTTCTTCAGATCTCGCCATGGTGTTTAATATCACTGCAGTGCATCAAACCCAATTTTACATATATATCAATTTAGTTTCACATTATCAAGCCCTGACATCATAAATATGATGATCATAACACACATAAGAGCTTAGTGATCAACATTGCATTATAGAATTAAGACAATTTGACAATCAAAGCTGTTAGGATGCTAAACATTTTGCACCTTTTCTAATTTTCTAAAATAAATTTTAATAAATAAATCTTACCGCTTTCGTTTCCGAACATACAGTATCTGTAACAAAAAAGAAAATTAAAATGATTATCAACAATTTTATCGAAATGGAAAGATGCACAACAAAGGGAATCGGGGTATCACAGAAGAAGGCTGAATCAGTTTCTTACTATTGCCACCGCTAAGCCGATGAGGGTGATGATGCCAAAGGGCACCAGCAACATTCCAATACTGGAGCCCTCAATCACCACGTCTGGAACCGCGGTGGCATTGAAGCTGGTCTCGTTTGTTGTTGCTGCTGTCGTTGTTAGGGTAACAGTCATAAATGTTCTTGAGGTGATGTTTTCTCTGGGTCCCAGGCTTGTTGAGACCAAGGGATCCGTGGCGGTTGCTGCAGTTGTGGATAGAAAACTTGACGTTGTCTTGGCAGTATTCACAGCCATGGTCAGGGTGTAGGTTTCCCAAGCAAGCTTTCTTAATCCCCCCCACCACCACCAGCACCACCTTTTTTCTTTTGCTGTGGATTTAAATACGTTCCTTAGGTTTTAATGTGTACCATGGTGAATGCATCTACCCTCCCATTGGTTGGGGTGTGCGGAGGCATCTGTGTTTCTTCCCCCCATAAGAGCTGCAGGAAGACACAAAAGAAAAATTACATTTCGGTTTTATACTCTTTACCTCTTTCTACTGATGATTTTTGCTTGAATGACTTTTAGAAATTCAGATTTACATTCAGCCCTTGGCTACCACATCCCTGCTGCAGTGTTTATTTTTTCTTTTTGGCAGGATGTGGTTAACAAACGTACCGGAGGAATCTGGCGTACATACTTCATAAAGTAAGAGGGATACTAACCACTCTAACTGTAACGTTCACCTCTAGGAAATGTGCTGGCAGCACTTTCAGGCATCGAAATCAACTTACACCCACAGACACACACACACACACATATAACCATGCACACATACACAGTAGTTCCATAAATATCCATTGCATAGCTAAAGCCCATGTGCATCCCACCTAGCGTACTACAAGCTTCCCATGAGGATGAAAAGCTATTTTTCCCCATGATTTACACACATGAAGAGGTTCCTTTTTTCTTTTCTTTTTTTTTTAAGAGCATGCTTTCTTATGGTGTTGTATGGTGACACAGGAAGGCACAGACATATGATCCATTCCTTCCTCCTCATCCTGTCTACTTTTGCTCTTAATGAGGAACATGTGCAACTGAAGCCAACCAATGAAAAACAAAGGCTGGTTTTAGTCGACTGCTGTAGTCCAGTCAATGCTGCCCTGCTCTGCACAAAGACAAGCGACTCTCAGATCTTTGATGGGTTCTTTTCTTGTTCCTCTCATGTATGCTCGTAGATGTTTTTTTTTTAGTTAAGATGCCCTGCATCTGAGCTACTAATCCCACCAACATGAGCAGGTTTTACTTATGAGTCCCCACAGATTAGATATGCATACCTACCTTAACATACAACTTGCATGTTAAGATGTGATCAGCTGCAGTCTGGGGCCACCTTAAGGCAAGAAGCATTCATAGGAAGAGGTAACATTTGTTCCAGTGTCTATGCCGCCTCCTTCTCTTCTCCTTCCACCTTCAGCAATGCAGGTCCTGCATAGGTTGTTTACACTGACACAACAACAATTTTCTCTAAGGCTGAACTTCCCAAATAAAAAGTAACCCTAACCTGATTGCCTCCCCCTTCCAGATCCCCCCTCCCTCCAGTTTTTGAGTCTCCTCCTTGGATTCAATCCCGCTGTCTTGCCTTTTTTTCTTGTATTTCACACAACAGAGGCAGCTCTTGGGATGCTGAAAACAGAAGATCAGTACTGAGAGCTCCCTCCCCCTTCACCCTGCAATTGGTCTAATAGCTTAAAGATCATCAGTGTGGTTGGTTGGCTCTACTGCCCGTTTGGCTTTACAGGGATGAGAATGGGATTTAATGGCTGTGACCACCAGATGCTGTCAGAGCAATGAATGACTGTATCCGGGTGGTAGGTCTAAATAAATTAACCCTATGATGTCTAACCCTTGGTTATATTTACTATCACCATACAGGCATGAAATTAAATAATATTTACCTTTATGTAATTGTATTAGAGATTATATTTATTCAAATTTAAGCAATTGCTTGTTTAAATTTTATGTTTGCAAAAGGAGGACTGTATTGACAAAATTATGTTCACTTTATTCAAATTTTGCAAACCAATCTTTACATTTACTGTAACATAAAGTGCAAAGAATTAAAAAGTTTTTTTTTTAATATGTTTTTCATTAAAACCTTATGCTTTTAGGAGAGTTTGTGCATGTGTCTGTCTGCCTGTGTGCAGGATAACTTGAAAAGTTACAGATGGTTTTGAATAAAATTGTTATCAAATGTGTCTCTCATGCCAAGAAACAATCTGTAAAATGTTGGTGGTGATCTAGATCATAATATTGATACAGCGTTTTCTTTTCATATATATATATATATATATATATATATATATATATATATATATATATATATATATATATATATATATATATATTCTCTAACATCTTGAGATGGAGATACCGGTATTTGGTTTAACAAGCAGTTCCCCACTAAAGCAGAGGGTGGCAGCAGTGAGTATTGACAACCTCAGCATCAAACTCAAAAAGTTTGGAGGTATTTTACTGATGACAAAACACAAAATAAGGGCATGTTGTAGATTTGTTAACAGGATCAGCTGAAAATTTAATGAACAGATTTTTTTGGAAATATTTTACCAGAGGTGTGCCTCATGCCAAGAAACAATTTATCAAAATTTGGAAATGATCCTGATCATGTGTGAGTTTAGCTGGGTGTCACATTTTGCGGCAAAATTTGCTGCTTGACAGAGGTCTGCACTCTCTGAGTGCCTTTCAAATTATTAATTCAACAGACAAAGAAAAAAAACCCATTTCCCTAAATATATTCAATTTCATTGTATTTATTTCTATAGCGCCAATTAACAACACATATCATCTCAAGGCACTTTACTGAGACAATTCAACCAGATCATACAATCAGATTGGTTCAAAGTTTTCTACCTAAAGAAAACAAGTAGATTGCATCGACTCATTGACTTGAAGGCAATCCCTCACACCAAGCAATCATGTAGCGACAGTGGAGAGGAAAAACTCAATTTTAACAGGAAGAAACCTCCAGCAGAACCAGGCTCTGTGTGAGCGGCCATCTGTTGAGGCCAACTGGAGTTCAAGGAGACAGAAGCAGGTTTTACAAAAAGAAGGAGAGAAACAAAAGGCAACTGTCAGTCAGCTCCACAGGCTGCCCCGTCCGAGAAACATATTCTGGACATTTAGTTTGTTGGTTTGATTTTTTCCATCAGAAAGCAGTATTAAAAATTTTTTTAAAATGACATTATTGAGTTGTTGGTTCAAGATAGCCTGCATTATATCATATTGAAAAATAAGTTATTTTTCTATTTGTGGTCAAAACAGGAAGAAATAAAACTTTAGTTCATTCTTTTTATTTAAAAAGTTTAAAAGAAAGAAAATCTTGAGCTGACCAACAGAGGGAAAAGAGAAATCCTTCTCACAAGATTACATTATGGGACATCTGTGATGTTACATTGCGTTAACCATTACCATGTGATATTACATGCCAGATGTGGCACAGCTGCTTTGTGATCCATCTGTCTCATTTAAACAACGCAACAAATAATTTTTCACTCAAGGTGCTTCTAGTCTAAAACCAAATTTGATTTGAATGCAGATATGTTAACTTTGTATCTTTTTGTTAATTTACTTTGTCATAATTATGAGATTAAAAAAAAAAAGTAAAAATTTATTCTTGCTGTTAGCTCTGTTACCATATTGTAGCTTGGAGAAGGCTAAGATATTATATTTCCAAACCTGAAATTATTTAAAATGAAAATGAAGAAACCATGTTTACCTCCTTTTTTAGTTTGGAATGCAATTAAAATAATTGAATATGTATAATATATAGGAAAGAAGTCATTATTTGGAATAACTAAGCTGTCGGTCAGTCAACCTTTATTTACAGAAGAAAGTCTTTCTTCTAATAAATATCTTTAAGGTTGTTCTGGGCAAGACAAGTGGTGTACAAGTAGGGACAAGTGTCTACTTGCCCCCAAATGCATACCTGATTTGGGCTTTTTATCAAAATCCTTTAGGATGCTGAGATAAAATGAAAAAAGAGACTAATGTTTTATAGTCCACGAGATGACTCTCTCTGGATTTTAGAATTTCAGAGCTGATCCATAATAAAGGCTCCTATTAGATGATGAAAAATCAAGCGAGAGAGAGAGAGAGATGGTCTAGACCATACAGCAAAGAAAACATAAGATGATTCCTGAAATCTGGTGCTTAGATTTAGGAATTTTACTACTTTTGTAACATCATTAAAAGATTTATAAAATTCTAGAGAATACTCTACCATACAATGCATATATTTTGCTCAAAAATCACAGACTCAGTAGGATGCAGAACTAACCAAAGGAATTCATTGTTGCATCTACACAGCACTGTTAATTTAACAAAAATAGGCTATATAAAAGAGTTCTGATCATAATGACAGCTTTTATTGTGCATGTGCATTTTTGAGGCACGTGCATAAAATAAAATTGCAGAAAATCCCCCACTATACCTTTGAAGAAAAAAATATTTAACTTTTTGATGCACTTAACACAAACATAAGTGGTGTTTATTTTTTAGAAAGATATTTATAAGTTTTTCTTTGATCTGCATACTTTATGTGTTCTCTTGCCAGTTTGAGTACGGACACTCGAAGCTCACTTGGATTTATTGCAATACATTCTCAACTGGATTTAGCTCCACCATTGACTGGACCGCTCTTATCGTCTGATCATGCTTTGGCCTCTGTATTTCAAGGTCATTGTCCTTCAGTAGAGTGAACCTATACCAACGTAAAATCTTTAACAACTTTTTGTTTCTTTTAGGCAAAGCACATTTAACTCAGCCCAACTTCTCAAAAGCTCTAACCATCTTACCTGCTCTTGCTGAAAGAAAAATACCCCTCACAGCATTTTTTTTTTTACAGTAAATTTCTATATTTAGTCATACCCTATGTTAGTTTTATGCATCATATCAGCTTTTCAGTGTAGGGAAACAAATTCCATAGAAGAAAAAAAATGCACATCATATAGAATTTTTTTAACATTGCCTTTTTACTTTTTGCTGTTCTTACAGTCAGTTTGGTGGTGTAGGACTTATCATTGTCCTGCTGACAGATTACCTGAGCTCAGGGTTTTCTTTCAACTCCTACAGAGTTAAAATTGACGTCTTGAAGACATCTTTGATCAATGTCTTATTTTCCTTTCCCTAAAAAAGAAACTGATGCAGCCCATTGGTCAGGCGCGCTGGAAGCTGTTTCAAGCGAGGGGGGCTGATGGCTGGGTTGGAAAACACATGACGTCATTATGTTGAGGGCTGTGGCTGATGTTTTTAACATAATATTGTAGGCCTACATTTGTCACCAAGAACTGCCATTTAAAATAAATCGGAACAAAGCATGAACATTTTAAATATTATTTCTTCTCTTTTAATAATTCAAAACAAACAACAGCTCCCAATCAACAGGATCAGGAATACTTGAATGAAACATGGCCTAAATATAGCCTAAACTGAGCATTGAACGTCTTGAAAGTCCATTCGACTATGGATATGGGGAATGATTTCATATCTGAAACGAAAAACACACACACAAAAAAAAAAAAACTAATTTCATATTTTATCACTAATTAGCTTAATACAGACATAATATTTAGTGATATGCAGCCTTATTCTAGCGTAGACTTCTTCAGCCACAGGACTACGACAAATAGGCTCAGCATATAGAAATAAATAAGAAATAAATAACGCTAAATAAATGCTCGGTGGCAGTATAGGGGAATTAAAACCATTTCTTACCTCGAAATAGTCAGAAATACGTTTCTGCTGCCTATTGCTAGCCATGCCTAAATGAATGTGAGGTGGCGGAAGCACTTCCGGGGGAGTAGCCTAGTTTTTTATGAAATATTAAAATAATGAATCATTAGTTTATATCTTATACACAGCCCATCATTTTAATCCCATATCAAACACAGTCTTTTAAAAAATAAATACATAAATAATTTCATGTTTTTATTCCACAGCCCCCCACCATGGGGGGCTGATGCTATGACGAGGGAGGCTGCAGCCCCCACAGCACCCCCCTTCCCGTGCCACTGCCATTGGTAGGCATGAACTTGTTTCAGTGATAAATTGAAAGAAGGATTTAAAAAGAAAATGAGACGTTAACAAAAATACTTTGCATAGCATTCATCTCCTGGATTTTCTAATATATTAAAAAAGCCCCAATATTTATTGGATAAGTACATGCTGATTGTATCCATGTTTTGCACAGCATCACATGGTTCCTTAAAACAGGATTATTGTCCACTCAATAAAACTGATGCCCTTTTCAAATATTTACTAACCTTACCAGACACAATCTCACATTGCAGCTTCTTGAGTTACGCCAGCTGCCTCGACTTCTCTGCTCACAGACAGAAAGGAGGCATAAAACAAGCAGGAGCACAAAAGAGGAAATAGGAAACAGGAAAGGAAATGGCACTGATATCCTCCAACTGTACAGATGAAATAACAAAAGTATAGATGAGCTGAACACATGATTAAAAGTGAGCCTACTTGAAACCCTTCATCCATGATTCAACTAAAGCCATTCCTGGATTTCAAAATGAGATAATTTACAATGTATGAAACTTTTGCTTACAATAAATGCCTTGATGCATTGTTCATCATAATAGAAAAATGCAAAAAATAAATGAACTGAATAGAATAAATATTAAAGTACGAACCAGTG